TATGAATGCACACTGTGAGAGCAATATGTACAGGGATGTCTGTTAAGATATGCATTGTACGAATACTTACTACGCATTGCACAAAGTGAATCATTTAACAAAAACTGTGTTTTCAGAAAATATTTAAATATTTACTACAGTTCTGTTTGCTAAGATATGAATTGCCAGGAAATCAAAGTGCATTTCCAATTGTACCTCAAATTGCCAAATTGAAACAAGTCCAATTCACACGTTAGTGAATAACCCTAGCTTTTCTCCGTAGCATAACTGAATGTAATCATTACAACAGTAACAAAACGGTTAAGCTTGGGAAATGTCTGAATACTCCAGAGAAATTGCACCTTGTTCAGAGCAGGCCTCTTAAAAGTGTGTTTTTAGTAGAACTATTCCAATTTTGGGGTTCTGTTCCAGTTTAGTTCCTTGGTGTCCCTTATATGGGAACTGTTCCCAGGCAGCGTAAAGTAAATGGATCATAAGGTGCACTTGCACTGTGCAGCGGGCACTATGACCATGCAGGGAGAGCTTAGTGGTCTTGCTTGGTCTGGAAGGCTTTGGGCTGACCAAAAAGCTGGTCAGTGAGTGGGCTGGCCCATCCCCTGTGGGCATCGCTAGTGGCGCAGTATGCATCACTGGTGATGCCCCCTTGTGGCCCTGCTCACCTCGTCCCTAATATCCCTGCACAATTGTTATGAAGTATGTTGGTGGCATCAACCAATGTAGCACCCATCATTATGATGTTCAAGTTACCACTGTGACCAAAATAAAGTGGCACAGAAAACTATAAATATGGATAATAGGGGAGGGGGGAGGCAGAGGGATCAGTAGTGCCAGGAATACAGCTTTGTATTCCTGGCGCTACAGTATCCTTTTAAGCAAGCATGTCTTGGTCTCTGTTCAGTCAATGCAATAGACTTTAATAAATTAACCTTGTTACACCACCCGGCTTTCAATCTGTTCCTGTTACTTCCTGGTTTGTTTAGCTCAGTGGAGCTAAACTTATGAGGCAGCAATTGCTCAGAGCACCTGCCTTGCAAAGACTTCTCATTGAACTGCGTCAGGAAGTCTGTGATTGGACAGCCACAGAAAGTCTGGGCAGGGTTAGATCTGCAGTTTTACAAACTGTTTTTAGAAATACCCCCAATAAAATATACATAAATGTTTTCATTGGGGTTATTGATACTAAACAGTTATTTTTATATATAATTTTCTTTTATTCAGTGGAGTGTCCCTTTAACAGCGGGTGGAATGTGTATGGTAATTGGAATTTTCTTTTCTTTTTTTTTCAATTAGATATTAGGTCTTTACCTATGGTTAACTTTACAGAATGGTTTATGTACAGTGAATGGGATTTTGAACATATAAAGGGATGATGTTCCCAGTGCTATATTTAAGGAACAATCCCATCCCCATAACAACTTAGTCATTAAAAAGAAATTACTTAAGCTCATTGAAGTGGTCTGGGTGCACTGTCCCGGTACCCTTCACCCTGCAATTATAACTCCATCTATAGTGGCCACTAGAGAGACATCAGGGTGGTTAGGCACTTACTTGCTCTAGACGTCCTCACACTATGAATGACGACATCCAGGCTGACCTAAAACCCTATAGGAAAGCATACAATGCCTAGGGCAGCACAACACCAGGATACACCACTGACTGCACTGTAGAGAGGAAGGAGGCTAGGAGTTAGAAAGGTGCACACCATGTAGTACTGTTTAGGTATCTCCAAAACTGCCGACAGAGACCACCTCCAAATCCCGCCCACAGGAATACAGACACAAACACATTCACTGATACAAAAGGACACAGATACACACATACACACACACTGATACATACTAACAGACACACATACTGATACGCATATAGGCACACATACTGAGACACACACATATACAGACACACAGGCGTACATAGTGATAGACACATACTAACATACATACAGACACATGCATAAGGACATACAGACACATTCATAATGACATACAGACAGACATTCATACTGGCATACATACATTCATACAGACAGACATACACACATTCATAATGACATGCAGACACACATAATGACATTCATACACACATAATGACATGCATACAGACATACATACATACATACAGACATACATTCATACAGACACTGACATCCATACATACACACATTCATAATGACATACAGACATACATTCATACTGGCATACATACATTCATACAGAGAGACAGACATTCATACACACATAATGACATGCATACAGATATGCATACAAACATACATACATGCGTACAGACATACATTCATACTGGCATACATACATTCATACAGACACTGACATCCATGCATACACACATTCATAATGACATGGAGACATACATACACTGACATTCATACACACATAATGACATGTATACAGACATACAGACATGCATACAGACATACATACATTCATACAGACACTGACATCCATACATACACTCATTCATAATGACATACAGACATACATTCATACTGGCATACATACATTCATACAGACATTCATACACACATAATGACATACATGCATACATACAGACATGCATACATACAGACATACATTCATACTGGCATACATACATTCATACAGACACTGACATCCATACATACACACATTCATAATGACATGCAGACATACATACACTGACATTCATACAGACATTCATACAGACATACATACTGGCATACATACATACATACACACATTCATAATGACATGTAGACATACATACACTGACATTCATACACACTTAATGACATGCATACATACAGGCATACAGACACGCATACAGACATACAGACACGCATACAGACATACAGACATACATTCATACTGGCATACATACATTCATACAGACACTGACATCCATACATACACACATTCATAATGACATGCAGACAGACATTCATGCAGACAGACATTCATGCAGACAGACATTCATGCAGACAGACATTCATGCAGACAGGCAGACAGGCAGACAGGCAGACAGGCAGACAGGCAGACAGGCAGACAGACATACATGCAGACAGACATACATTCATACTGGCATACATACATTCATACAGACACTGACATCCATACATACACACATTCATAATGACATGCAGACATGCATACAGACAGACATACATACACACATACATACAGACATACATTCACATACACACACAGCTCATTTTCTAGCCACCCTCCTGTCTCTTACCTTGTCTTTGCAGGAGGGTGGCTGGGGCTGATGGGACTGGGAGTCGGCTGGCTCTTCTTCTTCATTGCCGGGCGCATGCTCCTCCCGCGCGGAGTGAGCTGGGAGGAAGTGACCACTTCCTCCCAGCAGCACTTGCGCGTCGGCAGCATTTTTTTTTTTTTTTTTTAAAGGGGCCCGGTCGTGCTATACCACGGCCACAGCGCTGACTGGGCCCCTGAAGATATGGGGCCCATCTGGTGGCCCTAAGTGTGTGGGCCACCCGATAGGCCCCATCAGCGTGTGGGCCCCAGTGGAACTGCACCGGCGGCAGTTCCACCGCTACACATGGGGTCCGGGTGGTCCGGCCCCCCAGGGCCACTAGGCCCGTGACAACCGTCATGGTTGTCACCCACTGATGGCGGCCCTGACTGTGGGCATAAGGTACTTTTCCACATGGCAACCTTTCATCTTACCATGAAATCAGATCCCATTTCATGTTCCAGTAGTGTCTGGCAACCTGAAGACACTTGTTTTTGGAGAAGTAGAGGTTTTTTGGTTTTTCTTGAAACCCTTTCAAACAACTTGTTGTGATGTAATTGAAGTCAGTTGCTTCTTGGGGTCATAAAGCCTCCAAAACTACAAACTTCAAAGCTTGGAGATTTTTTGGGGCCACTCGAACCATTCTCTTGACAAAGCATTGAGAGACAATGCAGACACACATCCTCTTCCAGGTTGATTCATAACATTTCCAGTTGCCTGGAACTTCTTATTTAATCTTTTCCTATTTTCTTATAGCCATTTCCCATTTTGTGAAGCTCAACAACCTTTCCCCATACATCAGTTATATTCCTTGGTCTTTCCCGTTGTGATGAATGACTAAGGGAATTTGGTTTATGTGTTACCTAATATTTACACCCAGGCCAAGACTGGGAAAAAAATTCAGCCTGGGCATTTTTGAATCACAGTGGCCAAGACAGAGGGGGCAGGGCCAGAGAGGTGGTGTTTTGTAATCACCAAGGATAAACATGCCCCCTCTCAAAGCACGTTGGTTCAATGCTCTTCCAGGGCAGCCCATACGCAGAGCTCTGCTGAAGAGTTCCAGCATGAGAAAAAGGCCCTGTATTTGTTCTGTCTCTGATGTCTCCATAAGTAGGATACCAGAGGACAAAATGGCAAGGAAAATGAATAATGCATGTGTTTGGAGGCTGCTTGTGGGATTGCGTGTTTGTAGAGTGAGCTGATTGTGGTATGGTGTTTTGTGTAAATAGGTCGGTTTCAGTTGTTGTGTTTGTGGTGTAATATGTGTGGCTAGGGACTTAAGAGTGTGAGAGTGTGTGTATAGGGGGTGTAACAAGTGTGTGTAGGTGATGTAGTGTGTGTATGAATTGTAGAGAGTGTGTGTTTAGGGAATGTAGTGTGCGTGTTTGAGTGTAGAGCATCTAGTCTGTGCATAGGCGATCCAGAGTGCGTATGTCAGAAATGTAGTGTGTGTGTAGGTGGTGCAGTATGTGTCTATATGGGATCTAGTATGTCTGTAGAGAATCCAGAGTGTTTACAAGGAATGTAGTCGGTGTAAGTGGTGTAGTGTTTATAAGGCATAATGTGTGTGTTGACGGGTGCAGTGTGTGTGAAGGATGCACTGTGTGTGTGTGTGGTGTAATGTGTGTGTGTGTGTGTGAGTGAAGGGTGCACTGTGTGTGTCTGGGGTGCAGTGTGTGTTTTTTTTATTCATTTAAAAAAATGTATTTAAATACATGACTACTTCTGTGCATTTGTATTTATTTTTTTCAGGTATATTTCCCCTTCCCTTCTGACCTTTTACCCAGGGAGGGGGGAGATTGCAGCCCTGGTGGTCCGGTGGAGAAGCCCTGGTGGTCCGGTGGTGAGTTTACTCTCATGAGATCCGCTTCGACCTCTCGAGAAGAAGGACCAGGAGGAGCTGCTAGATAGAGCTACCGGGTCCTCTCTCTCCTACCTCCCAGCTGCCCAGTAAAGTGCTTGTGGGACGGTGAGGCCCATGAAGGCACACAGCAGGGCCGGCACTCGAATAGCGCTGTCCCTGCAGGGGTTGGCAGGGGAGATCCTGCGATCTCCCATGCCGGCCTCGGCCCATGGCCATCGCGGCCCACCGGGCATTTGCACCCTTGTGAAACAAGAAGTCACGGTTTAATAAAATGTTTTTAAATATCAATAGTAATATACTTCAATTCTATTTCTCATATGAAATCATAGGGGAGCCAATAATTGTGCCACATGTATGTTTAAAAAGTTTTTTAAATATATAAAGTATATTGTAGCCGTATTAGTCCAATGACGCCGATGTTAAATAACAGCTCAAATTTGTATCTTGTAATATCTTTTTTTAGTGTATTAGCAGAATTTTGTAATGACAAGCTTTCGGGAGAACCTCCCTTTCTTAAATCTGAAGCATTTCTGAGCAAAGACAACACATTGAATTCAAAGCTGAGTTGTGATACAGAGGTTAAATATAGATGGATAGATGGATGTGGAATAAAAGAAATAGGGGTTGTATGCACTGGATGCATCAAAAATAAAACCTAATATATCCAAGTTGCAACACTGAGCTGAGTTGAAGATTTTTTTGTTTTTGTTTTCTTTCTCCAACTCAGCTATTTTGACTGTAGTGTATAAACTGCATTGCTTTTAATGGATTACCCTTTGCCCCTTTAAAGTGACCTTTAGGTTCTGTTTGTAATGTATTGTGTCTACGTTTGTTCTCTATCTTCAGTTTGATCAGTTTATTCAAATATGTGTTATTATGTTTTCTAAAAGAGACCTCCCAAAATGCTGACTTGTATGACTTGTTTTGGATTTTTCTTTTTTTAAATTTGTATTAATTTTTGTTTTGCTATTTAGTATTTCTGTGTATATTTAATATACTTTCTTTAATAAAAAAATAATAATAGTGGTCAATTAAATAGCTTCACTGACATTTCTAATAAACGTCTTTTTTGACAGTACTGTATATCATATTTTTTAACCATGAGAAATTTACCTAGTAACCTATTACCTAGCCGTGTTTCCGAAGTCCAGATTTGCAGTTCTCTTGTTTGCATTCCAAGTATTTTTTTGGCCCACATTACTCCATATCAACAGGGCAGGTTGATCTGATATTTTGTTTGTAATCTCCTTCCATAGAAGCAGGCTAACCTTGCAAAAAATGAGTTTTCAGAATACATGTATCAAACAAAACCATTACTGATATTCTAAGTCCGCAACGTTAAGTTCCCAGCGGTTTGTTGTCAAGTTTTCGAATACATTGATCAGAAGTCGCCTATTTCCTGTTGCTTTCCTGCTAACCCTATTTCTAAATTAGGACTTTAAACCTTTACAGCCATGCAAATGCCCCGTGCCTGCTTACGTACCAATTGTGGCAAATGTACAGATGCAGGTGTAATTATAGGGATTTACCAATTTGTTGAAAAGCAGAAATGTATGCAAATTGGACAAACATATCATTTTTTTTTTTACAAATTGTTTTTTTTTTTCCTTTTCCATTTTTATTTCTTTTAACTAAGCCCCCAATATGCCTTTACCTTAAAAATACAATAAAGGGAGTGCATCTGCATCCTCAATGCAGTGGTCTGTTATTGATGGTCAGATCTATTCACTGCAGTGAGAATTCAAAGTGAATTTTCCAATTCTAGTATTTTGATCCCAGATTTGAAATTCACTCTGAAGTCTTTTTATTTTTTGTAAATAACACTCTATGTGTGGCTGAGAGTGATGAGGATCTCGACATTTGATGAGATGAGTACCCATGAGTGGATAGGGGTTATTTAGCCTCTTTATTTCACTCTGTAACGCTTCTTCAGTGTAGGTTTAGCGTGTTAAATCTATCACGTCTCTCTCCTGTATGATATGATACATCTGATGTGATAAAATGTGCAGATTTCTTTATGCCATCTTACCTTTTGGGAAAGCATTGGATTGTCTGAGATCATCATGTTTGATTAACTCTCAGCCCAGGAGATGGGGTGACCTCGGCAAGGGAGTAATGTTAAGTGGATCTTACCTTTTAATACCCTTACTGCGGGGTCGGCCACTTATAGGGAGAGTAAAACTATAGTGTTAGGAATATATGTTGGTATCACTAATGCTTTTTTGTAACTTTAAACGGCATTCCAGGTTGGGGTACACCAGATCAGTTCTGGAGAGAGGACTGGTTCTCCCCGTGTAGGTAAACCTCTCAAAATCCAGGTGTCTAAATGTGTTTAAACAGTCGACAAACCTATTGGCATGGGTATGACTTCACAATTTGGAGTTGCCATGGTTTAATCTATGGCAATTGGGTTTGTAAGGGCGCACACACATAGCTTTGCCATCATCTCACTGGATTGAATCCCCAGACTTCAGGAACTGCCCTGCACTTGCGGTTCTCTGTTGGGCCTGGTCTTTTTAACAGCTGAAAATGTTTTTCAGTTTTAGAAGGTAGATCTTTTTTGCAATGCTTCCAAAGTCTTTTTCTGGGGTGGAACTAAAGAGGCTGGCTTATGGCTCAGCTTTGAGCAAAACATTTATTTATTTTAGGCAAAAACTATAAAGATTTGAGCATGCAAAAAACAAAACATATTAATGACGGCAAAAACCTATGAAATGCGTTAAAGTTGCATTGGTGCAGTGAGTGTCCTTTTAACACAAGAAAGTCCTAAAATCAAAAAACAAACAAACAAAAATAAACCTTCAGTAAATGTAGGCTGCTAGAACCAGTAAATGGTACTGAATTCCTACTAATCTCCCTATATAATATTTAATAGAGATGATTGGCATCTTCAGTAAGTTTGAGCACACCTTTAGAAAAGAGGTATTGGATCAAGCAACAGCCAAATGCCAAATCTGACAAACTGTCAGGGTCGAGGCTTGGAGGATGATAACATGTGAAACTCTTGCTGTTGTTTATAACATGACTGTTATATCCCTACTAATACTCAATAAATCTCTAAAGAGATGGAAATTGATCTTGTGCCTCCTCCAATGTCTCCCAAACTGGTGTCTGGGCTTGTTGTGCTAATATCAACAAGTTCCTACATTTCAGGATTTCTGTTTCTTCCTGGTTGTTTAGCTCAGTGGAGCTAAACTCAAGAGTCAGCAATTGTCTTGAGCACCTGCCTTGCAAAGACTTGCCATCGAGCTGCATTGCCTGTGATTAAACAGTCATTATTATTATTATTATTATTGGTATTTATATAGCGCCAACTAATTCTGCAGCGCTTTACAATATTATAAAAGGGGGATTTTCCATTAAATGAGACAATTACACAGTGACACAGGAACAATAGGTAGATGAGGGCCCTGCTTACAGTCTAGAGGAGGTGGGGTACATATACACAACAAGGCAGCAAGGGTGACATTCAAGCCATTGGAAGTTTGGGCTGCGGAAGAAGTGGAGTGCTAGCAAAGGCTGCAGACAAGAAAGCTTTTGCAAGCTGTTTTTAGATATAACCCCAATTTAAAAAAATATATATATTTTTAAATGTATACATTTTTTCATTGTGGCTATATATACAAAACTTGCAAACAAAGAGAGGAGTGCATACACTAAAAAGAAGGGGAATACTTTTACAGACAGGGAGAACTAGTTCCCCAAAATGTCCAATGAACGTAAATAGAAAATGTCCAGGCACACCCCAGATGGTTTCTTCTAAAAGACAGCCTTTATTTGTAACCAAGAAATAAAAACACTGTCTCAGTTTCTACATGAATGTTTGTTTGTATATAATGTACTTATTTTATTTTTTATGGGGGGAGAGGGTGGTTTAACATCCCTTGGTGGATTCTAGGGTGATGCACATCCCCTTTATCTTCCTCCCATGGCGGAATAGCATCTGCAACAAATTGAGTTGCTTATTATTAAACAGGGAAATGGCTTTCACGGTATGCTGTTAGTGGTCCGATGGGTCTTCCATTCGATGTCCAGCCACTTCTAGTCTGTTCCAAGACTGGAGCGGTCTAACATTAAATGAGCTGATCCCGTAAGAACCTCGGAGGTGGCAGTATCCAGAACCTGGATTTTTGAGAGCTTAAGCACCTTACTTCATTTAATTTTTGCTCTTTTTCGCCTCTACAGCTTCAGTCTACAGCTGCCTCTGTTAGTCAGCTCTGTCCTGCGGGGAATATGCATGATGTATGTTATCTAGTGTGCCAAAATCTTTGTGAACCGTTTACAATTTAGTCTTTACAGCTGAGTATGTATATACACCAAAAAAAGAAGGGGGTTGGGGGGGATAAATACAGCCCAATCCCCACCAACAAGTGAATTGATATAAAATCACATCCTATATTTAGGTACACAGCTCCCTCCCAGAATATCCCAGAAAGTATCAATTTAACAGAAATGCAAGCAAAAAATAGAGGATACAGCTGTAGATCTACAAAATGAGAAAAGCAATAATAGCGTAATACAGTTTAGAACACAGTTTAGTGCTCCTTCAAGATTGCACTTACAGTGTGAAGACATAATATAACGCCTTAGGGTATCTCCCCTTCTAATTCTCTGGGGGCAAAGAAATTATAAAAAAGAATATATTGTATGGTCCTACGCATTTTGACCCAAACAAATTGGACTTTCTTAAGGACCTTAATCAAATAAAAATCAAACATCAAATTATTAGGATTATTTTATGCTGTTATTTTATATTTGATTTTTACAGCTGAGCACCTTATGGTAAAGAATAATAAAACAATTTACGTAATGTTCCTGTTACTTGGATTTTATTTCGTAAAAAATTTCTTCTTGAGCTTTCGAGATGGTCTGAATGTCTAAGGATAGAAAGACTTAAATGAATCATCTCTGACAGCTGATGGTAAATGACGGTTACATCTCTTTAGCCGTTAATGATAACTGGAAGCTGCGCATGTTCTGTATTAGTTCATGGCCAATCAAAATGATATTTTTCTTCACTAATGTGATTTCATATTATATTTGTGGAAATGTTTTTGTTATGGTAAACACTTGTGTCAAATGTGTATGTGTCTTCGCATACGTAACATCATAGCATTGCAATATATAAAAAAAAAAATGAAATATGTCCCTTTTAGATTTTTAAAGGAGCACTATAGCATTAGGAATGCAAATCTGTATTCTTAACACTATAATGCCCCTGTACAAATTAAACACAACTCCCCCTCCCCCTCCTTACACACTCCATTGGCGCTACTCACCTCTCCGCCACCCCCAAAATCATCGAGGAAGCATGACCTCCTCCATGACAGTCCAATGTTACATTACAGGGTTAAAAGAACAGGGCCACACCATCTAAAACACCACGTCATTGAAATAATTTGGTCTTGGTGACGTTAGTGTCCCCTTAGTTTTACAAAGCAGCATTCCTTCTATTAAGATTTACCTGTCATAATATCGTTTTAGAAAATTTAAAACATTTATATAAATTCTCTTTAAACCCAATCTGAATGTTTTTTTTTTTTTTTTATTATACTTGTTACAAATATTTGTTGATACATTAGAAGAGGTTGATGCAAATTAACCTCCTGCTTAGTTTCAGATCACCTTCTGAAGACTCATCTAATAACTTTCAGAATTACGTTGAACGCAACTAGTAAACAGTTTTAATTCAAAACAAGATTCTAGACAGAAAAAATGTGACCTCTTTCATTAAGGATAGGTATAACGTAATTCTTGTTCAGTGTGACCACAGCAATAATTAGTGTCCGCAAAACATGTTGTTTTTTTCCCTAGCTTTTAACTTTTTTTTAAAGCACAGATTATTAGTTATGGAGATTTGAAATGGATGAGGAAGCTTTTTACATAACATAATTGGTACTTTGTTATAAAACCTCACTTTGATTCCTTATACAAAAATCCAATTTGTAAGTTTTTATCAGGATAAACTTATTTTACACAATGAGATGAAACAGAAATCTATGGAGGAAAAATGCAATAGTATAATTAACTTTTTATAAAGTAAATTGTTAGAAGTACTGAGAAACCTATTGCGTAGGCACACTTGCTGTAAATTTGGTCTTAGAGAGAGATAGGATTAACCATTTAAATGGTTACTGCAAGCATCATAACTACTACAGCCCACTGTATTTGTAATGATGTGCGGAGTACCCAGGGCCACACACCAGTAAACCGTTTTGACCTATTGCTTGTGTCCCCGCCATGCCTTCTTATTGCTCTGACGCACATCTGCCTTCTACAGAGCTGCATAAGTTGGATGCTGAGACTGTCACCATTCTTTTCCTGAAAGCCAATGAATGCATTTCTGTGCATAGAAATATGCCCAGAATTGACATTAGTCAGCCCGGAAATTCCAATTCCAAACTTGCTGATGACGGTGGAGTTACAACAGAGGGGTTAAACTCCATATGAAACTCTTCTTTGAAATGCTAAATTCTGCATTGAAGCGCTATTCATACAGACTCCAGGGCAAGCACCATGATCACTTCAAGTCACTAAAGTGGTCATGGTGTTTTGAGTAATTACTTAAATTACTGATTTGTCCTAGTGTAACCCCCAGGTATGTGCTTCCATACATCCCAACAATGGAAGGCATGGAATCTGGAAGGGGTGGGCAGAGCCATTAGGAGGCATCACCAATTGGGCAACTTGCGTCACTGGTGAAAACCATAATGGGCAGGCTTGCACAGAAAAGGGTCGGGTCCACTCACTGACAGCCTCCCATCTGGAGGCTACTGACCCACTCCCTGCATTGTCCTAGTGCCCACTGCACAGCGCAAGCACATCTAATGAGGCATTCACACTATGCTGCCCGGGGACATTTCCCTGATGTCCCCATATGCAAGAAACCAGGGAAGTGAAGTGGGCCAGGACCTCAAAATCAGGATTGTACCGCCTAAAGCAGGACTGCTTGGTCGACTATGCTTTTGTAATTCAATCTGGTTAGTTATTGTGAAATTCCCATTTAAAGTAAATCTGTCACTTTTTTCTTTTGGTTTTCCTTTCCATACGCTTCCTGTATTTAGCCGAGTATACCCCCTCCTTTGTCACTTGCCTTAATTAATGTTTTCCTTGATACCTGTGTGCAGCCATTTAGTTCTCCTCTGCCACTGATGTCTGCTGTTTGCCCTTGTGTGGGATGATTTTACTGACGGATAAATTTAATTGGTAACTGAAACAGAATCTTGCTTACGCTCTCCCCATTGTCAATTTTTGTCAACTTATACATAAGGAAAAGTAATCGCTAATCAGGGAGCTATATGAAGTAGTTTAGATGAAGTTTATTTTGGTGGCAGATCCACTTAATGAGGTGGTTCCAATCTAGTGTTCTTTGTAGACCCCTTGAGTTGCTTTGTGTCTTTATTTATTTTAATTTTATTTTTTACAAACTGTGCAGATTTCAATAGAAATTGGTGCTTTTATAAATTAACCTTTTTACACCCCGTGGCTGTCAATCACAAAAGTTGCATCACTCCCAACAATTATGACAAGGGCATCAGAATGATAAACTGTAACTGTACAAGATGTTTAGGATTAGAATAAATGAATTGCCACCTGTCTAAACATATATTTTGCCCGTGTTTGGTAATAGTCTATAGGTGTTTATACTCTTTATCTTTTCTATCCTTATTTATCACGTTGTAGACTCTGAAGTTCACCTGAACAGTGTTCGATCACCATGTAGTCCTATTCACCAAAAAAATGTTAAATATTAAAATACTTCTTAAATAGCACAGACTTCCTCTACTGCTTTGATCATTTTTAAGCCAAGGTCGAAGGAAGTACCATTGAACGTTTTTGTATATAATGGATTTACTGAAAACCATTTCATCTTTACATTTGTTATGTTATACTAAATATTGTTCAGTTTTTTGTTTAAGAAATGTTAATAATTCACTTACTCTTTTTCCAATGTCCTCATTCACTGGTTGCAATTTGCCCTTGGCTTGTTTTGTGTTGTTTCTTTAAAGGAATACTCCAAATACCTAAATCACTTTAACTTGCTGAATTGCTTTGTGTGAAGGTGTCCTTTTTAAAAAAAAATTATTTAATAAAAAGTTCAGATTTCAATAGAACTTTGCACTTTTATATATTAACCTTGTTACACTTACCTGGCTGTCACGGAATTGCCCAGAGCACCTGCCTTGCAAATGCAGGTGTCATTGAGCTGCATTGGGAAGTCTGTGATTGGACAGCCACAAAAAGTCTGGGAGGGGTTAGAAGGGGAGGGCTTGCAAAGGCTTCAGATCTGCATCTTTTGCAAGCTGTTTTTAGATATACTACCAATGGGAAAATGTAGCAATAAATGCATACATGTCTTCATTGGGGGTATAATAACTAAATCGTTAAAATGTATATTGTTTTTTTTTTTCTAGTGGAGTATTTCTTTAACATTTTATAACTTAAGGCAAGAAAGTTTTCACCGTGGAGAATGGTAAATGAAATGTGTGCCAAATAAATTACAATATAATGTAAACTTCATGGCAGTAGTGTGGAATGTTTCATTAAAATGTTTCATTACTGTCTGTTTACTCTCTTGTGTAACATCTTTTTACTCATAGTCTATTAAGACATCTTTTAAGACATTTGCATGAATATGTTGATATGGATTATGTTGGAAGATGTGGGCTATAATTCGAGATTTGATGCTATTAGTTTAAAAGAAAAAAATTAGACCATCTGATTGAATGAAATATTTAAATAGTAGAATGATGTTGGTTTCAGGTAGAATTTTCTAAGGGTTCAAGTAGAATTTTCACCGCTCATCAAACTATAGCACTCAACTATCCAGACATTAAAACACTTTTACCCTTTTATATTGGAGATCTCGGTTCCTTTGTAGTCCAGTTTATTTTACAATGCTTTACTTGGCTTACCTGGGCAATAGTTGTGTTTGTGATAAATTAACAGTAAGCTTGGCCTACTCTAGGAATGCTAGAACTTGGCATAGAAATGTACAATAAACATAGTAGCTTTATTCTTGTTTAATCAAATGCCGTGATAGCTCATAATGAGAAGCTAAGACAAACATAGGAACCGGTTGAATATGAACAGATATTGTTGTGTCCCCCTGATAAACAAACCTTCTTCTGTACCTGGTTGCTCAGCTAGCGAGGCCACCATTTTCTATTAAAGGGACACTACATTGCCCATCCCCCTCCTCCCCCCCAAAAAAATTAATTTTGTAGATATACCCTCAGTGGGAACATGCATGCATTTAATCATGCTTATTTATGTGGGGTATATCTAAAACGAGCTATCAGAAGCTGCCGATCTCTTGTCTGCTGTCTTTGCAGGCAACCTTCTAACTCCACTCAGACTTTCTGTTACTGTCCAATCACAAACTTCCTAATGCAGCTCAATGAGAAGTCTTTGCAAAGCAGGTGCTCTGAGCAATTATTGCCTATTGTATTTAGCTCCACTGAACTAACCAAGCCAGGAAGTAACAGGACCGGTTGTCTGTTTGACAGCCAGGGTAGTGTAACAAGGTTTATCTATGAAAGTGGCAATATCGAAATCTGTACTTTTTGTGAAATGATAACTTGCTGAAGTGCTCCAGGTGTGTGGAGTGGTCCTTTAAGGTGGGCCATCTCTTTTTGAGGAGCATGTGTTCTTGTTACGATTAGTCATGCATTTGGATTGGAAGAAAGAAGATTTTGTCTAAGGCAAAGAAAAGTTTTTTTTTTTTTTTGTAAGAACAATAAGGATGTGGAATTCTCTACCTGAAGAAGTGGTTTTATCAGAGTCCATACAGATGTTCAAACAGCACTAGATGCATACTTGCAAAAACAGAATATTCAAGGATATAATTTTTCAATGTAGGGTAATAGCTGCTTGATCCATGGATTAATCTGACTGCCATTCTGGGTTCAAGAAGAATTTTTTTTTCCTAGTTTGTTGCAAGTGCTTCAAACGGGGTTTTTATGCCTTCTTTTGGATAAACCGCAAAAAACAAATGTGAGGAAGGCTGAACTTGATGGACTCGAGTCTCTATGTAACTATGTAGTCTGTTTCATAATTTGGCCTATCTTTTAGATGTTTTATAAAGACCAGTATGGTATATTGACTAATTGACTATCCTGGTGTCTACAATGATATAATATTGGTAATTTGGTAATAGTTGTTCATTAATCATTAAGACTGGAATTATCACACATGGGAATTCTCCGAGACCTGTCCCAGCTATATATAGCGTTTAAAGAGCTTATTAATGTGCTCTACTATTTTCTTTCCAGAAAGCCATTTAATAATCCCAAAAGACTATTATTTTCATCTAGCAAATTTACAGTAAATGTAGCGGTTTTTCCTGAAACTTTTTCATTACTGCTGACCAGTCACCAAATCCCGTTGCCCCCAACAAAACACGAGACCAGAATTATGGGTAAAGGCAACGGCTTTAGCTTTATTAACTTTTTTCAACTTTTAACAGACCAGCATTCCATCAAACTGTCAGCTGTTGGGTGACTTCTCCCCAACAGATAGATCCCGCTTCCTTGTCCAGAGTTCATATCAGCCTGCCTACCGCCATCAGCCCTCGGCAGGCTCCAACTCCCCAAGCCAACTCCTCATTTTACTTCACTTTCCATTGCGCCGGAGCTATGACCACTAGAAATAACAGAACCACAAACACACACCAGAAACAAGCCAACCATCCAAAAAAAGAAACTCTGGGAGGGTGGGAGGGAAAGATTCAGGGTCCCTTACTCTCGTTCTGGGCGACTGGTAAGTCCCCTCTTTTGTGTCTCCTTTTTATTCCCGTCAAACTTTCCAACATTGTTTTAACTTTAGCCAACCTCTTACTTCTGGGCAGCAGTCGTGTCTTCCCTTCCTTGAAGTCCAGTGAAATACTGTCAGGGACCAGGAACCAGACAGAGACAGAACTAGATGCAAACACACCTTTATTAATAAATAACAAATAAATAACAAAAGCAAAGTCCAGGAATCAAGCAGGGGTCAGTCACCAGAGCGGGTAGTCAGACAAGCCAGGATCAGGAGCACGGAGAGCAGCGGAGTCAGGAACAAGGCCGGAGTCAGGAACCAGGAGCAAACAGGAAACACAGGAACAAGGAGACTTCTGGGGAACAGGAAACCACGCAAGGGCAAGGAGGTTCTGGGATTTGCTGCTTAAATAGGCAGCACTGATTAGCAGCAGGGTTGATTACTACTCTCAGGTGAGTAACCGTGGCAACATGCAAAAGGAGCTGATAGTAATTGCAGCTGAAAACTCTTTCACTGACACAGAAAGGGTTGCTGTTTAAAACAGCAAAGAAACCCTGACAGTACCTCCCCCTCAACGACTCCCCCCATCTCTGCTGGTGGGTCCGGGCTTCATGGGGAAGCGGGCATGAAAGGAACGAAGGAGGGATGGTGCATGGACATCAGAGGCTGGAACCCAGGAGCGTTCCTCTGGACCGTATCCTTTCCAGTGCACCAAGTATTGGATCTGTCCTCTGAAGACTCGTGAGTCAATGATGCTGCGTATTTCATATTCCTCATGATTGTCAACCAGAACAGGACGTGGACGTGGCACTGAGGTGGTGTAGCGATTACAAACCAACGGTTTCAAGAGGGAAACATGGAAAACATTTGAAATGCGCATGTTAGCAGGGAGGTCAAGTGCGTAAGCTACAGGGTTAACCCTTCGAAGAATACGAAATGGCCCAACGTATCGGGGTGCCAGTTTTTGTGAGGGAACACGGAGGCATAGGTTGCGAGAAGACAGCCAGACCCTCTCTCCGACCTGATAGGTAGGAGCAGGAAGGCGTCTGCGGTCGGCCTGGAGTTTGTATTTCTGCATTGCGCGTTGCAAAGAGTTCTGAACCTGCACCCAAGTGGAACGGAGTTCCCTGAGATGTTCCTCCAATGCCGGTATCCCCTGTGGCAAAAACATATCAGGCAACATGGACGGTTGAAACCCATAGTTCGCCAAGAATGGGGATAGCCGGGAAGAGGCATTAATCGCACTATTGTGGGCAAACTCCGCCCAGGGTAGCAGATCAGACCAGTTGTTCTGGTGGTCAGAAATGTAGCAACGCAGAAACTGTTCCAGTGTTTGGTTAGCTCGTTCTGCTGCACCATTGGATTGCGGGTGGTAGGCCGAGGAGAAGGAAAGCTGAATTCCCATTTGTGTACAAAAGGCTCTCCAAAATCTGGACACGAACTGGCTACCCCTATCTGAGACTATCACTTTAGGTAACCCATGCAAACGAAAGACCTCCCGAGCAAAAATTGTTGCAAGTTCCTGGGAAGTAGGTAGTTTTTTCAAGGGAATGCAATGTGACATCTTCGAGAATCGGTCAACAACCATGAGAACGACTGTATTGCCATGGGAGACCGGAAGATCTACGATAAAATCCATGGACAAGTGGGTCCAGGGTCGTTCACCATTAGGTATTGTTTGCAGGAGACCCACTGGAGGGCGTCGTGGGGTTTTATTTTGAGCGCACACAGGACAGGCAGCTACAAAAGCGGTGACATCCGAACGGAGACTAGGCCACCAAAATTGCCGGGAGACGGACCAAATTAACTGGTTTTTGCCTGGATGTCCAGCTGCTTTGGAGTCGTGGTATGTACTTAATAGTTTAGTACGGAGGTTAATCGGTACAAAACAATGGCCATTAGGTTTCTCTGGAGGAGCATTAATTTGTGCAGCCAGAATCTCCTCGCCTAGGGGTGATGTGAGGCTAGTGCGGATGGTTGCCAGTATATGGTCCGGAGGAATCACAGGAGTAGGGGTTATCTCCTCTCTGGATGGAGGGGAGAACTGTCGAGACAAGGCATCAGCCCGAATGTTTTTAGTACCGGCAAGTAAGAAACCACATAGTTGAATCTTGATAGGAAAAGAGCCCATCTAGCTTGCCGGGGGGAAAGCCGCTTAGCCTCGGAAAGATATGTAAGATTCTTGTGGTCTGTGAGGATGAGGATTGGCACTGAAGTACCTTCAAGAAGGTGCCTCCATTCTTTGAGAGCTAAAATTATGGCTAGAAGTTCTCTATCACCAATCTGGTAATTGCATTCCGCCGGGTTCAATTTCCTCGAGAAATACCCGCACGGATGCCTGGAGCTCTCAGGGTTAGGACGTTGAGACAGGAGGGCGCCTACTCCTGTCTCAGACGCATCGACTTCCAGAATGAATGGTAAGGCAGGGTTAGGGTGTGCCAGTATAGGAGCAGCAGCAAAGGCGACTTTGAGAGACTCAAAGGCAGTAATGGCTTCCTGTGACCAATGCTGTGGATCAGCATCTCTCCTGGTCATGTCCGTGAGAGGTTTAACCAAGGAAGAAAAGTTGCGTATGAACTTCCGATAATAATTGGCGAAGCCCAGAAAACGTTGTATAGAGCGAAGACCCGTAGGTCGAGGCCATTTTAGTACAGCCGAAAGTTTCTCTGGATCCATAGAGAATCCAGCATCTGAGATAACATATCCCAAGAATGTGACCTGTTTGCAGTTAAACTCACATTTCTCCAATTTGCAGAACAGATTATTTTCTCTAAGTCTCTGTAGAACACGAGAAACGTCTGCGTGATGGTTCTCGAGAGATGTGGAATGGATAAGAATATCATCAAGATAAACCACCACACATTGCTGCAGCATATCTCGCAGGACGTCGTTTATAAATTCTTGGAAAACCGCCGGAGCATTGCAAAGACCAAAGGGCATTACTAGGTATTCGTAATGGCCGCTCCTGGTGTTAAATGCGGTTTTCCATTCGTGGTCCTTTTTTATCCGGACGAGATTATATGCCCCTCTCAGATCAAGTTTAGTGAAGACCGTTGCTCCCTTGAGGCGGTCAAATAACTCCGTGATCAATGGAATGGGGTAGGCATTCTTAATAGTAATGCGATTGAGACCCCTATAGTCGATACAGGGTCTCAACTCGCCATCTTTTTTTTTCACAAAGAAAAAGCCGGCCCCGGCAGGAGAAGATGACTTCCGAATAAATCCCTTAGCAAGTGCATCGGTAACATACTCCTCCATGGCTCGATTCTCTGCTACAGACAGTGGATAAATCCGGCCACGGGGAGGAATGGCACCAGGTTGGAGTTCGATACCACAGTCATACGGACGGTGCGGTGGCAGAACGCTGGCTTGACCTTTATCAAATACATCTTGGAATTCTTGGTACTCAGCGGGTAAGGAAGAGGCAGAACATGTGCCCAAAACTTTGACCGGTTTCTGGAGACAGGAAAATGTGCATTGCTGGGACCATGATAATATCTCAGCTTTGCGCCAATCAATTATGGGGTTATGCTTCTGTAACCAAGGGTATCCCAAAACAACCTGGTAATATGGAGAGGAAATGACCTGGAATTGGATCGTCTCATGATGTAGAGCCCCTACAGCCAGAGATATGGGCACGGTTTCTTGGGTCACGTGGGTTGGCTGTATTGGTCTGCCATCGATGGCTTCGAAGGCTAGTGGAAAGTCGCGAGGCTGTAAGGGTATAGAGTGCTTTGATGCAAATGCACAATCTATAAACAAGCCTGCGGCCCCAGAATCAAGAAATGCCCGGGTTTTAATGGATGAATCAGGCCAGGAGAGGATAATAGGCACCAAGGGTTTGCCCACATATATCTTTGGGTCTGCAGAAAGACCACCTAAGATCTGCCCCTGACAGTATCTTGGGTGCGGGCCCTTTGCCGGACGAATCGGGCAAAACTTTAACATGTGACCGTGGTGTCCGCAGTATAGGCACAGGCCCTCCCTCCTCCTAAAGGCTCTCTCCTCAACCGAGAGGCGTGAGAAGCCTAACCGCCTTGGCTCCACACAGACAGAGGACTCAGGACCAGGAGGCATGGGAGGTGAGGGAGGTTTGGGTGGGCAAGAAAAGCTCGGTGCCAAATATACAGGAGGCCTCCGCAGGCGCTCCCTGGATGAGGATCTCTCTCGGAGTCTGATGTCAATGAGGGTGACAACTGATATCAGTTCCTCGAGATCTTTAGGTAATTCTCTGGCTGCAATCTCATTTTTAAACACATCGGAGAGGCCCTGTGCAAAGGCAGCCACGAGAGTCTCGTTGTTCCAGCCACCCTCTGCTGCCATGGTACGGAATTCACTGGCATACTCGACAATAGTTTTTGTGCCCTGAGCATTAGACAAGAGTAGTTCGGCAGTAGGGGTGGAGCGAGCTGGAATATCAAAAACCCTTTTAAAGGACGCAACAAATTCAGGGTAATTGTAAATAATAGGCTTCTCTGCCTCCCAGAGAGGTTTTGCCCAAGCTAGGGCCTTTTCAGACAGCAAGGAAATCATGAAGTGAACTTTGTCACTGTCTGTAGGAAATGCCTGGGGCAGGATTTCAAGGTATCCTTTAACCTGATTTATAAATTCTTTGCACTGAGCTGGGTTGCCCCCAAAACACTGAGGGAGCGGGACAGACCCAGTCATTCCTCTAGCCGCTACAGGTTTGGGGGCTACAACCGGTGCTAGAACAGGAAGTGAGGCAGAGACGGCCGCAATCGCAGGCTGGCCGGGTACTGGATCCAGATGGGCATACTGGTCCAAATAGTGGTTCTGCTGGTCCCACCGGGTAAGTAGGTTAGGTATAGGTGTCTTGCCTGTACCATCTGTATTCATGGCCCTTGCGTAATGTCAGGGACCAGGAACCAGACAGAGACAGAACTAGATGCAAACACACCTTTATTAATAAATAACAAATAAATAACAAAAGCAAAGTCCAGGAATCAAGCAGGGGTCAGTCACCAGAGCGGGTAGTCAGACAAGCCAGGATCAGGAGCACGGAGAGCAGCGGAGTCAGGAACAAGGCCGGAGTCAGGAACCAGGAGCAAACAGGAAACACAGGAACAAGGAGACTTCTGGGGAACAGGAAACCACGCAAGGGCAAGGAGGTTCTGGGATTTGCTGCTTAAATAGGCAGCACTGATTAGCAGCAGGGTTGATTACTACTCTCAGGTGAGTAACCGTGGCAACATGCAAAAGGAGCTGATAGTAATTGCAGCTGAAAACTCTTTCACTGACACAGAAAGGGTTGCTGTTTAAAACAGCAAAGAAACCCTGACAAGTACTTTATTATGATGGCCATTTAGGTATTGCTTCTGTTTAACCAAACCTTAAAAAGCTGTCAGCAGGCAAGCAAAACATGTGATTTACATCGCCTACATATATCTTTAACGTGAACATACTTAAAGTGGCTCGCTTATTTTGCAAAGATTCCAAATGGTGACTGGTCCACTTGCTGTACAGTGGACTGTGAGTGCAAATGAAAGTCGTTTTTACTTACCTGAAACGGTCCTACGTGGACACCACTATCTCCTGCAAATGTAGAATTCCTGACAATTCTCACTACAGTATATAACCCAGCAAATGCATTTTCCTACCATAGTTCCATACCTCCAAACATTTGAAATGGGCAAAGTAAGACACTATAATATTAGGAATGTGAGTGGGGGTGTAGCCATAGGCGAGCTGTTCTGAGAAATGTTAGGTGACTTACTAATAATAAAATGTCAACTAAAATGTCATTTGGAACAGGAGCAATGCATATTATTTACACAGACTGATTTCTAAACATATTCTTGTTTAAAGACACATTCCTGTGGGTATTGTTTCTGTGGAGTTTATACACTCAGACACATAGGCGTGCGCACGGGGTGTGCCGGGTGTGCCGTGCCTATGGTTTGAGTCCTGCAGGAACAGCGTTCCTGCACTTTTTTTTGAGCAGGAACGCTGTTCCTGCAGGCACTCAGCGCCCCCTGTCTCACCTCTTGCCCCTGTCATGGGGAGGGCAAGAGGTGATGGATACCCCCCTCTCTGCATCTCAGCCGCGGCGAGGGAGCTGTCTGATGTCATATTCCGGCTCCCAGCTACAGTAGACAGCCCGCGCGTCGAGAGGTAGCAGAGAGCAGTCAGCTCCCTCGCCGCAGCTGAGATGCAGACAGGCGCCCGCCCCACTGGACCCCAGGGAAAAGTCCACGCCAGCACTCCAGGTAGGGAGGCTGGGTGGACATTTTATTATTAAAATATAATAATTTGTATGTGTGTGTGTGTGTGTGTCTGTGTGTGTGAATGTGTATGTGAATGTGTGAGTGTGTGTATGTGAGTGTATGTGTGTGTGTCTGAATGTGTCTGTGAGTGTGTGTGTGTGTGTACGCTGCATATATATATATATATATATATATATGCACACACACGTGTATATTATTTTTTTTGGGGGGTGGGAATCCCGATCTCCCCTGTCAGCTCACACAGAGCCGGCGGGGAGACCAAATATCTACCTCACCGGCCCACAGCAGCATGAAGGGAGGCAGGAGAGGACCCAGGGAGCTCTAGACAGAAGCTCCGCCAGGTTCCTCTTGCGTTATCTGAGCGTTGCTGTGGCAACGCTCAGATCTCGCGAGAGTTAACTCTAGCCCCGCAGGCTAGAGCTCACTCTCCACTGGACCACCAGGGATGGCACATGGCAGCAAGGATTTACTAATCTGCCCCCACCTCCACAATCCCTCCAAACATACAGCACCTACACACATACAGCTCACACACACACAGTACACTAACCGCACCCTCATAAACATACACAGCACCTTTAAAAAAAACACAACACCCTCACAAACACACACACACAAAGAGCATCCTCACAAATACACGACACTCACACAAACAGCACCCTCACAGGACAAACACACACACACAAACAACCTCACACACAAACAGCACAGTCACAAACACACACAAACACCGTCACATCACACTAACAGCACCCTCACACACACATCACACTAACAGCACACAGCACCCTCACACAGCACACTAACAGCACACACAGCAGTGTATGTGTGTGTGTGTGTGTATGTATATATATATATATATATATATGCAATAGGCTGCGCACGCCTATGCTCAGACATACCTATACTACTGTAACTCCTACAAAAGAGGAACATCAAAATAGAAAAGGGATAAGGGGGACTTGGGCCCAACCTATGGACTGCCTCTCTTAAATAGGTACACTTGGAAAGTATGCATTTCAACATGTTTTTGCTTTTCTTTTTTTTCGTGGAAAAATACTTGAATTTTCCTCCAATCTATCTAAGCTGTCCCATCACTAATCAGCATGTGACTCAAAGTGTTACTGCCCTTCAAAAAAATATCTGTGAGTTGTAAATTCTCTGGTTTGTAACTAGAGCTTAATTAGCTATTCAGTAACCAAGGTGGTTGCATATGGCCCGGGCTCAGCTGGCCCCTTTTGAGTCAGCAAGGATATCAAAAGATTTTCTTCCACAGCCTTGCACTGCCTCACTTCAATGAGGTTGTGTGGTCTGTACCAATACTAGGTACAGGCCACTTTCACACACAAAACTTGTTCAACACACACCGCTCACAGAAGCAGTGTCAATGGCTCTTGGAGGCCCTGGGCAACCTTAGTCTTGCTCTGCTTGTAAACCACATCCACATCAGCATGCTGAACCCATTAAAGCTATTGTATGATCTTACTGGAAAGTATTGCTGCTTGTCCAGGTGCCCACGCAACTAATGCTGTGGAAGCAAACGTTGTGCTCCATTGATGTGTTGAGGTGCTTGTTGCACATGCCAGAAACCGGATGCATTAAATCAGATTGGATTTCCTCATGCTCCAGCTCCAGGAAAGCAGCTCTTATTTAATATTCACATGATTTCCTGGCAACACAATACTACCTTTACTCCCTTCTTAAACTGCTCTCATTTAGCAAATAATCCGTTGGCAAGTCAATTAACGTGTTTTCCTCCCCCTCCTTCCCTTGAGGGTATATTCTAGAGCTAAGATTACTTGTCCTCTTTAACATACCTCATATAAAATCAATACTGGAAAATGACATGGGGAGAGTGGTCTAAAAGGATTCCTTTCAGGGATGCAGTGCATGAGCAGGAAAAGCACCAACTGACTTTAGGTGGCTGCCTGGAGCCAGGGCCGGACTGGCCTACCGGGAAATTTCCTGGTGGGCTGCTGCACCTTGGGCTGACCGACAGCCTTAATTATCATGCTCCTGTAATCTAAGTATTTTCCTCTCTGACTGTACCAGCATGTGTCAGTCCGAGGGGAGTAAAGAGGGAGGAGCTAAGAGGCTGGTGCGGCCGGAGGGAGACCTGTCAGTTTCCCTTCGAAATGTACAGCAATTTTGGCCACAAGCCCCGCCCTCACATGCAAGTTCCGCTTCCTGTACACAAACCCTGTTCCCACGCACTTTGCTGGCAAAATGGCAATTTCACCTGACAGTGCCAGGTAAGCTTCAACCATGACCTTTATTGTGTGCCTGCTACTGAGAGTTTGTGTGTGCATCTGCTACTGAGAGTTTGAGAGAGCTTGTGTGTGTGTGCGCCTGCTAGTGAGCGAGCTTGTGTGTGTGTGCGCCTGCTAGTGAGAGCTTGTGTGTGTGTGCCCCTGCTAGTGAGAGAACTTTTGTGTGTGTGCGCGCCTGCTAGTGAGAGAGCTTTTGTGTGTATGTGTGTGCGCCTGCTAGTGAGAGCTTTTGTGTGTATGTGTGTGCACCTGCTAGTGAAAGCTTGTGTGTGTTTGTCTGTTCCTGTGCTTGCTAGTGAGAGCTTGTGTGTATGTGTGCCTGCTAGTGAGAGTGCTTGTGTGTTTGTGTGTGCCTGCTAGTGAGAGAGCTGGTGTTTGTGTGCCTGCTTGTAAATGTGACCGTTTGTGTGTGCCTTCTAGTGAGTGAGCTTGTGTGTGTGTGCCTGCTAGTGAGTGAGCTTGTGTGTGCGCGCGCACCTGCTAGTGAGTGAGCTTGTGTGTGTACGTGTGTCATTGGTTATAGCTCTACTAATCGGTGCATACCGCTCATGAATTCTTTCAGATTGTTTTTAAACAGTTTGATAAAGCCTGGGGTTCTCCACTGCAAATATAATCAGATTCCTCTAACGCAAGGTTTTAGAAACATAGAAACATAGAATGTGACGGCAGATAAGAACCATTCGGCCCATCTAGTCTGCCCAATTTTCTAAATACTTTCATTAGTCCCTAGCCTTATCTTATAGTTAGGATAGCCTTATGCCTATCCCACGCATGCTTAAACTCCTTTACTGTGTTAACCTCTACCACTTCAGCTGGAAGGCTATTCCATGCATCCACTACCCTCTCAGTAAAGTAATACTTCCTGATATTATTTTTAAACCTTTGTCCCTCTAATTTAAGACTATGTCCTCTTGTTGTGGTAGTTTTTCTTCTTTTAAATATAGTCTCCTCCTTTACTGTGTTGATTCCCTTTATATATTTAAATGTTTCTATCATATCCCCCCTGTCTCGTCTTTCCTCCAAACTATACATGTTAAGATCCTTTAACCTTTCCTGGTAAGTTTTATCCCGCAATCCATGAACCAGTTTAGTAGCCCTTCTCTGAACCCTCTCTAAGGTATCAATATCCTTCTGAAGATACGGTCTCCAGTACTGTGTACAATACTCCAAGTTAGGTCTCACCAGTGTTCTGTACAATGGCATGAGCACTTCCCTCTTTCTACTGCTAATACCTCTCCCTATACAACCAAGCATTCTGCTAGCATTTCCTGCTGCTCTATTACATTGTCTGCCTACCTTTAAGTCATCAGAAATAATCACCCCTAAATCCCTTTCCTCAATGTTGAGGTTAGGACTCTATCAAATATTCTGTACTCTGCCCTTGGGTTTTTACGTCCAAGATGCATTATCTTGCACTTATCCACATTAAATGTCAGTTGCCACAATTCTGACCATTTTTCTAGTTTACCTAAATCATTTGCCATTTGGCTTATCCCTCCTGGAACATCAACCCTGCTACATATCTTAGTATCATCAGCAAAAAGACATACCTTACCATCAAGACCTAGACGCATATCATCATATCTATTCCAGGTGTGGCATTGTGCCAGTGACTCGTTCACAGGGAAAAGTAAGGGGTGGCCACATAATATCTAGACCATGTTTATATCAAACTGCTCAGAATCTCAGTATGCTAGTGAGTGAGCTTGTGTGTGTGTGTGTGTGTGTGTGTACATGCTAGTGAGTGATCTTGTGTGTGTACATGCTAGTGAGTGAACTTGTGCGTGTGTGTGTACATGTTAGTGAGTGAGCTTGTGTGTGCATGCTAGTGAGTGAGCTTGTGTGTGTGTATGTGTGTGCGCCTGTTAGTGAGTGAGCTTCTGTGTGTGTGCCTGCTATTGAGTTAGCTGATGTGTGTGTGACTGCTAGTGAGTAAGCTTGTGGGTGTGTGTTTTCCTGCTAGTGAGTTAGCTTGTGTGTGTGCCTGCTAGCATGTGTGTGTCAGTGAGCTTGTCTGCAGTAGCTTTCCTGTGGGGAACGTGTGTGTCAATGAGCTTTTCTTTATTGAGCATGTTTGCATGCTTTTCTGTAGGGAGCATGCGTGTGTCAACAAGCTTTTCTGTAGGGAGCACGTGTGTGTCAGTGAGCTTTTCTGTAGGGAGCATGCGTGTGTCAACAAGCTTTTCTGTAGGGAGCACGTGTGTGTCAGTGAGCTTGTCTGTAGTGAGCATTTGTGTGACAGTGATCTTGTCTGTTGTGAGCTTGTGTGTATCAGTGAGCATGTGTGTGTGTCTGTTGTCTGTTGTGAGCTTGTGTAGTTTGTCTGTACTGTGTTTGTGTGTTTACCAATACGCTTGTCTGTGTGTGTCAGTGAGCCTATGTGTGTGCATCTGTAAGCTTGTGTTTTTATGTATATCAGTGAGATTGTTTAGCTGTGTATCAATGAGCTTGTGTGTGTCAGTGATATTGTCTGTGTCTGCATGTGAGTATGCTTACTGTATAATTGTTTTCCTCTGAAAGGACCAATATTTTATATTAGAAAAAGAAATATATATATATGTGTGTGTGTGTGTGTATATATATATATATAATGTGTTTATATATTACGCAATGTTATATATTACATGTGACAATATATGGCGCAATGACTCCTGGGGCTGGCATAGATTTTTTTTTTTTTCCCAGGGCTGCTTTGTATCCCCAGTCCGGCCCTGCCTGGAGCCCAATGATTAGACTTTGCCCCATTCACTATCCATATGTGAAGAAAGAAAGGGGGAAGGACCCAAACTGATAACCTGTTTGGGGCCCTTTAGGATCTTAAGTTGTCTCTTATTACATGGTTTCCAGCTGTCTCAACACTTATATTGTGTCTTTACTGGGATTCTCAAACAAATGCTATAGAAATGTGATAGTCTGTTCTACCGTATGGGGTACAGGGTGTCCATATCTTCATGAATGTGCAATAATATGCCATAGGCAAGAAGCTTCACAAGTATAGAAAAGAAAACAGTCCGTTTGTCATTCTATATATGTTGGGATTTCAATTAAATTCCAAAATATATATTTTATTGAGTTGGTATTTCAATTAAACCCCCATGTAATTTATGGGGATCAATGTGTTAAAGGATCAATGAAATGAAGTGGTCTGAGTGCCTATAGTGTCCCTTTAATCGCTGTAGCGATCGGGTCCGTTTAATCGGAGAAAATATGAATATTTATGTATTTTCAATACAATGACCTCCAACAATTCTTACTGCACTTTTTTTTGTGAAAACAACAAGCATCACAACCTGGTACCCAACAATATTTTGGATAATGCTGGTTTCCCTTATAAGATGTGTCACCAGCACTGATAAACAAGTATCTAGCTACTCGCCCCGAGGAGTAGATGTCACCATGATAATGTGAGCTGGATGCTCTTATTGAAAGGAATTTAGGAATAATAGGTAGGTGTGGGTGCAGGTTTGATTACACAATACATTTTTTTTTGGATGCCAAGAACACTGATATAACAAGAGAACGTATTTATTCAACATAATTTGTAGATAGGAAGAACTGGCACTGGTCGGAACAGAAGGGTAGCTGATAACAGCAATAAAAGCTTTTCTGAGTAATAATATCCTTCTTGAATGAAGGACTATTCTTCTCTACACAGCACCAATATGGGTGTTGGCCCATAATTATGTGCGTCTCTCTTCAGCCTCTTGTTTTCAATGGGTAGTGTGAACAGCCCCCTAACTACACCCAGGAATGACTGAATTTAATGGCAGGCGGCTGTGGCAGCATTCAAACTAAGCTGTTGCCAATACTTTCCCTTTCTTAAGACCTACTGTAAATTGACAGAAACCCCAGCCTGGGGAAAAAGCCTGGAGATAATTACCGGATAAGGGAGGAAACACCACAGCAGCAGTGGTGTTTAGGTAACTTATTGCTCAAAGTAAATCTGAACAGTAATGAATGCAAGCTTTTCAGGTCTCGCCATTCTCCTATGCCGTGTTACCTGCACAAAGTTGATACTTCAGTGGTCTTACACACCAGTTAAGCAGTTTTTGTCTGTCTGATTTTTGTATGTAAATAAATTACAAAATTGTGGCACTAGCACAATGTCTAACTTTTACCAATTTTAACTACATTTCTAAATTAATTATCAAACACTTTTCTATTCTTTCTTGTGCAAATTACCCTATAACTCTTTTTTTTTTTTTTCTCATCCAAAATCATTATTTAAGACCATTTTATAAAGATACATAAACATAGACTGGCCAAGAAGAGAGGTACGATGGAAACAGAGTGTCTCCCCGCTTGACGCGTGGATGTAAAATTGAGTCTGAGTAACTATTGTACAAGTTAGATTATATTTGTGGAATGAAATTCCAGAGTCAGTTTAGATACCCATTTCTCGGGTTTGTAAAGCCATGGTTCCCCGTGCAATGGGTCCAGGTAGTATCTCTATGATATGATTAGGGAGAAGGAGTTAAAGAGCAAGGTAAAGAGAGAGAAGAATTAAAGAAAGAAGAGGGAGATGGAAAATTTCAAGGGGAGAGAGGGTAAGTGATTGTGGTGTATGTGTTTGATGTTGTCTAGGTAGAGGGACCCTAGATAGATAGTATCCAGGGTGTTCAAGTGCACTCCATTACTCTTCCTCTAAGACAAAATTTTTTCTATAGCCACTTATCCTTTCACAACTGGGTTACTGTCTTATGCACTGGTTTATCTGATGACCGTGCTCAACCCATATAATCCATCCTCAACTAGGATGACAAACCATCCTCAACAAGAATAATTTTCCTTTCCTCTAAAACAGCACCCACCCCTAAGCTATGAAATCCCCAATTGTAGAGTACCATACAAAAACGAATTTAATTGGTTCAATACTCCTATCTCTATTCTTTATTCAATATGTTATACTGCACTATAAGCCTGTAGGTTCCCAAAGGTTAGTCCATGATGGATATTTTATTGCTACACAAACCTCTGTGGCAATATCTGGATTATTTTTTATCGCTGCCCTTTCTCTTCTATTGCAATGTAAATGTCATTCAAACAACTTTTAAATGTCACATTGTGTTAATAAACAAAGTTGGTTTACCTTACGTTTTAACAGAACAACAAGCCTGCACTTTCTCTCCTCTTCGTAGGCATATCTGACTTCCATTCCCATCCAGATTATATAATTTGCTGTGAAGTCAGCCCTAATAATGTAAATAGAGGTATAACTGTGTGGCAAGGTGACAAAAACCCACACCAGCCATTTGGAACACTGTGACAAAAGGTATGGTAAACACCCCTTACCAATGCAGGAGTACTTTACTGCTAACCTTTAATAGAGCCTTCTTTAAACTGGCTCTAGGCATTCAGGCTCATGTATCTTAACTGAGACACTTCCTTCCTTGAAAACCAGACCCAGCTCATGTACGAGGCCACAGGACTCCAAATGCAGTATAGTCAGAGTAAAATATTTATTTATTACAAAAAAATAAACAGTAAAATCAAATTTTAAACAAATCAAAACAAACTAAATAGAGAGTCCTAAGGCAATCCCATCCAACGCGTTTCGCCATCATAACTGCTTTCTCCATCAGATGTGTACCATTGCTTATTCATACTTTTTGTCTTAAAGCTCACTGAATTGGCTGGTATGGATTTTTGTCACCTTGCCACACAGCTATACTTCTGTTTGCATGTTGAGTACATTTTGGGTATGTATTTCAGCTCTATTCAATACTTATAAGCACCTATTTGCCACAGATATTGCTTGTTTTGATATCTTTATCATTATGTATTAATTTTGTATTACTTCCTATCATAGCATCATTGCAACTAGTCTAGTGCACTAACTGTATATCCATTTTACTGTGATATAACCAATAAGGTGTCAAGTATAGCTGTCATTGCCAAATAAGAAGCATATTCACTTATTTATAATAGATAAAACCAGAAGTCCCAAACATCCCGATTTCTTCAGGGCAGCCGATTATCGGTTCCAACTTTGTTCCACCAGTTACACCAAGTAACTGTCCTCAGCAAGCGCAGAGTGAGCGAGTCGTTAGACAAGCACTTACTATGCTCAGGGCATTAGGGCCTGCCAGAGAACTTTGAAATTGTGCTCCTGCATGTCCTACCCTCAGTGGGCCAGCCTGGATGATGGACAGGCAGCCTGTCATGCAGTCATGCCAGGCTGACCTGCCAATCATTTGGGTGGACTCGCCCTCTTTCTGGTTTTACCTATTTAAAAAGACTGCGATAGCACAATGTTTTTATATGAACAATGGCTGAATAATTTGATAAATTACAAGAAAAGCAATCCTCCTTGGATAATATAAGCTCATCTCAGATAAGACAAGAACATTTTAGTACAAGGGATAAGGAACTAAAAATATAATGTGGATTATACTCTTTTCCTTAAAGGACCACTATAGGCACCCAGACCACTTCAGCTTAATGAAGTGGTCTGGGTGCCTGGTCCAGCTAGGGTTAACAATTTTTTTTTTATAAACATAGCAGTTTCAGAGAAACTGCTATGTTTATGAATAGGTTAATCCAGCCTCTAAAGCCTCTAGTGGCTGTCTCATTGACAGCCGCTAGAGGCGTTTGCGTGCTTCTCACTGTGAAAATCACAATGAGAAGACGCAAGCGTCCATAGGAAAACATTATGAGACTGGCTGAATGCGCGCGCAGCTGCTGCCGCGCATGCGCATTCAGCCGAAGAGGAGGAGAGGAGGCGGAGAGGAGGAGGAGAGCTCCCAGCCCGGTGCTGGAGAAAGAGGTAAGTTTAACCCCTTCCTCTCCATCCAGCCCGGTGGGAGGGGGACCCGGAGGGTGGGGGCACCCTCAGGGCACTATAGTGCCAGGAAAACAAGTATGTTTTCCTGGCACTATAGTGGTCCTTTAAGTTACTTTTCCCTGCTGAAAATTATTTTTTCAAAACATGAATCCCCATAGAAAGGCTGATCGAACTTGGAATCCAACATTGTGTGTCTGCATTCCAACCTCACAAGTTTCTTGAATATGGTGAGACAGTTTGGCTTTGATACTCCTGTCGTACTCCTTTTGCTTTTCATAGGCACCAGAGGCAATCAACAATGAAATTTAAAAGGACTATAATCACTGAAAGAATTTTAGCTTAATGGCGTGGTTTTGGTGTATAGATCATGCCCCTGCAGTCTAACTGCTCGTTTAACAGAGCAGGAGATAACTTGCAAGTAAACACACTGTGCTGTCGCATCCGATTAAAAATGTTTTCAAGTAGCTGTGTGAATCACAGTTTTAGTGCTTAGAGTATAATTTTAAGTGTATCAATGAATGTACTCAAAGCAGCACTGGATCTTTTTCATGTGCTCTGCTCATGCAAAAGTACTTCTACAGTACTGTTAATGCAACCCTGCTTAGCGGGCAAGTTGCATATCAAGCTCTGAAGACTATTCGCCCCACTTGTTCACTGACATTTTCCCTCCATATAACAGTACCCCCACCCTCTCATTTCACAAGTTGTCTTGCACATTATATCTCCAAATCTCATACTTTTTTTTTGTCTCATGCTTATTTTTAGTTTGAAAAGAAAAAATGATTTCTTTAATTTGTAGCACTGTAACTGAAAGCTGGTGCCTTACTTTTCGCTTTATTTCTTGTTTTGTTCAGTCTACCAAAATATTAATCCACCAAAGTCAAAGATTATATGTTAAGGTGGAACTTGCCTGTTAGCTAGTTTTGATTACCTTCACCAAAAGAGAAGGACAAATGTAGATAACTAGGTATTATATCCTGCTGATGAGCTCTGGTCAATCTCGAAAAGAACAGGCCTTCAATAAATGTATCTAAATGGGATTCTGCATGACCATTTCCATCTCCGTTATTGATGTGTTCTTTTTGTTTTTCAGATTTTTAATAGATAAATCAGGATAACTTTGAATAACATTAATTTGGATAACATTTTCTGTTGAAATATGAAGACAAAAACTAGAGCAGGTAGGAGAAGACTGGAAGCTGACCAGGACGAGGAAAGTCAGGGCCATCAAACGTCAAGTGAGGAAGACACTGGTCTATTGTACAAGGAAAATGGCAAAAGCAAAAATCAAGATTCTGTAAAAAGTAAAAGGAGAAAACAGTCATCCAGTGGGAAGGAGCACAGTGTCCGCAGACTAGAGAGCAACGAACGAGAGCGGCAGAGGATGCACAAACTTAATAATGCATTTCAAGCTTTAAGAGAAGTCATCCCTCATGTCAGAGCAGAGAAGAAATTATCCAAAATTGAAACACTTACACTGGCAAAAAATTATATAAACACTTTGACGGCTACTATAATAAACATGACCAGTGGATCGTTGCCCACAACTCAGGGAACTGGCACAGACATTGGAGGCAAATTCTATCAGCATTACCAGCAACAACATGGAGAGGAGGACAACGATGAACATTTGAAAAAGTACTCTACACAAATTCACAGCTTCCGACAAGGTAGCTGATATAAAACCACCTGGTTTTGACTTTCCTTTTTTTTTCCTTTTTCTTTGAGATGGGCATGAATACGAAGGGACATACTTCAAAAATGTATATTATACTCCTGTTTTTACCAATCAGTGAAACATTAAATTGCCGTTGGATGTAAAGCATATTTTAGAAAATGTAAATAACTTAGGTTAATTAGAGTTGGACAATCGTATTGGAAATTGTGATTAGGCTGATTTGATATGCTTCTCAAACCAGTTTCCATAGAATAACAATCAATAATTTAGAGACTACCCCCACTCTATTCTAAACGCTAAATGAGTAAAATGTGGACAGTTGGTGGTTTTGAGAACTGATTTGAGAAGCACTGTTTTGGAGAACAATTCTGCAAATTAATATTACATTAAATTGTGAAGATTACATAGAAATCTGAGGGCAGTTATTGCTTTTTTAATTCAAGAGGATTGTATATATAAAAATAATCTAGTATTGTCAGAATGTAAAATATTTTAGATTGAAGATGTAGGCTTTTTAATATTTGTAAGATCTGGAGGCACAGTTTGTCAGTGCTCAATTAAAGAAGGGGAAGCAATGAGCAGGATTTGAGGGTAGAACAAAAATGCTTCCCCCCAGCTCATGCTCATCTTGTGAAAAAGTATTTTTACATTTAAATATTTTAATTGGGAACTGGCAGGAAGAGAGTAATGTAGGTATTTTTAACCTTTGAGTTTTCCTTAATTGGTTTATATTCAGGACCTCAACTTTTTAAAATTAAATAAAAATAAGAGAAAAAAAAATCCTTTAAACTCACCTGTCCCCTCACAGCAGTCACTCCGCCTCTGATGAGATCATCATGCTTGATGATATCTGTCCAATCCAATACTTTTAATTGAGACCATCTCAAAAATGGCAGTTTTGCATTTCCCAAGAAAAGTAACAATGTCTCAGTATTAAAACCACTATAATAAAATGCAGTGGTTTGGGAGCTTAGCATGTCCCTTTCTTAATATTGAATTTATAAGAAAAATAAAGCAAGCTTTTTCGAGACGCTCAGCATTGCACACAATAGCTGGGCAGAAAGCCACATACAGTCAGGTCCATAAATATTGGGACATCAACACAATTCTAATCTTTTTGGCTCTATACACCACCACAATGGATTTGAAATGAAATGAACAAAATGAGCTTTAACTGCAGACTTTCAGCTTTAATTTGAGGGTATTTACATCCAAATCAGGTGAATGGTGTAGGAATTACAACAGTTTGTATATGTGCCTCCCACTTTTCAAAGGACCAAAAGTAATGGGACAATTGGCTGCTCAGCTGTTCCATGGCCAGGTGTGTGTTATTGCCTCATTATCCCATTTACAGGGAGCAGATAAAAGGTCCAGAGTTAATTTCAAGTGTGCTATTTGCATTTGGAACCTGTTGCTGTCAACTCTCAATATGAGATCCAAAGAGCTGTCACTATCAGTGAAGCAAGCCATCATTAGGCTGAAAAAACAAAACAAACCCATCAGAGAGATAGCAAAAACATTAGATGTGGCCAAATCAACTGTTTGGAACATCCTTAAAAAGAAAGAACGCACCGGTGAAAAGTGGGAGGCACATATACAAACTGTTGTAATTCCTACACCGTTAACCTGATTTGGATGTAAATACCCTCAAATTACAGTCTGCAGTTAAAGCACATTTTGTTCATTTCATTTCAAATCCATGTGGTGGTGTATAGAGCCAAACAGATTAGAATTGTGTTGATGCCCAATATTTATGGACCTGACTGTATATGTTATTAACAAAATATGCATATGTTCCCTGACTTGGTACACAAGAGAAATGCCGGTTTTACCTTCCTTTACCTTACAACTGTTGTACAAAGTAATTCTTTCTTTGTTTTATGCATAGTGTCTGAACAAAATGGAGAACATGACATAACAAACTTATATAATCTCAATATTAAAAAACAAAACAAAAAAAACACTAAAAATACAAGAACCATTGCCCTGGCACCCCCACCCATAAATAGGCAGACCATTTATTCTTCTCTGCAGTGCAGAGTCGGCTCATTAGATAAGAGTAAAGCCCTCCACCACCTGGCTGCTTCCAAACAGCAGAGTCAGGCAGTGGTGGACCCCAGGTAAGAAATCAAACCATTGTAAAATGCTTTGACAACTTGCATTGTGGGGCTGTAGTAGTTATGGTATTTGGAGTGTTCCTTTAAGTGAATTTGTAGAAGGGAGACTACAAGGGTACTGTTTCGCCTTTCCAGAGGTATTCTTACTTTCCTTAAAATATTGTCTGGAAATTATTTATACTATTCTTTCCTAGTTAGATAAGAACCATGAGTAGGATTGGGAAGATATGTTTCGTGATTTACTTTTCACTGCAAGACACAGCTTGACCGCATTGAGGGCTCTCAGGCGAAATCCCCTGTACACTTTAAAGAACAACATTACATATATATAGGGAGTCTAGTTCCATCCCTCTTAAGTGTCCCTACTTAGGATGGACAGTTCCTATGCTGGCCCCAAAACTATGTCTCTCTCTTCTATCCTAATGTCCCTCTTTTCTAGGGCCTCCTTAAAGTTGGTGTGTTTGAAAGTATAACAGAGCTCCACAGCAATAATACCTCCAGTAATGTGTCTTTAAACTACAATAAATGTGTTTAGAAATCAGTCTGGTTAAATAAAATACATTCTTCTTGTTCTAACTCATATTTTAGTTGCATAAATTGTGATGAGTAAAATCACCTAAAATGTCTCAAAACAGCCCTTCCCCTGGCCACACTGACGCTCACACCCCTAAAGTCATAGTGTCCCTCTTTGTCCGTGAAATGTTGAGAAGTATGTATTCCCTGTGGCAGCTTTAAATGTTTTCACTCTATGCTCATCATAGGCTCTCGGTAAAAGTCAAATTGCAAGGTTGGCCATTCCTTCCATGTCTGTAACACCTGGAAAGAATCTAGATACTGTGAGAAATTCCATTTAAGGAGCAGGTGTTGGCACGCACAGAGGAGGTAATAGTTATTTGCACAGAAAGTTAAAGCTTGGTTTAAACTAAAATGTGTTTTATAGCTAAATGTGCCCACTAATTCATATCTAATATTAATGTAATGTTGGTGACTAAACTGATCCTATTGGTGTACAATTATGCACTTTTATCAGTGTAACCCTCGCAATTATAATAAAGTTTAACAACACTTGCTTAGCATTGCGGTGGGCACATCTCTGGCTTTCGAATGATTAGATTAACGAACTAGGTGAAAAGGTTATTTTGAGCATTAAATGGTGATTCTATTTTTTTATTTTTTTTATTGCAGTTAGTCTGCAGACCTTTAGTACACCATTGTGATATATCCAAATATCCAAAAATGTTGGGACTTTTTTTTTTACGAGCTGATAGGGCCTCAAAGCATAATGTAGCCTACTACGAATTACACTTTACATGTCGAAGAATATAATTCAAGTGGGAGTTATGTATTTTCTTCAAATGTTATTCTGATAATTCTTGGTAGAAGGAATTAAATAAAAAATATCACACCCAGTTCCTCTATAATCTGTGCAGGTCATCACTAGATTAAATTGAGGATAAATGTGTCTCTTTATTTTTGATACATGTCATAATTTGTGAACCCTGTAAAATTAATGTATATTAAGTGAATAAACATGCAAGTATGAACCAGTTGTTCTAGCCACAAGGAGCACTGAAAAGGGTTAAATCAACGTCAAATGAACTGTAAGTTTAAATACAGCCTTGTGTAGTACAGTCTAACACGCTGTTTCATACAGGTGTTGATTTGCATGTAATTCTATGTTTCTGAATTTCTGTTTTCTTAGAATAAAGTTATATCCCACTATTTATGTATCTTTATGTTCAGTTGCCATTTCATAACAGTAGCAAGTTGCTTAGAGAATAATAGGCTAAATTCAATTATTATTTTTTATTCAGTTTATTTTACTTTGGTTATTATCAAATGTCTTTAATATCTGCCTGCCCAAAACTCCTATCAAGATGTGAAAGTATATTACAAAGAAATACAAAACACTAAGCCCTCAGTGGATACTATTCTAGAAACCTACTTTTCTATGCTACCCTTACCTTTTGTGTCACTATACCCAGCTCCCTCTAGCATGTAAGCTCATTTTAACAGAACCCTCAACCCCCTATGTTCCTGTGTGTCCAACTCATCTTGTTACAAATATGTCTCTCTGTCCACCCATTGTACAACACTCCTGAATTGTTGGTGCTTTATAAATAATATTCATAGACAACACAAACATTTCTGATCTTTCATTTTATCTGTCTTTTGGGTCTCTTGAAAGGCAGACTCAAACAAAAATGTAGCAAAGCAGAGAAGGACCTCTAGATTGACAGGGAAAGAGTGAGCTGAAAATAGATAATGAAAAAAAGAGACAGACCCAGCCAGAGACAAAGTGGAGAAAAATACAGATAAATCCAGAGAGAGGGTGATGTATTAGGAACATGGGTAGTAGTCAAAAAGTCAGATATAATATTCAATGAAGAAAAAGAGTCAGAGACTGGGACTTTTTGTTCAGCTGATTTGTCTCTCTTTGGATCAGTCTTAGATTATTTTTCCCTTTTTAAAAAATGTTTTTCTCTCTTTGTCCATCTGTTCCAACCGTATCAGTCTGTTTATCTTCCCAATATTATCAGTTTGTCACTCCCACTGAGTCTCCCGTATTCATTTGTAATTTCTCCATTTGAGTCTACCCCATTCATTTCCCCTATTTTTAGTTTATACCTTTCTTTGTCTGTCTTTCTGTATCGCTCCATTCAAAACACATCTATACAACTCTCCTTCGTTAAGTGTAGCATAGCAGAGCCTTTAAGAAGGACAGTACTGGGATCCACTGTCACTCATATCCCAGTGTTGTCCATTCTAATTCTGACACCCTCTACCATAGTTTAACATTACCTACTAAAGGAGTACATTTTAAGGCCAAATGTGGCAAAAAAAAAAAAAAGGAAAGCTAACTTAAGAGATGTTTTCCATTTGGGCTATTATGACCTTAAGTTTGACTCGTCACTTAAGTTAATAACCCTGTAATTCAGCTGTGAACCAAGAGGCAGAAGAACTATAATCATTATCTCCCTACTACCACTAGAGTGTCATTAATAAGGAGTTGAATTTCCATAGTGCAGGTGCCCACCCAGCAGGAAGACCAAGCAGTTTGAAATGTGGAATCCTTGTTTCTACTGGACTAAACACCCAAAGACTTTGATTAAAAGCCTGGTGGGTTCTATCCAGCTGTCTGGCTCTGTGTGTTACACCCTTGATGTACACCATGAAGGGATTTACTACTTTCAAAGTATATCCTTGGGTTTTGATCTTCTTGTTAACTGTCTTAAAGGACTGTCATCACATTTGTACTTCTTTTATTATTTCATATAATGTAACTTCATGATTTTTGTAATGATGTATATTAATTCTTTAAAAAAAAATAAAAAAAATGTTAAAGCACGAGAAATGAAAAGTTCATGACCGTAGTTCTTGTTTGATGACAGTATTTGTTTTAATAACCTTGGAAGGATGAAAAGCTAAATCGGTGTCACCAGAAAAGGAACCTGCAGCTCCAGTTTTGCAGTAGCAGCTCCTACCACTAATTTTATGCTAGACACACAGACACTGGTGTTACTAAGTTCCATGAACACCTGGGGCTTCAGCCTGAAGGAGGCTTGATGGCCCCTACACTAACAGATCATGCCACATCGCTTCTTTTATACCGATACAGCCTGCTGTGGATGCTCTCCAGGACCTCAGTTAAAACATAGTCAGAAACGAACACATGCTACTCATCAAAATATAGAATGCAATCCCACCACACAGCTAAATAAGGAGTGTGCAGCAAAACCTTGATTTCCACCATCCTTTCTGACAGTCCCCCTAAGTAGCCTGGCAGAGCACGGAATCACTAAATGTCTTTTTAGAAGAAATGGTGCTTTGAACAGCAGCTGCCTGGTATAAAATTAAAACAAAACAAATAAGCTCTAATATCATTTTGTCCCCTTCACCAATTGTAGAGATATGGGGCTATAGAGCATCACATCTGGAGCTTCAGTCCCCGAAGTCCCTGCCCAGCAACGCCTATGCAGACAGAGTAAATCAGCTTGTTGGTTCTTGTATGGCCCAGGGCTGCCCAACAGGTAGATCCCCACATGTTGTAGAACTACAACTCTCATGATACTTTGTCATTCTAAAGGCATGCAAAGCATCATGGGAGTTGTAGTTCTACAACATCTGGGGGATCTACCTGTTGGGCAGCCCTGTATGTATGCAATTACTCTTTCTAGAACATCTTTTCTTCTCTAGCATTTTAAGAGTTAAATCCAAGCTGCATAACACCAATGGTAACTGACTGGTTAAGCAAATAATTAGAGAAATGTCAGAAGGTAGAGTACGTAGTGTTCCTCATGGACAAATTGCTGCACATATGTTTCCTGCCAAGTGACAGTCTGTAAAATATAAGGATATATATGAAGTTCGCTTGTGTGCTTGCTTAGTTCTGCCATTAAACAAAATCGCTGTTTGCCTTCAGGCTTACTTGTTAGGAAAATAATGTTTGATGAGTATTTATTTCCTGCCCATGTCATCAGATAATTATCAGGTAAACGTATGATGATGACCCCCTCGGGGAAAAATCCAACAGTAGCAAAAGGTTTAATATTATGGATTAGCGACTTCAAGGAAAACAGGTTTGCAGATCCTTGATGAGCTTACATTTTTGGTTGCTTGTAACCAGTAAAATATATATAATTTAATATTTTTTTTATGCATTTGGTAGAAGGTGGTATGACATGAGCTTCATGTACAATGAAGTGAATGAACGTAAGACAAGTCAGAGAATAATTATACAGAACTTGAAACAGGTTTGTCTTCTAATTTTGTATTTTTTGTTAGATGTAGGGTATTACTAGACCTCCTATTGATGACTGTGTTCCTGTGCTACACCAGTGGTACTTGATGGACATGCAAATATTCGTTCTGGGTAGCACAGGCGACTGAAATTCCTTTTAATTCATGTACAGACTATTCGATCCGTCTGAGATTAACCATAAGGACTCTTAAGACCTCAGGTAAATCAATGAAGTAATCGTTTGTATATGGTTTAATAGGCCTTTTTTATTCATCGGGCTGTCTTGATCGAATCGTACGATTTCTAGTACTTAACCACTGGTTTTGTAAACTTAAATTGGGTCTCTATACTGTCTTAGTGGGATCTCACTAGTTGGAAAAGGCTCGTTTTATTCATTAAGAATCAGGCATTAGATTCTTGCATTTACTTTAATGAGTTTGTCCATTAAATCCATGTAAAAGACCATATATATTATTAGTATATCAGGATAGCATATATACTTTATGGAACCAATTAATGAAAGACTGAATCTTCGTGTATGCAATGATCATTATCATGACTAACTATTTTGGTAAGCTACAAATTTTGAAAACTGGATTCCAGTTCCAAGTTTCTTATTTGGGTTACTTGTAGATGATCTTCCAAAAAAAGTCCATAAATACAGTGCCTTTATTAACAATCAATATCAAATACCATTGTTTTCATCTTACAAGAGTACCCAGCTGATTGCTAAGTTGTCTTAGACTTAGAAAGGGTCTTAAAGCAATGCAAATTATTCCACCAGAATTTTCAGCTACTTTGTCTCTATTCCCATTATAAACTACTTATTCCAAACACGATATTGGAATATGGACATAACGCTGCATTATATGCCTCTCCCCTAACATGTCTTCGTATAGATTGTGAATTGCCTTTACTGCATTCTAGCTTTCAAAATTTTTTGTTCCTTGTTCGTTCTCTGTTTACATTTTTTTTTCTATTGAAATTTTCTTTCCATGTTTTCAATCGGCCAATATTTATTTTTTCCCCCAATTCTTCATTTTTGCATGACGCATCAGAGAAATAAGCACTACATGGAACCATGATGGTCTTACATGACAGTAATTATGCAGACAGTATGGTGTTATACAAGTCTGTTCATCATAGGTTCCACAAGTGCCACTTTTTTAAAAAAAGACTACCTCACTCATGCCATCTTCTCTTCATATTCTCCACTTTATGATCAGTCTCTTCTACTGTTTCAACAACACCTAACAATAATTATGTAGACTTTAAAACAGGTTTTTTTCTTCTGAATTTAAAAAAAAAAAAAAAAAAAAATTAAATTCTTTATTTTTGCAGTGCTGATAGACAGCCACTAGAGGAGAACTTAAACCTGCAAGGTAATTATTGCGGTTTATAAAAACTGCAATAATTACACTTGCAGGGTTAAGGATGATGGGAGTTGGCACCCAGACAACTCCAATGGGCAGAAGTGGTCTGGGTGCCTGGAGTGTCCCTTTAATTCAAATAGAGACTTACCGCTCCGTTTGGGACTTACCCAAAGACTGTTCATCTGTATATAAATTAAAAGGCATTTTATTCGTTTGGCTTTTTGGAACGAATAGTACTAATTGTAGTATTTAGCCCCTGGTTCTGTAAGCTATAAATGGGTTTCCATAAAGTCTTAGTGGATGTTCACAGTTTGGAAAAGCCCACAGTAAGTAGTTTTAAGCGAGCAACCAAAATACCACTATAATAAATCAAAATAACTTACTTACCCTTTTCCCAGCACTGAGTTCTCCCCTTGATGATGTCACTCCCCCTCACCGGAATGGGGGAGATGTTAACGAGGGTGGACTGAGAAAAAGACAGAGGCAGCATGGAGGCAGGGGAGGGCATGCCACCAGTGGCTGTCTGGTTTCAATATGCTGTGAGGGCTGGTGTTAGATGTCAATTTTGCACAGAATTGACTTTAGCCATCCTGGACCTCTAGCTCTGGACTTGCTAATGACACCCTTATTATATTGCTGGAAGTGGAGTTACACTCCTGTAGGTGCAGTGTTTCATAGCAAAGTGTATATACTGACTCCAGGCACCATGTTCACTTCAAATCATTTGAGTGGTCATGGTGCTTTGAGTAACCCTTTAATATAACTTTCATACACCTTCTCAATTTCAACCAAACAAACAGATGTTAGTGGTTTTCAACTACAATAATTCTAAAGTAGCCTTTGGCTTTTTTGCTACTTACTTACATAATTCCTTTCTATTTACCTTGGAAAATACACCATCAACTGCAACCCATCTCTGAAGGTGCTTCTGAACAGTTGAGGTACGAGCATCGCTCAAGGAAATCTGGCAGTAAATTAGACAATTGTTCTTTTCTGCCAAGCAAACATACTGCACTTCCTTCATCATTGCATTTGTTAATAATACCAAGAACCTACAAATGTGTCAGATCACTACTTTGCCTCATAACAACTGCTACCTGTTTTAATATCAGAACTTAAAAAGCGAACACATTTTTACCTAATTTAAAGAATTCTAATAAGACAGACTATACCTTCAATTTCCATTACATCAAGTTTGTTCCCCACAGTTTGGGGTTTATGTATTCTGTCCAATATCCCATCACTTGTCTTTCAAGCCCATCCATTCAAACCTTACTAAATTACTTCCATGGCTTTTGTTTAATCCTGTATTTAATTTAGATTTAATCCCCTTAACAACAAGCATGCAGTTATCATTTACCAAAGAAAAATCCCCTGATTCAACATTTAGGATCATTTACTACAGAGATACATTTTAAATGCAATTTGAATTTCCAACAATTCTCCTTTTAGTGACTAACCCAAAATGTATCTTTCTAATATCCTATATATGTATTCTTCCTCTTCAAAGAGTCTGAAATGGTTTGTATACACTTAAATTAAAAAGACACTCTAGGCATCATTAACACTTCATCTTACTGAATAGGTTATGGTGCCTGGAGGTACCTGGTACCATTTCACAGTGCAAGGTTAAACAGTTTGTGCACTAAATGAGATCCTCTGGATCTGCTGCTTAGACGGATGTGTTCAAATTAATAAATTGGGTCAATCGATTTCTGTTGCCCATAGCTGGTATAGTTTCAGCTGCAGAAGGGGTCACGGTTGCTCAAGAACTTTTGTACAGTGTGAAACCTGGATCAGTTTAACACTAAACTCTGGCACAGCACCAGGGGCCTCTTGGCACCATAACCAATTCAATGATATGGTGTCTAGACAGCCATTTAACATTCTCAATTACAACTTTGGTTTTTGCTTGTTGCTAAAACTGCACTACACCAAGTGACAAATTACTCACTGCTAAAAGGTCATTATATAATTAAAACAACAACAACAAAATGAAAAAACACTTTTCTGTTGCTTGACATTGTGAATTGCCTGCTATTTAACCACCAGGAACTTTGGACTCAATTTGGACTGTGGACTGTTCTTTGTTAGCCCTTCTCTTATGTCACTTATTGAAAGTCAATTTATGCTGTGCCACCTCATCACTGTTCCTTCAGTATGGATACTTTGTGGTTACATTGTATATCCGGTTTCATTTTCACTTTACCTCTCATGGCAAGATATCCTCTGTCAGATTTTAGAGGAGAAAATACTGCAAATGCCTTAGAAAACCTTCCATATTTGGAAGGCTGTCATACAAACTCTGCATTGTATTAGGCAGAATATTGCTTCATTCCTGAATAAGAAAGCTTTCAGGTCTTCCAAGTAGTAAAAGTGTACGGGTCAACTACTTAAAGATATGCACAAAAATAGCCTGTCAAAGAGGGGCAGCCAATGGCAACCTGATATGAAAGCTCGGATTTAAAAACACAAAATGGTGGGGAGAAATCTGCTTTTCTGTATGTTACCTCATGAAGACAAATGACTTTTTCTAAATCTCAAGAATTCTTTCTTATACATCAATGCACACTAGGCTTGTGCATTCAGTTTTGGATGAAGCCATGATGGAGGACAAGAGGTCTGGCCGGTGGGTTGGTGTAGGTGTAAGTGGTTTAATAAAATTGCCTTGAATTATGATCATCCAGATACAAGAATTTGAACAAGGTTTACTTTGCTGAGGTTGTGTTGTACATCATCATAACCCAAGACTTTCACATTCAGTTTCAAACAAATCCCGTTTTATCTGAATTTTGATCACAGAACCAACAAGGTCTCTGAAACAATTTTTGGTGGGGCTAGGGAGGAGATGGAGGAGAAGGGTATGCATAATCTACTCCTTACATTACTTTTTGTATCATAAATAAATGATTTAAGCTTTCCTGTATATGTATCTTTGCTCCACACATTATTGTATTGTAAGGATTGCTGTATGTGTTAATTATGTACAAGCCAAGCCTTCTAAACATTCACTATCTGGATGACCATAATCTGAGACAATTTCATTAACACAGTGCATGTACTACAAATAATGAGTAACAGAGTGCAATGAGTATCCTCTTTATTTTTGCAATGTAGATGTTGCTTTTAATTACATTTAACAGTGAAAACACAAATGTTAATACATGTAAACATACAAATTTTAATGGAAAAGTAAGGGCTCGCATCATACATTTGCACAACAATGTGTAACAGAATTAAAGTTGCCCAGAGGTACGAGAAGAAGAGTGAAATGCAACTTGCAAAACTCAATAAAACACAACAAAACAAAACTCATAAGACCAACACGCATGATTACCAATAAAGATAATAATTATAACCAGTGTTAAAACTTAACTCACATTTAAAAAAAGTTTATTTAAATAAAATAAAGACCCATAAACCATGTTTGATCAAAAGTGCTATGAAAAAACGAGATCTAAAAAACAACAAACAAACAAAAAACCCAAAATGATGCCTTTTAACTATTTTCTATCTCTTTTATAACCCCTTATGGAAGCTCAAATTAAGAACCATAACTAATAATTTTATAATTCAATAATTGGTCCTGTGGCATCCTGTATTGATCCCGTGGTCCTGGATTTAAGGAGGGTTTACATAAACTTTTAGAGACGCATATATTTTTGCATCTAGAGCCAGGTTGTAGAAAACTCTTTTTAAGGTAAGCATTTTTAGTTTCCTGGTCTAAGTCAATTAATATCAGATTTATTACACTATTTAGACTACATGTTTTCTGGCTGGTAGATTGAACAGGGATAGTGTCACCATAGAACACATCTACCCGAGCGATTTGAGGCTATCCCTGTGAGGCTCTGTTCTGTGTGAGTGTTGCCTTTTTATTTCTCTGAACTCCTTATTACCATCAACATACTACACTAGATTTTAATGTTTTAATTTTTAAGCATTTAGGATCGTATACCCTCATCACTTATAGGAGTAAGTTTATACATTTAGAGCCACACTATATCACTGGTATTGGCCTTGGTTTGCAACCCAGTTGCTTTAGTTTTGAACAGGTTAGTATGTAGAGTTGGGGAAGAACCTACATTAGTGTGGCGGCAGCCTTTGTTCATTTTCTGTACATATATTAAGCACATATTTATCACACATCACCTTATTCATTTACTCAAATATTGTTTCTATTTATCAACTCCTGCCAAATTCATTGCCGCTTTGTAAATTATAATTTTGTATTTACTGCACAAGTGCAGGCACTCAATTAACCCCTTAAGGACACATAACGTGTGACATGTCATGATTCCTTTTTATTCCAGAAGTTTGGTCCTTACGGGGTTAAAAGATTATTTCAGTAGTAAAGGTAAATGTGAAGCACATGCAGCCTTGCAGCCAGGGGAGCAGTAACTAGCGATTAATCAAGGACAAATAAACGTGTGGTCTTAATACATGCTTATTTTCTCCTTGAAATCAACTGAAAGGTACAAATGCCCCATTAGCTCATCAGTTAACCACTGTTCTGCTTATGTGTAACATGTCTAAGAGGGCAGTGATCATTGGAGTGTGAATCTTATACTACACAATATGGGATATACACTATGGCAGATGTACTTTTTGTTCTAATCGAATCCCGGAATAGAATCTTCCTGGCAATCTTTGACAATGATTGCAAAGCTTGGCACTTCAAGTACATCTCCCATGATGCATAGAGAATCTCATCTACTGGCTGAGTGTTATGGGAAGTGTAGGCAAACATTTGCAGCATCAAAGCTAGCCATTCCTGGTCTGCACCTTGGTAGCCACAGTGGGAAACTACCAGAGATATATATGTGAACAGATGCCAACTCATTTTTTTTATTTGTGGTTTATTCACTTAGACCAGATGTTTAGGCACCAAATTCAAAAGAAACAGAATACAATAAAGACTCATTATAAATTACAATTGTTACGTAACAATTCTCAATGGTTCTTATGTATTTGAGTAATTTAACTTTTAGTGAAAAAGCCCTTTAGATGCCAAAATCTAAAACAAAGATTCTAACTGAAATTACTGGTCCACAAGCCCAAATATCTGACACTGGATAACTTTATAATGGTTGCCATGCAGAGTAATCTGATCTCAACATTTATAAACATTATAATAGTGAGGACTCTCCATTTTACCTAATCACTGTTTCAATAATACTTACAAAGAAAACAAGATTATCAGATGTTTAATGCTAAGATTGCAGTATTGCATAGGCATATCAAGAAGAGGCTCACTAACCAGAAGCTTCTAATTCTGTTGGATGGACTGTCAACCTGTCCCATAGATGCCTGTACTGCAGGGTCTATGGAATATATAGTAAAATCCACAGTAACAGATCAAACGCATCACACAGGGTGATTGTACCTTCTGAATGATGGTGTCGTCAATTTATTCACAGCCAGTTTCACAGTTTTTGTAACAGGTGGTTTGCAGGGATCTTCTGAGACACTGACAGCACATGTCTGAGGCCACAGGATGACATAACCACACAGAAATGTTGGTCAGAGGTTGGAAGTTGCCAGGGGGTAGCTGCTATATGAGGACTGTCAACTTTTGGGAATTAATGTACAGACTACTCTAGTTGGGGAGGCAGGGTGCTTTCTGCACCATAACCTTTGCAGTAATGCAAATTTGATACGGCGCTTACGACAGTTTTCTAATAAAATAATCATAAATGTTTTATTGGTCTGTATTAAGGTTATTAGGTGAATTTGTTCAAATGTTTGAATATTTAGTGCTTCGGAACTACATTTTGAGTGCATGATAATGTTAATGAGCCATTTTCTATTGGTATGGTTAAATTGATGCTTCTAAGATATAACATCATTCTGGTTTTGTAGACTTTTACAAAGCAGTGAATACACCAAGAAACTATGTAGATAATTTTACAAACAAAATATAATTTTGCACTATACACTGTCAGTTGTATTACCTAACTATATCGCATTACTTTTATATATTAAACAGGAAAAAAAAAACATCAAAAGTAAAATATATAAATATATGAATTCACTATTAAAATTATGTACATTTTGAATGGAGTGAACTCTTTGCAGTGAAGTTGTTAGTTCAACGCGTTTCACATCAATGGCATATTTTATGAAATAAATAATTTGATGATCCCAATGTATTTCATAAAATAAATTAATCAATTCAGTCATATATTATAACTCATCATATTGCACACCTGTAAAACAAACTCTTTAAAAAAAAAAAAAACACAGTGTTCAATCTAACAAAAAGATAAGCACCATAAAATATACTCCTATCTTCTCTATCATAATTAAGATACAATTAATTTGGCTCTCTAAAAGTGTGTTTTATTAATGAGCATTACTTGACATATTATTTGTACACATAGTGTACTACATCCTTATTACGTCATACTGTTCTATGAGGGTAACGAAAAAGCTTTTTACATGCTAAATAGGACATGCTAATGTAATCCATCTACTCATTATTTTCATAGCGTAAGCAAAAACTAGCTATCGGTTGAGCATCATAACGACTTATTTCGGTGCAAGCTGGGCACAGTTTCCTATAAATTACTACAGGTCAAGATCATGCGAAGCGAATAGAACTATACGAAGCCCATTTATATAGGGAACTAATAAGATGAGCCATTCGTGAAGTAATTTGGTTTATAGGGACCAGAAAGAAAATGCAATGGATGAGAGAGATTTAAAAGTTGCCATTTTAATCAGAAGGAATATGTCATCAGACGATCTGTCAGGATGGTCATGAAATAATGTTTGTAGGTCATGCAGGGGCCAACTTACAAGTATTTACATTTGTAATCATAATTTTTATAATGATGTACTAACAAACTCCAGTGGATACTACAATGGGTACATTAATATACTGGTATTTAATGATGTAATAATGCAGCCGTTACTCTCATATATACAAGGATACACCTCTGGCTTTGAAATCATCAAAATACTTTCTCTGGTGAGTGGGAAATCGGAATAAGGTGCATTTAAGAAAACTTGATGTATAGTGTTATGCTAGAAAAGAGAGCTAGTTTATGACATTTGGAAGAGAAATGTGTTCCTCCTTTGTCACTGCACAAGAGTACAGAAAAAGAACCCAAAGATGAAAACCTTGTAGAGGGCCAAGTGTTTACACAACTGTTTCGGAGGAAAATGTGGTATCTACTGCCTCCTGAATGATCTGGAAACAATATGGCAACCCATTCACTCTAGAAAAGTTTCCAGATTTAAGAAAGAAGCCTAACAGGAATTATACGAGGTAAAATTTATCAAAATTCATACGGTAAAAGAAAAATTAGGAATTCACAGTTTACAACTTTAAAAGACTACAAAATAGACCTGTTCTGATTTTGTAGATGCAGTAGTCAAAAAAAATAATGAAGATGTCTGCCATTGCTAGCCAAGGACTACAAATGTCTCACCATTGTATATCCAAACATCTAAATGGCGAATTTTTAGCAGGTTGCTGCAGACATGAAGGGACTTCCTTCATGGTTTTCTTCAACTGGATTCACAGATTGAGTGGTGTGTTTTTCAGGCTGTGTGCTATTACAAGTCATGTTTCCTCTTACGCTGACATGTTCCCAGCCTCCCTGAAAAGAGAATAATGACATCATCAGAGACATTTTACATATTGAGGTTGCTTTAAGCGAGCCTGTCATTTTTTTTGTTTTTTTTCATGTGATCACTGTATCTTAAAGGAACTCTATAGTGTTAGCAATACAGACATTATTATTATTATTATGATATTTATAGAGCGCTGTCAAATTCCGCAGCGCTTTACAATGGGTGGACGAACAGACATGTAGTTGTAACCAGACAAGTTGGACACACAGGAACAGAGGGGTTGAGGGCCCTGCTCAATGAGCTTACATGCTAGAGGGAGTGGGGTAAAATGACACAAAAATGTAAGGATAGTATTAGACTAGTGACAGTTGCAGATGAGGAATAAGTCAGGAGCTATTAACAGTTTAATTGACCCGCTTTTATAAAGAAGTGCGTTTTTAACGATTTTTTGAAGGAGTGGAGACTGGGTGAGAATCTAACGGAGGAGGGAAGTGAGTTCCACAGGAACGGTGCAGCCCTCGCAAAATCTTGAAGGCGAGCATCAGAGGTGGGAGTACTGACAGAAGATAGACGTAAGTCTTCAGCAGATCGTAAGGGCCTAGACGGGACATACTTGTGTATAAGGGAGGATAGATAGGTGGGAGCAGCATTATGTAGAGATATGAAAGTAAGAACCAGAATTTTAAATTAAGCTCTATATTTTATAGGAAGCCAATGTAGGGACTGACAGAAGGGTGAGGCATGGGAGGTGCGGGCGGACAGGAAGATGAGCCTCGTCGCCGCATTCATTATGGACTGTAATGGCGCTAGTTGGGAGCACGTAAGACCACTGAGAAGCGGATTACAGTAGTCAAAGGACAGTGGAATGGACCTTAGTCGCATCTGGCGGATGCGCGCAATGTTTTTAAAATGGAAATGACAGGATTTGGCGATAGATTGAACATGAGGCTTGAAGGAGAGGTCGGAGTCAAAGAGAACACCTAGGCAGCGAGCCTGCGCGGTGGAGCTGATGGTAGCACAGTTGACTTGGAGGGAGACAGACACAGGAGTAACAACACTTGAGGGAGGAACCAGAATTTCAGTTTTGGTCAAGTTTAGTTTAAGGAAGTGGGCAGCCATCCAGTTAGAAACACCAGAGAGGCAGTCAGAGACACTAGTCAAGAGGGACTGGGAGAGATCAGGAGAGGACAGGTAGATTTGCATGTCATCTGCATAGAAATGATATTGGAAGCCAAAGGAGCTAATGAGTTTACCAAGGGAGGCAGTATAGATGGAGAACAGTAGGGGACCAAGGACTGAACCTTGGGGGACACCAACAGAGAGGAGTTGGGGAGAAGAAGCAGAGCCAGAGAAAGAAACACTGAAAGAGCGCTGAGAGAGGTAGGAGGAGCACCAGGAGAGAGCAATATCTAGTAGACCGATATGGCGGAGGATGAGAAGAAGCGGTTGATGATCAACAGTGTCAAAAGCCGCAGACAGGTCAAGGAGAATTAGGATAGAGTAGTGACCACGAGATTTTGCAGCTAGTAGATCATTGGATAGTTTGGTCAGTGCGGTTTCCACAGAGTGCTTAGCGCGGAAACCAGACTGAAGCGGGTCTAGCAGAGAGTTGGACTCGAGGAAGTCTGTCAATCTCGCATACACAAATTTTTTTCAAGGATCTTGGATGCAAAAGGCAGTAGCGAGATAGGACGATAGTTGGATGGGGAGTTAGGGTCAAGATTGGGCTTCTTTAGAATTGGGGTTACAGTTGCATGTTTGAAGGGCAATGGAAATATACCAGAGGAGAGAGAGAGATTGAGAATTTTAGTGAGAGGTGGAGAAAGAGAAGAAGACCGTACGGATGAGATGCGAGGGAATTGGATCTAGGGAGCAGGTGGTGGGGTGGGAGGACTGGAGCAGAGCAAAAACCTCTTCCAATGTAGCGGGTGCGAATGAACGTAGAACAGCAGAGGGAGTGATGTTAGGGGAAGAAGAAAGATGAGAGATCTCTTCTCTGATTGTAGAGATCTTGTCAGTGAAGTGAGTTGCAAAGTCTGAGGCGGTCAAGTTAGTAGGTGGAGGAGGAACAGCAGGGCGAAGAAGAGAGTTAAATGTGTGAAAAAGGTTGTTTGGGTTCGCGGGAGAGTGTGGTTATGAGGGTATTAAAGTAATTAACTTTTGCAGAGGAAAGAGCCAAGCTGTATGAGCTCAGCATAAATTTATAGTGGAGAAAGTCTGATGCACAGTGAGACTTTCTCCAACAGCGTTCAGCAGTTCTGGAGCATTTCTGGAGGTATCGAGTGAGCTTGGTGTGCCAGGGTTGTTGTTGGGGGGGCCTGCGGCGTTTAAATGTACAAGGTGCCATGATGTCTAATTGAGAGGAGAGGGTGGAATTGTAGAAAGAGGTTGCAGAACTAGGACAGGTGAGGTTTGAGATAGGTAAAAGGAGAGTTTGGAGATTAGTGGAGAAATGCTCTAGGTCAAGACATTGGAGGTTTCTGTGAGAGTGATGTTCAGACGGTGGTGTCAATTGGGTCTTAGGTATGCCAATGTCAAAAGTCGGCAGATGGTGGTCAGATAGAGGAAAATGAATATTGGAGAGATTAGAGGCAGTACAGAGGTTGGTGAAGGCAAGATCAAGAGTGTTTCCCGCTGTATGGGTTATTGATTGGGATATTGAAATCCCCAAGTATAAGGGAAGGAGTGCTAGATGAGAGGAAGCCAGGAAGAAAAGTGCTCAATGAATAGTCTAGGATAACCAGGGGGGCGGTAGATGATAGCAATTCTTAAAGGAGTGGGTTTAAATAGGCGGACATGTATTCTTAACACTATAGTGCTGGAATAGATATTTAGGCGACCAGCCCCCCTCTCTGAGGAGTTAAAAGGCGAGTTGCCTTGCCTTTTCTCCGTCGATGCGTCGGTCTAGCTGCAACTGGCCTCACGATCTATCTGCTTTTTTGTTTATCTTTTAACATACCTAAGAACCTGACCTTGGTGATGCCATAAGACAGTGATGTCACCATAAATTGACACCATAAATTGTTTCTGGACTACATTTCCCATGATGCTCAGCTAGCTTTTAGACTCTGGTGTCAAGGTTAGCCATCACTGCCATAATAGATTTAGGCAGAAAAATGGCTCTGATAATCGTTGATCTAGGTGGAATACAAGATCAGTGGAGGAGCAAGACATTAAAGGCATAGATCTCTTTTTCTCTATTTTACAAAAAGCTGAGTGAGCGAGACCAAAGTCAGAAATCTTTGTCCTTAATAGGAAAGATCACTCTTTCTAACAGGAGGTCAAAAAAAGAGGGTTGCATAGGCACGCCTGGCTGGTTTATGTTGCCTCTTCAACAATAACAAGCAATGATGCAGTACAAAAGATCAGGAATACGTTATTAAAGGTAATCAATCATAAATCTCTCTGGATACAAAAATAGTACAATGGTCGCAAAATTAAAAGAAATCAGAACCAGACTGTGAAATAAGATGTGTTAAAATAGCACGCAACATTTCATACTATAGATATTTTCATTTCTACAAAAACGAGTTACCCACATGGATAATGCCTAGAAATATAGACGGATAGATAGCACAAGCAAGATGAATTCTACCTGATGACTGCCTGCTACTCACCCCAATGCCATAGTCCCATGAATGTCCCCTTGGTTCCATTGGCTGTACCCCTAAGCGGTGACAGACCGTCCCACAGCTCAGACTATGGCTGCCTTGAACTTTGTCAGCAATTACCCAAACCTGAAATATACAAGAGGCATTAAAAACACATGAAGATACAAACACTCTCCATCTTCATTCACCATTTGTGAGCTTGCTAGCTATATGACCCAGACATTACTAAACTTATGCATTAAAAGCTCATTGATCCAAACACAGTGCCTACCTGATCAAGGGGTCCTACTGACACCTTACGGACATTGTTGGAGACATGCTCCCAGGAAGATCCTTGAGGGTAGCTTGGAGTAATCCCTTGTCGAAACCATAAGTTATCTAAAAAATAGATGTTTGAACTATTTAAAATAATGTCCAAGTAAGCATGTAATTGGTATACTAGAATTCAGATACTTTTGCATAGCAGGGTTTTAATGTTTGACTGGAGGCATTTTGGACAGTTTATAATAGTGTTAGTTTGCAGCAGCAAATAGGAGATGTAAAAATACAATGGCGGTTTAACCCACAAACTGAATTAATAATTAATGGCAAGAGTAGAACAGACCCCCTTAATAGATGCCTGTCTGGTGAGTCGTTTGTCATGAAGTGGTGATAGTACTATATTAATGGTATAATCAGGGCCGGCCTTAGGGGTGTGCGAGCTGTGCGGCCGCACAGAGCGCCATGGCAACAGGGGCGCCGGGCGGCTGACACAGCTCGCACTCAGTCACTCACAGTTCAGTCTGAGTCATGTACAGAGCAAGTCAAGTGCATAATGCTGTGCAATTGACTTGCAAATTATGAGCGGCCGGGAGAGAAAGTAGGTCAGGAGCACGGAGGAAGAGCGTGCTCCGCCTCCACAGTCATTCGCGGAAGGATCCGCACAGTCAGTTTGAGGGAGGTGGTCAGTGCTTTGGTATCAAGGTCGGCAAACTGGGACACTGTCAGGAGGGTCCAGGGAGCAGCAAGCTTCAATGTGAGTCTGCTCATTCTTGTTATAACTATTGCATTTTTTTATTAAATAGATTTTTTTTTGTTTTTTTAAGGGTGGCAGGTGTTTTTGTGTGTGGGGGGGTTTGCAGAAGGGGGAGCAGAGGTTTTCTAGCTGGGATTTTGGGACAGGGGTTTTGGTTTAGGGAGGAGCAGAGGTTTTATAGAAGGGGTTAGGGGTTTGGTGTAGGGGAGAGGTTTTGTAGAAGAGGGGGCAAGCATTTCTGGTGAAGTGGCAGAGGAAAGGATTTTGTGGAGGGGGCATGGGTTTTGTTCAAGAGGGGGCAGGGGGTTTGTAGAGGGGGCAGGAGTTTAGTATAAGGGAGGCAGGAGTTTAGTATAAGTGGGCAGAAGTTTAGTATAAGGGGGGCAGGGGTTTAGTATAAGGGGAGCAGAGGTTTTGTAGAAGGGCGCAGGGGTTTAGTATAAGGGGAGCAGGGGTTTAGTATAAAGGAGCAGGGGTTTAGTATAAGGGGAGCAGAGGTTTATATAGAAGGGGAGCAGGGGTTTAGTATAAGGGAGCAGAGGCTTATGTAGAAGGGGAGCAGGGGTTTAGTATAAGGGGAGCAGAGGTTTATGTAGAAGGAGAGCAGAGGTTTATGTAGAATGAGTGCAGGGCTTTTGTAGAGGGTGGCAGTGGTTTTGGTGGAGGGGAAGGTTTTTAGTGATATGTGTACATTACTGTATAGTAGATATATATAATGACAGCATGTGTTTTGTTAAAGGAGGAGAAGGAATTTTGTAGAACGGTGGGCAGGGGTTTTGTAGAAGGGGCAGGGGTTTTATTAAAGGGAGGCAGAGTTTTTGTAGAAAGGGGGGCAGGGGTTTTGTGGAAGGGTTTTGTAGTAGGCGGAACAGGGCTATTGTTGAAGGGGCAAGGGTTTTGCTGCAGGGGGGGCACCACGTGTTGGGTTCGCACAGGGCGCCTGATTACCTAAGGCCGGCCCTGGGTATAATGCTTTTATGGGGAAGCATAAAAGAGAAACGAAGGACAAGCTAGACTAGTTGAGCAATTAACAAGCCTCGTTTATTTTGGTTTGTCAATGATCCATCCATTCTATTTATCAGTAACCAAATTGGAACAGAATGTTAATCCATAAATGTTGAGACTCTATGTTAGAGAATCACTGATTTAGCTAATTTCATATTTAAATTTATGAAAGGTAATTTAGTTTCATGGGAGAGCAATAGTCTGTTCCACTCGAGATAACAAAGAACGTATCACGCATAAACCTCTGTATGCAATTGAACTTTTATTTCTACACTTACTGTTTTCATCCACAGCAAACACTGATGTTTGCCCTACGGAGACCTGCCGTAGCTTCTGTTTTTTGGGTGAAGGAATATGGTACCAGCAATCACCTACATAAATATAAAATAAAAAATAATAATAATTACGAGACACAAACACACAGCATGGTTTACTCTAGCACATACAGACAAGCAGAATAAAACACATAAATGTATACATTGGGAGAAAAATCTGTTAAAAAATAATTTTCAGTCAACGCCATGGCAGACACCTAATGCCAAGGTATAAACTGACATGGAGGAGTAGAAAATACCTCCCACAGGAGGCCCTTCTCTTCTATCAAGTGTAGCAGCCACAGCGCATGGTCTGCAAACTCATCTAGCACTGACTAGGAAGTATAATGATGTCACTCCGTTCAGACACCGGAACACTGGCAACGAAGCTAGCGTGCCAGCGTTACGGAGTAGGTTTGCCCTGCTTGGGGATTCATCAGCAGAGGAGTGGAGGACAGCCCAGAAGTGCCCCTGGAACAGAGGAGAGGTGAGTAAATCTCTATATTTTATATTAAATACATCATGTACCTTTGTGATGTATTTCATTATATGGGAGCATTTAAGGAAAGTTTATTTTTCCATTACATTAAATATGGATTGCAAAATAGCCAAGCTGTGACTAGAGCGGAAGTATGTTTCCTGATCAGCCATTTTAGCCTCAAACTCGTGTTTTAGGAATAAACATGATAATTTCAGTAGGATCGCTTAAGAATAAGCCCTCCTTAAATACACAAGCTTTCACCCAACATTACTGTAAATGAACAGAACATGTTGACCTTGCGCAAGGAACAGATACTGCTCCAGGCTGTTAAGCTGAATTCTTTTAAGACGTAGTTGGGCTAGAGATCTCTGACACTTTTTGGATGTCAAATTCCAACCTAAGCAACAGGGTTAGAGTTTGACAACCACAATCTATATGCTACTCACCAGTTATCCAGTGTTTTTCTCAGGCTAAATCTGAATGGCTTTGGTACAGTGATCATAGACTGACAACTCTAAGCCAGTAACAGTTTTACCTGGTTAAAACAGAAAACAAATGTGTATTCATTACACTATAGGACCCTGTTGGCCATTTAGGTCCCCGTCCCCTAGCTGCAAGGACTAAAAAAAAGGTATTTTACTTACCTTTTCTCACTCGCAGTGCTGGTCTCCGTGGGGAAGCCCCATTTCCTTGGCTGAAATCATCGACATCAGTAATCTCAACCAATAGAATGCTTTTGCATAGGACAGCATTGGGAGGCTAGTGGGCAAGTGTGTCAAAATACTGCGCTTTGCCAATCAGATGGTCTCTATGAGTAATAGCACAGTTTTACTCTGCTATTTTATCAGAAGCAATTCTAGTGGCGGTCTGAGTGACAACCATGCATTGAACAACATTGCAATTCTGCAGAACAGCAATATTTTCAGCTGTAGGGTTAAAACAGAGTGGACGTGGCACCCAGACCACTTCATTGAGATTAGGGATTATCAGTATGTTGGCATGTGAAGTTTAATAAAAACCAGAAGAATACATAATGCAGCTAGCGAAAAGGATCTAAATTTAATTCTCAAGTGCAATTTTGCTGAAGATGTATTCAAACTGTGTGTTAATTCATCAACTTTACAGAAGGATCTAAATTCAATTCTCAAGTGCAATTTTGGTGAAGATGTATTCAAACTGTGTGTTCATTCATCAACTTTACAGAAGACCATACATTCCATTCTAAAAATCTCAAAACTGGCATGTAGTTTTTAAGCTCTTTTCCTTCTGTCAGAACCTGCATGTTTCAATCTAAAATATAAATATGGGGATTTTAGCATTTTTTGTGTGCTCTGAACAAGACACAGCATTACGCATCACCAATATTATGGAAAGTATGTTCTAAATGGTGCATGTCATTTTGTCTATCAATCTGAACCACGCAGACTGATCCACAGTGACAAGAAAAACCTTGTTTTCACATAAATACAAAATAGATTACCCCAATCTCTTACAGTGAAAGAAGCCAATTGTCAGTAGCCCATTTTGATAGTATCCCTTGATTGATTAAATGTGTGTGCCCACTCTGTCAACAAATGCCCTTATCTAAATTAGATGTTGAATGCAAAAAGTATGTATCTTGCAAAGTGTTTCCCAGGATTTAATCATTGGCGACTCAATCTTATTATTTTTATGTTAATGAAGTTATGGGGTTAATGATTAAGACGTTTTAATATTTGCCAAGAGATAACTTTTATCTAGCTGAGGGTGAAAGGAGTTGAAATCCAACTGGTGAGAGGCACGTGGTCATACTTTTCTGCAGATAAACAAGATCAAAACGCCCAAACAAAGCCAAATCAGATACGAAAAAACAGCATTTATCTAGTTTTATTTTTACACCAACATTATCAGTTTCAAAGTGTTTCTAGAATATCCCTCTCTGATTGTTTACCATTGTCACATATACATATTTACCTTCCTATTAAGTCTGAGAGAAGGTCACCTCTGATATACAGCTGCTATTTGCTTATTGCCTAATAATGTACCGTACATATTGGGTCACATGATGACAAAACCGCTCCAGGGCATCCGCAATGCAAAGAATAAAGTTGGCATTACTTTGTGCGTGACATTTATGTTCCCCATCATTGTGTTTGATGTTAGACCTTATTATTTATTGCAAAATAAACCAGGACGTTGCCTCCTCACGCATCTGGTCACATTTCCGTGAATTTCAATTTGCCAATTTATGTGGTTTTTTTTTTCCACTTACCTAGTTAGGATTCTCACCTGTCTCTGTGTGAGTTATGTGTTGTCTCAAACTCTACCCATGTAACTTCCTTTTATTAAATCTACATATATTCCTTCTGCTTGCTCCCTCCCTTGACCCACTTTCCCTGTATGGAGTTTTGTTCCTTGCATTTTTATGCACGTGGCACTCTCTCTGTCACATATAGGTCTACTTTCTTCATCACGTATGATTTTGCTCTTTTGTATCTTTTTACATGGTTTTTCTCAGGTTTGCTTTATTTTCTCTGTATTCCTGTAGCCCTATCACAAGCTCTCTCTGCTCCAAATGTGAATACTAATTCAGGAATTGCAATCGAAAATAATTTGTCTCTCCAAACTCCACTTCTAGTTTATTCTCTGCTTAAAGTCGGCAGATTATTTTGGGAGTTGTAATGCTGCAAAAGCTGTGCTCTAGAGAAAGTTTCATTTGCTAACCCTCTACATAACATACTACACACAGATGCATGCTACAGAACACTGAAGTACTGTTAGGGTTCTAAGAACAAATGCCAGAAAGTTGAACCTCAGATTGAAGGGGCAATATGACCATTTCATCTCAATGAATAAGTTACAGTGCTTGAGGTCACATGGTGCTGTCCCTCCATAAAGTGTTAAATAATTTATGGAGCAGTTTAACAGTAAATAAGGGTAAACTGACACCCACTGCCCCTAGTGGAGGTATGGCTAAGATATGTCAGAGATTACATACTTCTTCTAGCTATAGCAATTCATACCAGCTACTGGTGCGGTCATTGGCTGAAAGCAGTCAGCTGACACTCTCACCCAATCACCACCACCACTGCTACTCGGGTTAATGCTTCCTCATTAGACCAAGCAGCACAGAGAGGATGGACTGCTGGGGGCTCTTGTAAGGTATTAAAACACCATTGAACTCCAGACACTATAAACATTTAAATAAGATTAATCAGTTAGAGTGCCTACAGTGTCCCTTCAACACGCAAGCCTCCTTTTTTACGTAACCATACAGGGCCCAGCTGTAACATAGTTAGGTTAATGCACTGCCCCATATAAATATAAATATCGAGTCTTTACCAGCAGGGTGATCGGTGGACACAGAACCCCGGTAGAATGCAGATCCATCCCTGGCTATGGCCCACACCTGGTGACACCCTCCTATTGAAATGGAAATGAATGGTTGGTCTGTGCCAACGTGGAGCCACGAGGAACCCTGTTAAAACACAGATTCAAAAGTATTAATTGACTGTCATGAAACAGTGTTTTTTTTTCCAAATGAACATACACATCAGGGCTACAACAAAATGAAAAACACACAGTCACCTTTAATCAGAAGAAGACATACATATAGAGAGGAAGTGTGAAGATAGTGATCATGTGTTAGAATTAAATACTCTAACAAATCCCAGTGTCATTAGAAGGCAAAAGCCATTACTGTATCTATTTACCATTGAAGACAGGAGGTTCAGGTGATGTTGTGAAGTGTGCAAGTGTTATTCAAAGAAAAATATTGGTGGAAATAAAACTCATCCTTACAGCGGTAGCAAAAACAAAAAAACAAAAAAAACCAAAACAAAAAAAAAACAGTATAACGAGCATTTATTAATTTAGGTTTATGAGAAGCCCCCTTTAAGGTGGCATAATTTCAGAACTAAACTCAAGGTTAGCAATGAGTGATGCATTATCTCCTATCTCGCACATCATTAGAAGAGGAAAAACAAATATACAATGGAATAAATGTTCTGCCGAACCGCTCCTAAGTCGCTTAACTAAACAGCATACAAAAGGCACTGTTCCTCCAATGTTTGTTAACACACAAACTTCTGTAGAGTTTTTTAAAGGGACACTATAACGCGATAGTGTTCTAGTCTAGTTTAGTGCTCCTTTAACACATCACCAAATACACCAGTTCATTTTAGATGTTTTACATTTGTGGGGAGCAGAGACATTACAAGTCCAATCACTCAGACATGCCAAGACAGGACTGTGGAACCCTACAATCAACTCAAAGAAGAACATTGGGTCCTCTTGTATCAGGCATTAAGAGGACAATAGCTTAATTACATTCAATGGCATTAGTATACATTGTGTGAACTGGGAATGCAGAGATATACCTGAGATCTAACCGTTTTTGACAGAGAGGAGATAAATGTGATCCTAAAGTGATTCTGAATGGTAAATCATTATAGACTGCTGAAGAATATTATTCCTACCTCATGGCACTTTTTTGTGACGCCAACTCTGCATAAAACGTCTCCCTTATTGCTTATTGCCCACAGAGCTATCGATTCGTCATCAGCTGTTCCTCTGCTTGATAATATAGAGACATCCCACAAGGAGATGGGAGGAACTTCACACCAAGGTCCAGTTGTAACAATTTTGCATTTTCTGGTGAGACAGAGCAAGAAATGCTTTAATCAAACAATAAATGCATTTCCAAAAAATAACAATGGAAGATTCTATATTGCTGTGAGTCCCAGCTAATAGGATTTGACACAAAGCAACTCTGAATATGTAACTTAGCATATGATTTATCAAACAAGGTTTCATTTTAATAGGTGGAATTAACATACAAACACTGGGCGCACATGATATACAAGCAAATTCAACAGGTTTGACAAATTGGAACAATGAATGGTGAGGGTCTTCTTCTATTACAATATTGTATATCAAATTCTTGCACCTCCTTCATTTATGTTGCTAGCTGTTTCATAACTAGTACCATGTTTTTGGTATGTCGGAACTCTTTTCACTGCATATATGGTATATTTCTTGTGACTGGCTATAGTGAAAAGCACAAACTTGCTACATTACTTAGCATATTGTCTAAGACATGGGTCGTCAACCTGGTCCCTACCGCCCCATTGTGGGCTTTTCAGGATTCCAGGTGGGTGGCAGGGATTTCCTAATTTGGAGAGATTGGGTGTGCGAGCCGGCGGTACCCCTGCGACTGTTTACCGCCATCACCATTTGCGGCCCGACAGCAAACCGCCGGGGCCGCCGTCCAAGGGGTCCATCGGGTGGCCCATGCTGTCAGGGCCACCCGATGGATGTGGATTGTGAGGGGGCCCGGTCGCCCTGTTAAAGCGCCAGCTAACACTGAGAGCCACGCGGGAGCCACCACTGGACCCCAGGGAAAGTCACCCTACTGCACCTTAAAGGTAGGAAACAGGAGGGTGACTTAAATATAATGTGTGTGTTTGTTTGTGTGTATGTGTCTTTGTATGTATGTCTTGTGTGTGTCTGTATGTGTGTGTATGTGTCTTTATATGTATGTGTGTCTTATGTATGTCTTTGTATGTGTGCCTTGTGTGTATGTATGTGTGTCTTGTCTTTGTATGTATGTGTTGTGTGTGTCTTGTCTTTGTATGTATGTGTTGTGTGTGTCTTGTGTCTGTGTGTGTGCCTGTCTGTGTGTCTGTATGTATGTGTCTGTCTGTTTGTATGTATGTGTCTTTGTATGTTTCTATGTGTGTGTGCCTGTCTGTTATAGTGGGCTACCTAGCTCAGCCTTCCTACTGGGCACTGCTATAAGTAAGGTTAAAAAATAGAAAAAAGGAAGAAAAAAAAAAAGGTGGGGAGGGGAATTGAGGAGGGAGAAGAGAGGAGCTGATGCACAGATGAGAAATCATATTATGCGCAAACAGAGAAGTCGTCTGAATATCACCGAAAGAGGAGACCTTCGTTTGTTCCTTATGAAAATCGAACCAGATATCAAATATTTAGTCTCGCAGCATCAACCTCAAGGATCTCATTAATCACTAGTAAACGTAATTTCAATTTGCTTTATTGTTTTCTCATTAAACTTTATAAAGTCAAAAACATTATAAACATGCATTAAGTAGAAATAAAAAGATAAATGTACGTACATTTATTTATTTTTTTAAATGCCCTCCTTTCTAAAAAATATTCTGCACTTGCGCAAAAACTGGTGGCGGTAAGGAAATTTTTCCATCAAGAAAGATGCATTAGTGAAGAAAAAGGTTGACTACCAGTGGTATAAGACCACTCCAATTTTTTTCTTTAATCAGCATATGGCAGCCATTCCATTTTAGTGGCTGTTGAATTCCAATACATGCACATCACATTCTACTGAATGAGGTATTGATCATGTTATTACCTGGACCAAATTTTATTTAATGAATAGAAGTATAAAAAGTAAGCATTATCCTCTTATAATAGGACCAACTGGATGGCAAAAACAGTGCTAATAGTACCTCAAAAGTAATTGGAATAAAAAAAAAAAAAATTATTATTGACCAAGTCATTGGAGTTGAAAAGAATATTAATTCTGAAGAGCGTTCACTTCTGGCTTTATTTGAAGAGCTAGACTCCTGTGATCAAGGCAGTGCCGAAACGTTGGGGTATTTTTGTCTCCAGCCCTAGGTCAGTATACAGTTAATGTAGGTAACCTTGTTGCAATTATTTATGTGGATTAACGTGTAGATACTTTGCACTTTATCTTTATTGCACTTTTGATTGTATACTTATGACATGATATACATGGATACTTATGACATGATTGTATCTAATTGAATAAATATTTTTTTCCATGAAATGGTGTGCTGTGGGTTTCTTCTATTTACTTGGAGAGCGATACAGTGACCGTCAGGTTGTTCCATCCTTAGAATTTCAAAGATGGCAATTCATAAGACCAAGGTTAAGCAGCAGACATAAGGGACAACAAAGCTACACAAAAGCAGAGAGCAATTACAACTCCCAATTGATCGGAATGACCATCAACTGATTCAACTGTCACTCAATAACTGTGGATGACATCAAGTGACCTACAAAACAAATTGTAAATGGCAGCTGGGGTAAGTTGCACAGTGAGGACAGTTCGATACAGGCTTCTAGGGGAAGGGCTGAAGTTGTGCAAAGCTAGAAAAAGCCATTCATCAACGAAAAGCAAAGATGAGCTAGGCTGAGGTTTGCAAAAGTCCATAAGGATTAGGCCATAGAGGATGGGAGTCAGTTAGTTGTCTCTGATCATCCAATTTTCAGCTTTGCCCAATACCTAGTCATCAGATGCCTGAATACAGACATGGAGAGGTCTACTAAATGTCTCGAATCCACTGTGAAATTTGGTCTGGGATGATCTAAGTGTGCTTCAGCAAGATTTGAATTAGGAAGATTCATCTTTCTGAAGGATGCATGAATCAAGCCACGTACAAGGTTGGAAGAAAACCAGTATCCTTGTGCTCTGACAATGTTTTACAACTCTGAGAATTGTTTTTTTCAAGCAAGACAATGCTCCATGCCACACAGCTAGGTCAATTAAGGTGTGGTTGGTGGATCACCAGGTCAAGAATCTGTCATGGCCAGCCCAATCTCCAGACCTGAATCCCATTGAAAAACCTATTGAATGCAATCAAGAGGAAGAAGGTTGGTCACAATCCATCAAACAAAGCTGAGCTGCATGACTTTTTGCGCCAGGAATGATATTATGTCACCCAACAGCAATGCGAAAAACAGATTGAGAGCTTGCCAAGATGCATTAAAGCAGTGATTGAAAATCAGGGTTATTACACCAAATATTGATCTCTGAACTGTTCCGAAATTTAAAACATTAGTATTGTGTGGTTTAAAAATTAATATTATCGTGAGAGAGAAGCAAATATTAGTGGGGAATATTATCAAAAGCTCCTGGTGTAATCTTAACAGATAAACAACAATGTCACAGTTCAAGTGGCGTATGAATGGGTTCTTCTAGGGATAAGGTTCTTTTTACCTTATATGTTCTTGTCTGCCCATAACTGGTGAGAGTTACACTCCAGGAATTAGTATAACTCCCACTAATCTTGGCCAGGCTGGAAATTGCCCCGCACTGCACAGTGCCATATAAACTGGGGATTGTGCTGTTTTTTTAATCTAAACGTATTGTTTGATAATAAACTGCAGTGCAGGAATTTAATATACCAACAGCCCGTGAAAATAATAGCTAGATAATCAATATATTATCTTAATCATATTTTGTATTCCCCTATAAATATATGCACCAGTGACCCTGTCTAGAATCAACCCTGCACTGAAAGGGATGGCAGGTGGAACATGGCAGAAGGATTTGAACAGTTGATGCTGATACTTGTCAAATGTTAGGTACTTTTGCCTTCTATAAATTAAAATTATCACACTTGAATCAATCTTTTACCTTGCCCACCGTCTTCGTCGAACAAAATCCTTCATGGTCTTGTACCCGTGATAGGACCTGAAAAGAAAAGAACACAGGCAGTCTGTTTTTCACGCTGACCTCGCCATTATTGTGTTACTTGTGTTGACCGACTTATTGTTTCTTTAATCTTTCTTATGCCAATTTCAACAAACGCCTTGTACTCTCCAATGACATTCACATTTATGAGATTTAAACTTTGATAAAACTCCTCTACTGCAAGTGGGATAACTAGCAAACAAGATTTGATAAGTGTGGCTGGTGACCTTATGTAGGCTTATATTGGCGTCCATTCACTATATCAAAATTCATATTGTGAGGAAGGCTGAACTTGATGGACGCAAGTCTCTTTTCAGCTATGTAACGATGTATCACTATATTGGTTTTACTCCCAAGTAGTTCCTTTTTGGATAAAATTCTAAAAACACTTTCACAGAAATGTTCTTCTGGACTACGACAAATGAAATCAGCATGATCTCTCTGCATCTAGGACATGACTGACTGTAGCGGAGCGGTGTGACAGATTCATCTGTATTGCTGGTTCGTCTGTTTCCCTTTGTTCGCTAAATTGCCTGTTCATATACCCGTATTCGTATAATTTGCAAACTACCGATTGAAACTACCGAATGAACGACCACCCAGGAGAGGAGTGTGCTGCTGGTTAACCTCTTGGCCCCAATTAGAACGTTGTGGTTAACCGCAGACACCTCTCCATTCCATTCGTACGGGTGGTCGTCGTTCGCATGTCGACCACGAGGCAGCGGCCATTTTGGGACATACGAACGCATAGCGGTGTTCGGTACAAACTGTATGGAACTAAAAACGGACACTTAAACTACCGAACACCGCTGGAAGCTGCTGCCTACCTTCCATTTCGACAAGGCATGCGAACGTCGGTCGTTCGGGAGTTTTTATTCATTCATATGGACTTTCACCCAGACAGCCATCCCATGGAGTCATTCGTATACCGAAGGACTGGTGAAAGACTTTGACTCCATGGCGATTCGACTAGATACATCGGATCTGAGCGCTATTCGGTGAAAACATGCACTCAGATCCAGGCTGTCTGGGGATACGTTACACGAACTATATGTATTCGGTATTTCTGCAATTATGTATTTTAATGTATTTTTATTACTGTAAGTTAAAATGGCGATTGTCTCTACCTTGGGAGATAATTAGGTTTCTTCCTAATTATCTCCAGGGTAGAGAAGATGGAATTATGGGCAAGATGGGAAGGGCTATTATTGAAGCCACTGCGATTGGCTACTGTCCAATATGTTTTACAGTCTTCCACAAGGTCCCCTCGGGGAGTGTCCACCTTGTGGAGACCTGCATAAATACCGGGCAGGTAGCCCCCATTAAACAGATCTTCATTTGACCCTCAAGACGGAGCTTGGTCTCGTTTGTGGGGGAATTATTACTGGGACAGCGCTTTCGTTATTTTTAGCTGTGGAAGGCGTTCGACTGTTTTGCTGATCGGGAGTTGCCGTATTCGTGGACTTCGTTCGGGAGTTTGGCGGTCGGCTGGATTTAAACTGCATTTCTGGAGAAGGGGATTATTGACTAAACGGCGGCTTCATCTACCCGACGGTACGTGTCGTAACAATTGGTGGCAAGCGACGGGATGAATCCTACCGCCCAGAAGGCCAGCTACACATCCCAGGTTGGAAATGCAGTATGAAGAGTTAAGGCGTGCTACCCTTAAAGATATATTAGAACGCAGAGGACGATCAGCGAGTAATCTCAAGAAAAGAGAGATTATTGCTATACTATTGGAAATGGATGCAGCACAGGGAACGGGAAGAGCTGATGTGCCTGGCATACTGGAGTTAACACCCGAGGAGATACAATTTAACCGGGCAGTTCAGATCAGGCTGGCACATTTTGGCCCCAACCCTGCAGCAGACATTGTGGTTCAAGTGCAAGCAGCAGTAGCAGCACAACAGGCGCTTCAAGGAAGAGGCGCTGCAGCAGCTGAGGTACTGTACAATAATAATGGAAGGAGAAAAGTACCTTTTGCTGCATTTCGGAATTTTGTAGAAGCCGAAGGAGAAATTGATGGGTTCCTGGCTGATTTTGAAAGGCAATGTGCCTTACACCAGGTACCCGCAGGAGAATGGGTCACCATCCTCTCTGGGAAGTTATCCGGCCGGGCCAGTGAGGCGTTTCGGGCCATCCCAGAGGAGGAACTTACCAGCTACAGGGCAGTGAAAGATGCCCTTTTGGCCAGATACGCTGTGACCCCTGAGGCATACCGGCGGCGATTCCGGGACACTAACAAACAGGCTGGCGATTCTTATGTTGAGTGGGCATGCCGAGTACACCGCACCGCCGCCCACTGGATGGCAGGGTGCCAAGCGGTAACTGGGGAAGAAGTGCTGCAAGTATTTTTGTTGGAGCACTGTTTTGACCGCTTACCTGCAGGAGTCAGAGAGTGGGTTAGGGACCGCAAACCCGCTACCTTACCCAAAGCTGCTCGTCTGGCTGATGAGTACACTGATGCCAGGAAACTGGACCAGACAGCAGCCAAGGTCCCTACCCGAGTGGAGTACAAACCAGCAGCCCCTCCAGCCACTGCAGTGTATCAACACCCAGCACAACGCACCCCCACCATGCCAACAGCGAACAATTATGTTCAGCCAGCCCGGTTCAACGCCCGGGATTACTCACAGCCTATCCGTTGCTATGGGTGTAAGCAGTTGGGGCACAAGCGACCCGAGTGCCCATTAAACAATTCCAGCCAAGCCCAGTCGTGGAGAAGACCAGCCGGCGGGAATCAGCAACCACCCCAACCTTCCGCTCACTGTCTTGAGCAGGAGGAATTTTGGGGTATACTACATGAGGCGGATCCGGCTCAAGCAGCGCAGCAGGATAACCGTCAACAGCATAGACAGACCGTTAAACTGAATGGCAAAGCAGTGACGGGTCTGAGAGACACCGGAGCCACTATGACTTTGCTCCAAAAGAACCTTGTTTCCGAAAACCAGCACACTGGAAATACTGTGGCAGTGAGGGTGGCGGGAGGTGCAGTGTTCCGTTTACCAGTTGCCCGGGTTCACTTGGATTGGGGGGTGGGCTCTGGACACGTGAATGTGGGGGTCATGAAAGACTTACCGGCTGATGTTTTGCTTGGGAATGACTTGGCCCCTTTGGTGTTCGCTTATGCTCCAATGGGACCTGCCGATATCAACCCAGTGACTACCCGTGCCCAGACCCGTGCTGCTGGAACCAGCCCACCTGCTGCTGAGACCCAGGTAAGAACCGTGTCCCCGACTGGTACCCTAGAACAGACTTTTATTAGCTGGGATTCCCCAGAGGAGTTTGGGAGGGAAACTCAGACAGATTCGACCCTCCAGAAGTATAGGGACAGAGCAGATACTGGAGAGGAAGGATTAGATGGGGAACGGTATGAGTGGGTGGGGGACAGGTTGTATAGAATCCCCAAGCTTTCCCCGAAAAGTGTTGCCCCTCCGCCGAATCGACAGCTGGTGGTGCCCGCAAAATACCGGCAGGAGATTCTGCGGATAGGGCATGATGTTCCCCTAGCTGGACATCTAGGTTCCCGCCGCACAGCCTATAGGATCATGCAGAACTTCTTTTGGCCAAACTTTAATCAGGCTGTTCGGACATACTGCAGTACGTGTGACACATGTCAACGGATAGGAAAGCGGGGGGACCACCCAAGAGCTAGGCTTATGTCTATGCCTATCATTGGGGAGCCCTTTGCCCGCATAGCCGTTGACATTGTGGGTCCACTGGCCAGGGCTAGTCCATCCGGTAAGAAATATATTCTCACCGTGGTGGATTATGCCACTCGCTATCCAGAGGCAGTAGCGCTGTCTAATATAGAGGCAGAGACAGTTGCTGATGCCCTGGTTAGGATTTTTACCAGAGTCGGGTTCCCTCAAGAGATTCTCTCTGACCAGGGAACCCAATTCACCGCTGTGCTCACCCAGCAACTGTGGAAGGTGTGCGGTATTAAACCGCTGCTTAGCTCACCTTACCATCCACAGACTAACGGTCTCTGCGAGCGATTTAACGGTACCCTCAAACAGATGCTGAGGACCTTTTCTGACACTTGCAGAGACTGGGAGCGATTCCTGCCTCATCTGTTGTTTGCCTACAGAGAGGTGCCTCAGGAATCTACTGGGTTCTCCCCCTTTGAGTTGCTATATGGGAGAAGGGTCCGCGGACCCCTAGATCTCATTAGAGGCCACTGGGAGGGGGAGACAGAGCAGGAAGTGACCCCCATAGTACCGTATGTTCTGGAACTCCGGGACCGCATGGAGAAACTGTCCCTAATGGTAAGGGAGAATCTCCAGGTGGCTCAGGGGAGACAGAAGAGGTGGTACGATCAGGGTGCCCGACAGCGAGTCTTCCAGGTTGGGCAGAAAGTGTTAGTACTCAAACCTGTGAAGGCGAACAAGATGCAGGCATCTTGGCAGGGCCCGTATAAGGTGTTAGCGCAGATATGTGATACTACCTACCTTATAGCCAGCTGTTCAGATGAAAGGATCCAGCGATCCTTCCATGTGAACATGCTAAAGGAGTATCAAGAGAGACCAGAGAATGTCGCTGCAGTATGTGCCCCTGCTGCAGATGATACAGAAAGTTTACCCTTGCCAGATCTGTTAGAGAGGGACCCCCAGACGGATCTTACTAGCCTGGTACAGCTAGGGGACAGACTGAGCTCCACCGAGAAGGGCCAGACAAGACAGCTCCTGTGGGAAAAGCAGGCGACCTCCCAAGAACCTGGTTACACTACCCTAGCTGTACACAAGGTAGAAACCCCTGGACAGAACCCTCTGCGACAACCCCCTTACCGTATCCCTGAAGCAGTCCGGGAAGGAATGCGGAAGGAGATACAGGAGATGACCCAGCTGGGGGTCATCGAACACTCCGATAGCCCTTGGGCCTCGCCTGTAGTCCTGGTGCCCAAGAAGGATGGGACCACCCGGTTCTGTGTGGACTACAGGCGTCTCAATGAGCGGACCACCACTGACGCCTACCCGATGCCCCGGGTAGATGAATTGTTAGATCGCATTGCCAGGGGACGCTATCTGACCACCATAGACCTGTGCAAAGGCTACTGGCAGATTCCCCTGGCCGAGGATGCTATCCCCAAGTCGGCCTTCGTCACCCCATTTGGCCTGTACCAATTTAAGGTCATGCCATTTGGGATGAAGAATGCACCGGCTACCTTCCAGCGTATGGTGGATAGACTTCTTGATGGATTCCAGGAATTTGCTTGTGCATACCTGGACGACATTGCGATCTACAGTGAGTCCTGGGAAGAACACCTAGTACATGTAGGGGTAGTACTGGACAAGATTCGGGCCGCTGGCCTGACATTGAAGCCAGAGAAGTGCCATTTAGGCATGGCTGAAGTGCAGTACCTGGGTCACAGAGTAGGGTGTGGGAGCCAGAGGCCAGAGCCAGCCAAGATAGAGGCAGTAGCTAACTGGCCCACACCTATCACCAAGACCCAGGTGTTAGCCTTCCTAGGGACAGCAGGGTACTATAGACGCTTTGTCCCCGACTACAGCACTATTGCTAAACCCCTGACTGACCTGACAAAGAAAAATCTCCCTAAGCAGGTCCTGTGGTCTCCAGCTTGTGAAGCTGCGTTCCAAGCCCTCAAACAATCTCTTGTTAATGCCCCTGTCCTGGCTGCCCCAGTCCCTAACAAACGTTTTCTCGTCCATACAGATGCTTCCATGTATGGACTGGGGGCTGTGCTGAGCCAGGTCGGGGAAGATGGAGGAGAGCACCCTGTCGCATATCTCAGTAGGAAGCTGTTACCCAGAGAAGTGAGTTATGCGGCAGTGGAGAAGGAGTGTTTGGCCCTGGTGTGGGCATTGAAAAAGTTAAGCCCGTATTTATATGGACAGGAATTTTCCCTGGTGACGGACCACAATCCCCTTGTCTGGCTTAACCGGGTCTCAGGAGACAATGGCAGACTGCTGAGGTGGAGTTTAGCACTACAGCCATATAACTTCACCATCACTTATCGACCCGGTAAGCAGAATGGGAATGCAGATGGATTGTCCAGGCAAACCGACATCCTCACCCCATCTTAGTCCGGTCATCCCCACGTTGACCTGCTAAAGGGTCAAGCTGGGTCTGCCGGAGTGTCCCACAAGGGGGGAGCCGTGTGACAGATTCATCTGTATTGCTGGTTCGTCTGTTTCCCTTTGTTCGCTAAATTGCCTGTTCATATAATTTGCAAACTACCGATTGAAACTACCGAATGAACGACCACCCAGGAGAGGAGTGTGCTGCTGGTTAACCTGTTGGCCCCAATTAGAACGTTGTGGTTAACCGCAGACACCTCTCCATTCCATTCGTACGGGTGGTCGTCGTTCGCATGTCGACCACGAGGCAGCGGCCATTTTGGGACATACGAACGCATAGCGGTGTTCGGTACAAACTGTATGGAACTAAAAACGGACACTTAAACTACCGAACACCGCTGGAAGCTGCTACCTACCTTCCATTTCGACAAGGCATGCGAACGTCGGTCGTTCGGGAGTTTTTATTCATTCATATGGACTTTCACCCAGACAGCCATCCCATGGAGTCATTCGTATACCGAAGGACTGGTGAAAGACTTTGACTCCATGGCGATTCGACTAGATACATCAGATCTGAGCGCTATTCGGTGAAAACATGCACTCAGATCCAGGCTGTCTGGGGATACGTTACACGAACTATATGTATTCGGTATTTCTGCAATTATGTATTTTAATGTATTTTTATTACTGTAAGTTAAAATGGCGATTGTCTCTACCTTGGGAGATAATTAGGTTTCTTCCTAATTATCTCCGGGGTAGAGAAGACGGAATTATGGGCAAGATGGGAAGGGCTATTATTGAAGCCACTGCGATTGGCTACTGTCCAATATGTTTTACAGTCTTCCACAAGGTCCCCTCGGGGAGTGTCCACCTTGTGGAGACCTGCATAAATACCGGGCAGGTAGCCCCCATTAAACAGATCTTCATTTGACCCTCAAGACGGAGCTTGGTCTCGTTTGTGGGGGAATTATTACTGGGACAGCGCTTTCGTTATTTTTAGCTGTGGAAGGCGTTCGACTGTTTTGCTGATCGGGAGTTGCCGTATTCGTGGACTTCGTTCGGGAGTTTGGCGGTCGGCTGGATTTAAACTGCATTTCTGGAGAAGGGGATTATTGACTAAACGGCGGCTTCATCTACCCGACGGTACGGGTCGTAACAAGCGGCAATATTAAATCCCACGATCTCTGCTGGTAAAGAAGGTAATCCACAGTCAGCGCTGAAAAGTAAGGCAATATCCCAAATCCCCCAGTAACCGGATGAAACACAGTTCTGGGAGTCAACTGAGGTTTTTATTCACAGCATCCAGTATTTATGCAAGTCCCCATGCAAGGGGTTTCCCTACTGACATTGCAGGGGTAATACAGTAGGGGACTACATGGGGGACTTAACATTCTGGGCATTTCTTCCATCAGGCACTACTGGACGAGAGGGATACTCCCACTGGAATATACCGTTAAGTGGATTATCCCTCCGTGCAGCAGAACCGGCATTTTACATTTAAATCTATAACTTTAACAATATTTAGTTTATTTAAACGAATGGACGTTCGGTAGATAGCTGGGGTCTGAGTGCACAGTTCGTGAGAATACCGCTCAGATCCCAGCTAAAACAACCGAATGCCGCACGAAATACACTTTGCCATAGAGTTCGCCCCAAAATACCGAACACCGATGGGGGAACCCTAATAGCGAAAGACCGGAGCTCCCGAACGGCCTGGAAGTCCAGCGGTGTTTGCGCCATCGAGTAGCCGTTTTCAGTTCCACACGCTCGACGACCAAACACCGCTGGGGAGACAAAGGATCCAAGATGGCCGCCCGCTGGGTGGTCGGTAGCCGAACGACGGCCACCTAGGAAAGCCTCTAATTACAGTGTGTGGGCTTTTAGGGGGTAGCTCATTCGGTTCACGAACAGCCGGTAAAGTTGCTGTTCGTGAAACGAAGCACATGAATGCTAGCGGCTTTCGGCAGCCAGCATACGAATTCAAAGTACACATACATTAACATACATTGTACAGCCAGGTTATACAAGACATTACAGGAATACTACAGGCAACCTTTTTATGTGCACAGTCCTGAATATTACAAGTGGCTAGGCTTGTCACACTGACTTTAATGTTTAAATGACACTCCAGACTCCTAAAGCATTGCTCAGTGTGTCGTCTTTTTTCATTTCACAAAAAGTGTACATTTCAATAGAAACGGGCATGTTTACAAATTAACCTGGTTATAGCCCCTGGCTGTCAATCAGACAACAGGTTCTATTACTTCCTGGTTTGTTTAGCTCAGATGAGCTAAACTCAAGAAGCAGGTAACTACACAAAGCCTTGCAAAGACTTCTCATTGAGCTCATTTGGAAAATCAGTGATTGGACAGCCACAGAAAGTCTGGGCTGAGGAAGAAATGTATGGTGTTCAAAGGCTGCAGACAAGAGATCTGCAGTTTTGCAAGCTGCTTTCAGATATAATCCCAAAGAACACATATATAATTAAATGCATGCATTTTTATTGGGGTATATCTACTAATAAGTGAGTTTAACATTTTTATTTTGATTAGTATTCGGGTAGTAGAGTGTCCCTTATGTTATCGTATCATTGGAAGTTTTTATTTGCATTTTTATCAAGAACCTTTAAACCTACTGACACAAGTTACGGGCGGTTTTTAAGTTAGGGACGCTGCAAATTGATGTACTAAGTCAATTGTTAAATGGTTTTACTGAGTATTTCTTCTAAAACCAGAGACCTAGTGAATGTGTATTAAAGTTACACTCCAGAGGAAGTGACCCATAATGTTCTTTTTTCTTTTAATGTATTAAAAATATGAAAATAAGAATATACTCATATTTTCAGTTTCTGCTGCTGCAAATCTAAGGCAGGTAATCACCTGCTGTAGAGAGCTGCTGTGTGAGCATTCATTTACTCAATAAATCACGGACTGAGCTGCAAACATGGCTGATTTGGAGAATGTTACCAGTAGAGTTACTGTGGCTTTAATCTTTATGGAATGTACCATGAACCCATATAAAGTATAACGTTTTAACCAGAAACAGTTCCCCCATTGATACAATGTACTCACGTTTGTGGCCAACGGTTTAGACATTAACGGCTGTGGGTTGAGTTATTTTGAGGGGACAGCTAATTTACACTGTTATACAGGCTGTACACTTACTACTTGACATTGTAGCAGAAAGTCATTTCTTCAGTGTTGTCACATGAAAAGATTTAATAAAATATTTACAAAAATGTGAGGGGTGTACTCACGTCTGTGATATACTGTATGCGGCTCATTGGAGTGGCATAATAGTTACTCTTATTCCAAACATTTAATTGATAAAATAACTAGATACATTGACAAAACAAAAACAAAAAACACTCCAAGTAGATTGCCAACCGTATGGCTCCAACTCAAAAATAAATCATTAAATGAATACCATAACATTTCTGGTACATGACAAGTGCTGACTAATTAGAATGTATATGCTCTCAGAATAAACTCTGGGTGGTTTCTATGTTAGCAACTACTTAATTCATCAAATTTACTCTGGCAGCTTACACATTCTATATACCGACGGGCAGCATTTTTTAAGAGCAACGTCAGAGAATCTAGAAATACAGTTGCAAGAAAAAGTATGTGAACCCTTTGGAATGATATGGATTTCTGCACAAATTGGTCATAAAATGTGATCTGATCATCATCTAAGTCACAACAATAGACAATCACAGTCTGCTTAAACTAATAACACAAAGAATGAAATGTTGCCATGTTTTTATTGAACACACCATGTCAACATTCACAGTGCAGGTGGAAAAGGTATGTGAACCCATAGACTAATAACATCTCCAAGAGCTAATTGGAGTGAGATGTCAGCCAACTGGAGTCCAATCAATGAGATGAGATTGGAGGTGTTGGTTACAGCTACACTGCCCTATAAAAAACACACACCAGTTCTAGGTTTGCTTTTTACAAGAAGCATTGCCTGATGTGAATGATGCCTCGCACAAAAGAGCTCTCAGAAGACCTACGATTAAGAATTGTTGACTTGCATAAAGCTGGAAAGGGTTATAAAAGTATCTCCAAAAGCCTTGCTGTTCATCAGTCCACGGTAAGACAAATTGTTTATAAATGGAGAAAGTTCAGCACTGCTGCTACTCTCCCTAGGAGTGGCTGTCCTGTAAAGATGACTGCAAGAGCACAGCACAGACTGCTCAATGAGGTGAAGAAGAATCCTAGAGTGTCAGCTAAAGACTTACAAAAGTCACTGGCAAATGCTAACATCCCTGTTAGCGAATCTACAATACGTAAAACACTAAACAAGAATGGATTTCATGGGAGGATCCCACAGAGGAAGCCACTGCTGTCCAAACAAAACATTGCTGCACGTTTACAGTTTGCACAAGAGCACCTGGATGTTACACAGCAGTACTGGCAAAATATTCTGTGGACAGATGAAACCAAAGTAGAGTTGTTTGGAAGAAACACACAACACTATGTGTGACGAAAAAAAGGCACAGCAAACCAACATCAAAACATCATCCCAACTGTGAAGTATGGTTTGGGGCTGCTTTGCTGCGTCAGGGCCTGGACGGATTGCTATCATCGAAGGAAAAATTAATTCCCAAGTTTATCAAGACATTTTGCAGGAGAACTTAAGGCCATCTGTCTACCAGCTGAAGCTCAACAGAAGATGGGTGTTGCAACAGGACAATGACCCAAAGCATAGAAGTAAATCAACAACAGAATGGCTTAAACAGAAGAAAATACGCCTTCTGAAGTGGCCCAGTCAGAGTCCTGACCTCAACCCGATTGAGATGCTGTGGCATGACCTCAAGAAAGCGATTCACACCAGACATCCCAAGAATATTGCTGAACTGAAACAGTTCTGTAAAGAGGAATGGTCAAGAATTACTCCTGACCGTTGTGCAAGTCTGATCTGCAACTACAGGAAACGTTTGGTTGAAGTTATTGCTGCCAAAGGAGGTTCAACCAGTTATTAAATCCAAGGGTTCACATACTTTTTCCATCTGCACTGTGAATGTTTACATGGTGTGTTCAATAAAAACATGGCAACATTTCATTCTTTGTGTGTTATTAGTTTAAGCAGACTGTGATTGTCTATTGTTGTGACTTAGATGATGATCAGATCACATTTTATGACCAATTTGTGCAGAAATCCATATCATTCCAAAGGGTTCACATACTTTTTCTTGCAACTGTATCACCTGTCTATTAGAGAAATGGCTGACCAGACATTACTGTAGCTAAGCTATTTGGAAACATAAGATTCCTTTCATATCACCCTTTCTTCACGTAAAGATCTATTTAAAAAATTACACTGTGGATAACATACAAAATATATTACAAAACATTTAAACAGATGAGAGTTGTCTTACGCTGGGAAGTCTGCTGCATATTGCCACCCTTCTCGATCTGTTCCATTGGCAATATTAAAATCTATATACCAGTCTGAGACCTAAAATCAAACAGAAATGCACTGTTTAATATACATTATGCAAAAAAAGGGACACATTTAGACTTTGCAATGTAAACCTCTTTCAGTTACATGATCAGTTCTAAGGTTTAGGACAAAATGAATTCTCAAATTGGATGGAGCCAGATTTAGATTTCCTTTTCGAGCTTCGGTACTTTGACTAATTTTTAAAGTCAGTTTACCATAACTGCTTAATTACAGAATATTCCCTTGATTTTAAATAGTTGTACACTCCCACAAAAAATAATTAAATATATTTTTATATTGGTTCTGCTGATAAGCATTCACATTGGAACGCAAACTCTTAATTTTAGTCGACAACATAGGACAAAAACCAATGGCAAAAATATTACATGTAAGCTCAGATGTCCTGATCTTACAGATAACTCAAGACATAAAGTATAAGTATAAAGTATATCTGGCACCAAACAACCCCCTATTGTATTACATTTAAAAAAACAAACAAACAAAAAAAAAAAAAAAAAAAAAAATATCTACATCAGTGGCTGGCTGGGAAAAAAAATACTAGGAAACGTCAGCTGACGGTAAACATATAAAAAGATGACTCCTAAAATTAGCACTTTAACCCCTTAAGGACACAGCTTCAAAAGATTGCACTTAAGGACACAAGCAATTTTTACATTTTTTTGCGGTTTGCTTTCAACTGCAATTTGCATTTTACGAATTTATTGCACCAACACATATTATATACCGTTTTTTTAAAAGGACAAAAAGGGCTTTAATTTGATGTAACATATACATATATAAATGCTAATTTATTATATATATATAAAAAAAGGAAAAATATTGTTTCTTTTACAGTTTTTGCAATAATAATGTGTGCATAATTAGTGCAGGTTAAGGAAAGTAATTAAAAATACATTAATTTAGTTGTTCTGATTTACAGAATACATAATGTGTCTAGGATTTTAAGTTTTTTTTTGGTAGTTACAGGACATAAAACACAAGGAGTAAAATAAACTTTTAATGTGGAGCATTTTTAGAATTTGGTATGTTTGTTTTGTACCTTAAAGGAACACGATAGTCACCTAAATTACTTTAGCTAAATAAAGCAGTCTTAGTGTATAGATCATTCCCCTGCAATTTCACTGATCAATTCACTGTCATTTAGGAGTTAAATCACTTTGTTTCTGTTTATGCAGCCCTAGCCACACCTCCCCTGGCTATGATTGACAGAGCCTGCATGAAAAAAAAACTGGTTTCACTTTCAAACATATGTAATTTACCTTAAATAATTGTATCTCAATCTCTAAATTGAACTTTAATCACATACAGGAGGCTCTTGCAGGGTCTAGCAAGCTATTAACATAGCAGGGGATAAGAAAATCTTAATTAAACAGAACTTGCAATAAAGAAAGCCTAAATAGGGCTCTCTTTACAGGAAGTGTTTATGGAAGGCTGTGCAAGTCACATGCAGGGAGGTGTGACTAGGGTTCATAAACAAAGGGATTTAACTCCTAAATGGCAGAGGATTGAGCAGTGAGGCTGCAGGGGCATGTTCTATACACCAAAACTGCTTCATTAAGCTAAAGTTGTTCAGGTGACTATAGTGTCCCTTTAATAGCCATAAAAGAAAACAAAATTGCCACACAAAAGTATATATTTATATAAAGTAGACATCACAGGCTATTTACCTAAGGTTATTTTGACACTTTTTATGTAGCCATTTCCCTGCCAATCTCTGCTAAATATTGGAGTAAAATTGTGTTTTTTTTTGGTTTTTGACACACAAACTTATAACAAAGATCTTCTCATGTGTATTTCGTAAAGTTGGTGTGTGCTATTCCTGTACAAAACCTTATTTTGTGTTCAGCTACATCTTTTGAGTACAACGATCCCCCCATTATATGTCTTTGGCACTATTTCGTGAAGCTACAGTGCCATATATTATATATATTTACTATAGCATTTTTAGAGACTGATTTGATGGGCCTATGTTTCAATTTGGGGTATTATAGCAGTTTGACTGTTCAAAAACCATTTGTAAAATTAGACACTCCAGGGTATCTCAGATGGTGCATATTGTGCATTAACATGCCCCCTATTTGTCACCAATATATGTCAAAGTATGTGGTAAAAAATAATTTTTGGCATTTTTTTTACATATGGATTACATTTTTGCTGGGCATTTTGTATATTTGATATGTGCCACTAAGATCAAAGTCCCAACATTATGCTCAGCAAAGTCTTGAGTAAAATGATACCCCCAATGAATGCCTTTGGCGCTATTTCGTGAAGCTATAGTGCCATATAGGAGACCTGTCCATTTCAGTATTTACAGTAGAATTTTGAGAGACGGATTTGATGGGCCCATCTTTCAATTTGGGGCGTTATAGCAGTATGACTGTTAAAAAAAACCCCACAAAGGCCTACCATTTCTTAAAGCAGACACCCCAGGGTATTTCAAATGGCATATTTTAAACCCTAGCGTAGGATCATTTTTTTAATGGTTTGTACCAAGTCTAGTAGCAATTAGCATTTTTTCTGCCTTTTTGACACACACTCGGAGATGTTACTGTATATTTTGCAATTCTTATGTGTGCTACGGCAGTATAACACCTAATATGTTGCTCAGCTATGTCGTCTTAGTACAACAATACCCCCATATGTACCTTTTTCAGGGATATGTGGATGTTGAAGGGGCACATTTGAGACACATCAATTTCATATTTTTCAAAAGTGGATGATGGGCCTAGGTCTCATTTTAGCAGCTCAAATGCCACATTTATTTTTAAATATAAGCAGGTCATCCATTTCAAATTATGAACAAATGCATACTATTTGCTGTGAAAGGGGGAATATTTGGTGTAAACTTATCAGGGGGTAGTACTCAGTCATCTGCGTCACGGATTCCGGAACCAAAACACATACAGACCACAAAGAGAGAGAACACAGAGAGAGAAACTTGTGATACCGGTCCTTAGAATGGCCGGGCTTTACAAGCAGAGAATAGTCAAGTTACAAGGAGTAAAGAGAAATGGAACAACGATAGGACAAACTGAGTTCAAGGATCAGAGAACACAGGATAAACGGGAGACAAAGCCAAGATTCGGTGACTAAACAATCAGACCGATGACTAAAATCCCACCCCAAAACCAGTCTACTTATTCGGTCTGGGTTTGGAAATTTTAAAACAGTGACCAATGCATAGGCGGGGCTGAGAGGGGCACATCAGGGCAGTAATAACTGGTCTCAGCTCTTACGCCCCTCTTGTAACACACCCTGAACCTTTTCTGGGGGTTTATCTTTTTGGAAGTTGATGGAATCCTCCATTCTTCTGCTAGGCTCCACTGATGGTCCCCCTCTGTGGCACTCAAGCAGCCCAGAAATAACCTGAAACTGAAATGATGCAACGTGCATTTCAGCTCAGTATTTGCCTTTTTAAAAATTACAAAAGGCATTGTGGATTGCCGTCTGCATTATATATAGGCCCACTTTTTTATACCATGCCCTGGTCTTTAGCATGATCAAGTATGGCTGCATCAGTTGATCAGACAGGTCAACTCCCCCCATATGCCCCATATTGTAATGTGTTATGAAGGCTGGCGACCTTGCGAGTGCGTTCACCATGGATGGTGGTTAGGATGAACACCTCCTTTTTATCGCGGTACTTTACTGCCAGTTCATTCTGGCAGAGAGCTGCTGTTTCCCCCCTTTTTATTTATTTTTTTCTGCTAGAGCCTTTAGGAAACCTTTGCGACTCTTCCGAATAGTGCCACAGGCCAGGGTCTCAAAGCAGTACAGCATTTTTAGAAGTGGGATACTGTTGTAAAAATTATCAATATAAGTGATATCCCTTGTTTAGTAACGGCATGATTAGGTCCCAAACAATTCCCCCACTTGTCCCTACTGTATCTGGGCAGCCTGGGGGATCAAATTGGCTATCCTTTCCTTCGTATACACGTAGCCACTGCCACTTTCACACAATTTATAAAATTTGTATGGGATGTACTGTAAGTCTTCCCTTAAACTTCATGAGAGATTCGTCAATAGAAATATGTTTATGAGGGGTGTAAATAGTGGCATATTTTTAGTTAAAGTGGGCAATTAGAGGGCGTATTTTATATAGAAGATCATACTACGGATGACCATTTGGGGGGCACTTTGTATTGTCACTAAAGTGCATAAATCGCATAAATGCATAAATGTCTTCATATCTGTCCCTAAAAATGGGGGTATTGCAAATGGGGTTTTTAGAACAATACATTCTAATGGTGGGCTTTTTAATTATCCCCATTAGTATTGGCAGTGCCCAGAATTGTTTCAATTCTGGCACACTGGTTGGCTTCCATCTCTCTTTCCTGGCGATAAGAGGCTCTTGATTGTGTGCCAGATACTGCTAAGCGTACAGATTAGTCTGGGTGACTATCTCCCCAAAACTATCATCCCCCAAGAACAGCTGCATACAATCCAGCGCATTAAAGCCAGACAGGTCAGCCTGTTTGCCAGGATTGGCAGTGAACTCTGGGATGTCAGGTGAAAAATTATTAAGGGGTACCCAGTCATCTACACCATGTTCAGCATCAGGGGAATCAGCAATTTCTCCTGATGGTCCAGCAGTATCTGGCACATAGTCCCTGTCCCCTGCGTCACTCTCTGAGGAAGTGTCGGTCGCCTCTGAGTCGGCCGCTAACAGGGCATAAGCTTCCTCTGCACTATACTTCCTAAGCATTGTGTACTACAGTAATAAACTGTAACTAAATAACTAAACTTTAATTTTTTTTAAATGTTTTTTTTCCTAACTAGCTTATCACTAAATTCCCCATTTCCCACTAAATTCCACCCACCACAACTAACTAAATCACAAATTAATAAAATAAAATATTAAAATTTAACCCCTTAAGGTTACTAAAAATACAAATGTAAACCCTGAGGGTAAAAAAAAAAAAAAAAACTAGATCACAGTACTGGCAGTGATCAATCAGCAGGGAAAGGGTTATTTTTCGTTTTAAAAGAACAAGGTAAAGGGGATTTGGAACATCTTAGATAATTTATTCACTTCAAGGACACAATGTAACAACGATCAGTCTCTCTCCACTTCAAAAACCTTCAAGGAGGTGGAGGGAGGCGGATCTAATATCCCAGCAGCATTGTGAACGCTGTGACTGGCTGTCACAGCAATCATGTGGGGCTGAGACATCGCGATTTGCTGTTGCTGGTCTGCCCCTGACTCGGCACCCAGCAACAGCATTAGCCCTGCGATCCACCGCACCGCGGCGATCTGGGGTTAACTTTAGCACATGACGGACCGGGTCCAACATCCGGCGTTAAGTGCTTCCCCAGCATGACAGACCTGGTCCGTCATCCATCATTAAGGGATTAAATGCTAAAGGTAAAAAAAAAAAAAAAAAAAAACAACAACAAAAAAAAACCACTCGAGTTTACAAACTTTTACATAAATGAAATAATTTCCGTACATTACACAATCTTTTTAAGAATACTCTCGATAGGTCTGCTTCTGACAGCTGTGTATGCCAAGGCTACCGTGGTGTTATCCCATGATTACTTTCTCACAAAAGTAAAACAAACAAAGTTTATAAAAAACATTTTATATTTGGTTGGAGTACTGTCGCTGTTATATACTCTCATACCATCTCCTATATTGTTTGCATTTCAATATCTGTATGGATGCTTTAAATAAACAAAATGTTTTGAACTAATTCACCTCAACAAAAGACATTTTCTTTAAGAACCATAAATGACCTGCATACTACTTCTAGTCTTACTGACATGTTTATCACAGCACGGACAGCTGTTTCAAACGAAAAAGTTCTCACATAAGGAGGTTTACAACATGTAAATATCATAAGGTGAATTATTTTGGTGATTTCTGTGCTGATTCATTTTACTACAGACGGCATATAAACAAAATAAAAAAAATTATAAAATAAACATACATACATATTAATATTAAAAAACAAAGAAAAGAGTTACCTGTGCATTACCCCGAAACATACAATAAAACCAAAGAAAAGAGTTACCTGCGCACTACCCCAAAACATACAATAAAAATCAAAGAAAAAAGAGTTACCTGCGCCCTACCCCAAAACATACAATAAAAAACAAAGAAAAGAGTTACCTGCGCCCTACCCCAAAACATACAATAAAAAACAAAGAAAAGAGTTACCTGCGCCCTACCCCAAAACATACAATAAAAAACAAAGAAAAGAGTTACCTGCGCACTACCCCAAAACATACAATAAAAAACAAAGAAAAGAGTTACCTGCGCACTACCCCAAAACATACAATAAAAAACAAAGAAACAAGTTACCTGTGCACTACCCCGAAACATACAATAAAACCAAAGAAAAGAGTTACCTGCGCACTAAGAAACAAGTTACCTGCACATTATCTCAAATCCCTATACATATTTAGACAAATGGAGGTTATTTAGTTGCCCCAATGGCCCATCTGCCACGTCAAAATAAACCGCTCAGGTGGGTCCTAAACTAACAATTCACCTTGCTTCCTTCAGCTTCAGGCAAACAAAATCTCTAATGAGACAGAGAGGGGTATTTTTCTAAACCCCTACATACTTATTAACCCTTAATAGGGAACACATGGGCTGGTCGGCAGCATTGTACCATGACAATGCGATAAAAAAGTAAATACAAATACACAAAAACAAGTATTGTGCTCAAACTTCCAAGACAAGACATTAAAAGAATACTGCAAATAAACTTGGAAAATTGATACATTTTGATACTGCTTGTTAGACCTTTGCTCTATACCTAATGGTTAAAAGCAGCAATCCTACAGTGTAGTGCTTGTTAATTTTCCAAAGTTTAGATTAAACAGACAGAGGAAGCCTTGCATAATTGTTAACATAACCTTGTTTGTATAAGTGATTATAAAAGGTCAGGTTACAGCTTTTCTCTCGCAGATTTGAAATTATACTGTGTTTTGTAAACGAAGGGGGAGGTAATTTCACTTTATACTCCATTGAACTTCTACACCTACGGGGTCTACAGTGATCCCCAGATGTTGTTGAACTACAACTTCCATAATGTTTTGCATGGTTTTCGAGTGCTTTTAGAACGCAAAGCATCATGGAAACTGTAGTTTTAAAACATTTGGGGATCCACCTTTTTGCCCCACGGGTTACTTCAAGAGCAAATTTTACAAGAAAATAAAATAATACCCCTTAGCTCACTGCAAAGCTGGAATGTAAGAGATATATTTTTTTTATATCTTTAAATGTTTTAGGGACATTAAATTGGTTATAGTGATTGGAGACCCCTGGCACAGTCCCTCCATTCAATGTTAAACCAGTATTAAGCAGTTTCAAACAGAATGAGGTCCTTGGCCACCCACAGCCTTCCCCCTTCTCCAACCAAGGCATGGATTGCACACTTCCTTTTAGCAATACCTATCCATACCAGCAATGGGTACTGTGATAGGCTGAAAGCAGTCAGATGACACTCTCAGCCAATTATAGTCTCCAAAACCCCTTCAGCTACTTGCCTGAATCCAGAGCTGATGTCCTTCGGCGCTGGATCAGGCTCTGCCCATGCTCCGGCTGACGTCGACGGGGGAGACCTCTCCATAGGAAATCATTATTCAATCCCATGGGGGAAATCTGACGCTGGAGGTCCGTGAGGATGTCCAGTGTCAGATAACGGACCAAAAGTCTGTTACCAATCCGGAAGTGCCCCCAGGGGCTGTCTGTTAGGCAATTACATTGTTTTACATTGCAGCACTAATTGCAATAGGGACACAGCACCCAGACCTCTTCAACTAGCTGAAGTGGTCTGGGTGCCTACAGTGTCACTTTAAAGGATCACTCTAGGCACCCAGACCACTTCAGCTTAATGAAGTGGTCTGGGTGCCAGGTCCAGCTAGGGTTAACCCATTTTTTAACATAGCAGTTTATTAATGGGTTAAGCCTTCCCCCAAAGCCTCTAGTGGCTGTCTCATTGACAGCCACTAGAGGCGCTTGCGTGCTTCTCACTGTGATTTTCACAGTGAGAGCACGCCAGCGTCCATAGGAAAGCATTGTAAATGCTTTCCTATGCGACCGGCTGAATGCGCGCGCAGCTCTTGCCACGCGTGCGTATTCAGCCGACGGGGCGGAACGGAGGAGGAGAGAAGGAGAGCTCTCCGCCCAGCCCCCTTTCCAGAGCCGGGCGAGAGGGGGTCCCTGAGGGTGGGGGCACCCTCAGGGCACTATAGTGCCAGTAAACAAGTATGTTTTCCTGGCACTATAGTGGTCCTTTAAAGGAACACTGTAGGGTCATGAACACAAACGTGTAAAATAAAAGGTTGTGCTGGCCAATCAGCATCTCCCCATAGAGATGCATTGAATCAATGCATCTCTATGGGGAAAGTTCAGTGTCCCCATGCAGATCATGGAGACACAGAACGCAAGTGCTGCACACAATGCAGCATGGAAATATGAAGCACCTGTAATGTCCGTTTGAGTGACTGCATCCAGAGGTGTTGCTAGGCAGCAATGTAAGCACTGAATTTTCTCTGAAAAGGCAGTGTTTACATGAAAAGGTCAGCAGGGAGAGGCAATACTTGCCACAACAACTACATTAAGCTGCAGTTGTTCTGGTGACTATAGTGTCCCTGTAATGTAGTGGTTTTGGTATACAGATAAAGCCGCTGCAGTCTTACTGCACATTCCTCTGCCATTTATAAATTAAATCAATATTTTATGCAGTCTTAGGCACACATCATCTGCACTTGATACAAACAAAAGGTACCTCACTCATGAAGATTCCCACAAACAAGATCAAGTGCTGAAGAAACGTTGGATAGTAGGTGTAAAAAGCGTTCAGGCTTTTGTTTGTTTGTTTTTTAATGTTCAGATCTTATATCTGTACATGTTTATTAGCACACACTGCATTCTGTATCAATTCTTCTACATACTAAATGAGCATAGTAAGAAATTGTTCCCATTCATTTTGTTTTTTTTGTGTGTTATCTTTCGCTTGTATCAAGCGCCTTGTGGAATACCATTACCAGCACCGAACAACCCTAAGCAAAACAGTCACCTGCAAGTGAGTTTTGTTTGTTGGATTTTTTTTTTTTAAATGTATATTTGAGTTTATTTTAATTTTGTTGGGGAAGCAGCCTTTTATTTTGGAAAATTTAGCTTGGATTGAAACACATCCTTCTGCATGTGGCCTACACATCTCTTATAAAGAGAGATATCATGTTTAAACTAAAACCTTTATTGCAAAGTTTGTTTAATTTAGAATTTAATATCTACAGGATCTTCTTGTGTGTGATTAAAGTTCAAGTGACAGAACAGGAGCTAAATAAACTTGTAAAGTAAACAAACTGTGCTGTAAGATCTGATTGAAGATTTACCATTTTTTTCATGTAGGCTGTGTAAATCTGTGTCGGTAGGGCTGCCTAAACAGAAACACAAGTGATTTAACTCCTAAATGGCAGGGAATTGAGCTGTGCTGCTGGGGGCATGACCTATAAACAAAAACATCTTAATAAAGCTAAAGTTGTATTGGTGTTTAGAGTATCCCTTTATTGAGCTTCTGTATATAGAAATTAACAAAACTAGTCATGCACAAATTTATATATATTACATACATACCATTAGTCAAATCACTAATACTCATATACATCCATATACAACTAGTCAATGCCACAATGCATACAAACAGGCACATACATTCTTTTACACATACACACATGCAAATACAGACACAAGCACACACACAAATACAGATATTCAAAAAACACATACCCATACATATAAACATCTCAGTTCAGATCATTTTCATCCCATAACTCAATATTTCACAATAGCATCCATGTCATTTACCCCATAAATTGTCTCTCTGATAACCCACAAACCATATTATTCCCTTGGTGGAGTAATGGTGACTGTGCACTGCAGTATCAGAGCTTAGCACATACTGCTGTCCTCGCTCCATTTCAGTGTTAAGCAAGTGACGTAGGCTAACCAATAAAAATAAACAGCACATAAACAATAAAATGCGCACTCCAAGACAATATTGCTTTACAAATAAACTTCTAACAATACCTAGTAGTTCTTTTTTTGCTTTTGCTAAACACTATGAACACTAAAGCTTATAGCAGTGGTTTTGGTGTAGAGAGCATTTGGATGTAGTTTTACCTTTTCACAAATAATAAAACTACTCACATGATTAAAATAAGCTACAATGGTTCGGTGCTAATTGTGTTCCACTAATTTTGAGACATACCACAATGCAACTGTATAGTTTACAGCTCTCACAGACATGGAGATGATTCAAAATGGTGTCTTACCCATGACCACTGTGGGGACGGTGGCTTCGTGCCGACTTTTGTACACTCTTGTAATCCAGTTGCATCACTCCACATATATCTGTCTGTTAACAGTCCACTGCAATAAAAACCATGATCAGATATATATACCGTGTGACAAAAAAATCTGGACAAAAAAAGGGTACGTTTAGTAATATGCACTAACAGTCATTAATATCTATTCCTTACTAAGTTAGAGCTGATAAACTAAATGATCATATCCAGGCAATCAACATGCCACCCTCGACCTCTCTTATCACACTAAAACTCAAAAGATCAACCTCGGCCTTGTGGGTTCTCTACCCCGGTCTAGGTTTCTCTGCAAAATGAAAACAGTATCTGTAAACGATCAATTTACATTAGATCTGCCAACCCTTTCAGAGCAAGTGGATTGATACACACAAAGCACCATAGTAATACATGCAGCAAATATGGTTACTTTCATAGCATATTTAATTTGATGTTATTATTACACTTGTGCACCAACACTTATAAAACACAAGGAATATATGAAGCCCTTTGTGACAGCTGTTGAAACAGTCACTGTACAGTGCCATTCCCTGTATTAGTGGGCTCAGTGGGCTAACTGCAACACAGTCTTGCCCACTCGCTGCCCCTATCCCACCCACTCAAAATCTAAGTTTGCGTCCTGACTTTCACTAATTATGATGAGGTCTTCTAGTAATAAAAAGTACACCCCTACATTGCAAGATGCACCATTATTACTGGAGGACATAGTGATACACAGTGACAGATGGAGACACACCATATTGCTATTTCCATGATGCCTCCTGCTGATCCGATTCTTCATTTTGTCCTTTATTTCAGCCAGGCCATTGCACCTCCTTCTCCCCAGGATCTAATTTCACATGTTTTGGTATATGCAATTTTTTCTACACCACCTGTGATTTTTTCTTTCTTTTTTTTTGATTCATTTTATTTTCATGTACATTTTTTAGGCAATGTTTTTCATTTTTTATTTTAATTTTTTATTAACAAATATATATTTGTTTAGTTTTTCACTCCTAATGCAATAATTTTCTTTTTTTTATACGTGCTCTTTTTAATTTATTTCAGTCTCTGCTGCTCTTGTGCCCCCTCTGCTGGTTTTGTCTTTGTATGATTAAAACAGAAAACTGACCCTATTTCACATGTGTTTTGTGTAATCATTTTGCTGAAAGAGCCCAATATGTTTTTTTCTCTCAACCATTGTATCATATCCCATGATTTCGGTATAAACTTGCTTAGACTATCCCATTTTTGTTTATTTTTTTAATTGTTGGGGTACTGAAAATGTATGCTAGGCGATATTCACACATTTGCAGAGTAATACAGTGTATATACTCACATACTGCTGTATCCGCTGATGGGATTCCATCTCTGATTTTCATAGATATAGACACATTTTGTATCAGTCTGAGGAAATATGTTTTCTGTGCTGCTGGATATTCCTGGAGCAAAAACATCAAAACATCTTAATAATGATCAAAAAACACACACACACACACTCTCTCTCTCTCTCTCTCTCTCTCTCTCTCTCTCACTCTTGGTCTGAGGAGCAGACAAACATTTGATTATTGTACAGCACTGTGGAATTTGTTGGCCCTATATAAATAATAATAATATTGATCATCGGTTGTTATAATTACAAAAGTTAAAAAAAATAAAAAAAAAATAAAATAAATATATATATATATATATATATACACATATATATATATACAAAAATATAGGGAACAGAAGGCAAGCACTCACGGTCTTTTCTGGTCTCTTTAAAAGGAATTTCTTTATTTCATAGGTTAAAACTTGATTTGATCAAATCAAGATCAAATCAAGTTTTAACCTATGAAATAAAGAAATTCCTTTTAAAGAGACCAGAAAAGACCGTGAGTGCTTGCCTTCTGTTCCCTATATTTTTGTATATCTTTGGCATTGGCTTGACAGCACCGGGCATAAAATTATTGAAGTGTGTGTGCAAGGAAGACAACAGGATTTTGGATTTTATATATATATATATATATATATATATATATATATAAAACAAAACAAGCCTTGCACTCCTACCAAACTTTAAATAGAACCCGGTGCTCGATTGCACAATAAATACCAAGCAAAAGAAAAATCAGCACTCCCAGGATTTGTAAATAAGCCAAAAAAAATACTTTACTCCACAGGTCAACGTTTCAGCTCCTCTTGGGAGCTTTCATCAGGACAGCATACAAAGCATAAATGAAAAACAACACAGCTTAAATAGGGACATAAATCCAATTAAAACTCACAATCCAGGTGTGCTGATGGAGAACCTCCTCTCCTCTCGAGCGTCCGCTCAAACGCTATCAATTCCCGGCATTTCCCCACTTCCTACTCACGCCGTCACGTGATATACGTGACATCACGTAACGAACGTGGTGATGTCACGTATATCACGTGACGGCGTGAGTAGGAAGTGGGGAAATGCCGGGAATTGATAGCGTTTGAGCGGACGCTCGAGAGGAGAGGAGGTTCTCCATCAGCACACCTGGATTGTGAGTTTTAATTGGATTTATGTCCCTATTTAAGCTGTGTTGTTTTTCATTTATGCTTTGTATGCTGTCCTGATGAAAGCTCCCAAGAGGAGCTGAAACGTTGACCTGTGGAGTAAAGTATTTTTTTGGCTTATTTACAAATCCTGGGAGTGCTGATTTTTCTTTTGCTTGGTATATATATATATATATATATATATTTTTTATTTATTTTTTTAAACACATTAACCAGGATTCCTGTAAAGCAATTATATAAAAAAGTTTTACTGTGTATATGAGAAACTGGCTAATGATGAACCTATAACGCTGCCACAGGTAAAGTTACACTTTTGGCAGAACAGGGGTTAATCTCTCTATGTGCACTGAAGTGGTCATGGTGCTTGGAATAACCCTTTAAGTTGGTCTTTTATTATATTCTACAAGGATGAATTGAAATTAGTGCTACACCCATGATATTATTTCAATAAAAGATATAGAACCAGGTGTAATGGGAAATCCGCAATTTATGGCAGTAATAAACTATTCCACAACAAATAATTAAGGGATAATTAAATTGGCGAAATAAAGAATTGGCCAAAATTGATAAATAATTGGCGTAAATTTCAAATACAAGCCACTACAGCTAAAATCACCCAAGTGTCACACTTACAACAAAAGCTGTTCTAGCTTAGCGTCCATTACTGCCAGATCATCATCCACCCGTGATGGTGAATTTTTATGTAGGAGGAATAAATTAATCTAATAAAGTCAAGATCTATTCCCGCACGTAGTAAAACTCTCCATACTCCAGTGCAGCGTTCCTCAACCCTCTCCGCAAGGTACACCTTACAGTCCAGGGTTCAGACATTACCTGGGTGTGGCTAAGGTGTTTAAGAAAAACAAAAAACAAAAAATGTTGAAGGCAGCTTCAACATGGATGCTGTCCAGGAGGTGGGAGGGTCTGGGAGGGAGGGTCTGCTGGAGATTGTCCGGGATGTGTCAGCTGACCGGAGTTCGCCACGAACGGTTCGTGGCGAGCTGTTCGCGGGAAGTTCGCGACATCTCTACCCATTACCCTTGGTGATGCAAGTTCTGTGTCAATGTAAGCTGATTTTTACCACTTTAATTATATTACCTTGTTGGAATCCTCCGCCGTATCCTCCAGTATAAACCCATGCAGTGTAATCGTGGCCAATGCCCCAAACTACTCCACTGCTGCTACTTTCCACCATTCTGAGATGTCCTCCGATCTGACACCAAAACCTAGGATCCAAAATAATCTCTCAATATTGTCATTATATCCTCTAAATATTGTTCTTAATATCAATAGCACTTCGTACACTGCTAAGATCTTTCTTTGCATCTGAGTGGCCTAAATCAGGGTTATGGTTTAACACGAATTTAACACAAATTTCGTTAACATGAACTGGTCACCAACAACTGGTAAGGTTTTTTTTCCCCATAGAGCAAATGTGTGGATAATGTAGTGAAAACATATGTATAAGATAGAGGCCCTCACTTAGTTCTGCAGTGTAGGCACACATGTTATTTTGTAGGTTCATATGCTCTTGGCTCATTGGTTGAATCAGGAAACTACCTTCTAAGGATGATCCATTGGTAGCGCATGCCCAAAACTGGCACAGTTCTGCATACAGTATTTCTCCCTGAATGACAGGTCCTAATTACCGAAACTGTTCACAGGGTTATAAGAGTTATGTAGTTTCACAAACTGGATTTTACATAGGACACAATGCCATGCTTTAGACTGGAAGAAAGAAGATTTTGTCTAAGGCAAAGGAAAGGTTTTTTTTACTGTAAGAACAATAAGGATGTGGAATTCTCTGCCTGGAGAAGTGGTTTTATCAGAGTCCATACAGATGTTCAAATACCTGCTAGATGCATACTTGCAAAAACAGAATATTCAAGGATATAATCTTTCAATGTAGGGTAATAACTGCTTGATCCAATCTGCCATTCTGGGTTCAAGAAGGAATTTTTTTCCTAGTTTGTTGCAAAATTGGAAGTGCTTCAAACTGTTTTATTTATTTTTTTGCCTTCTTTTGGATCAACAGCAAAAAACAAATGTGAAGAAGGCTGAACTTGATGGACGCAAGTCTCTTTTCAGCTATGTAACTATGTAACTATGACGGTGTTTAATTTGATAACATTGTAAAAGAACTTGGACAAGATAACAGCTGAAGTGAATTATAATTTGCATAATTGTATGCAAAATAATTTAAATGGTCACTCTAAGCACTAAACCATTACATGTTAATGAAATGGTTTTGATTCATATGCCCTTCCCCTGCAGTTTGACAAATGTAAGCTTTGCTGTTTTCAAGAAACAGCAATGTTTACGTTTGTCAGTCTGCATGCTTATACAGCTACCAGATGCACTTTCCCTTGACAGACTTCCGTATTCAAAGCCCTTAACATTCACTGGGCATGATGACACCGAATGCTGATAGTTCTTCTCAAAGAGAAGCATTGGGATAACGCTTTTATATGAGAAGAGTCCGATTGGGGAAGCCGTGCATGTGTCATAGGGTCCCAAAGCCTCTCCATGAAAAAAATTTGATTGGCCTGTGATCATCATCACTAGCGATCAGGCGGAGTGGCCACAGCAAGCATGATGCTGGATTTAAAATGAATTTTACTTCTTATTTAGATTCCCAAAAGGGGGGCTTAAATCGAAAATTAAAAAGGAAAATTCTAACATTATGAATAATTATATTTATCCATAATGTTAAAAGTGTACCCTTGGTGTTTACTCTCATATACATATATATAATACCCCTGCCTTGTAATCAGTAACTTTCTCCTGCCGGTGAAGACCAGCATGCAAGAGGAAGGGAATGGAAGCATAGAAAGGGACATTTAGCACATCTATGCAAAGGTGTTTAAAGGTCATCCCTAAGGAAACATTTGTATAACACAGAAGACATCATTCAACAAATGGACTTACATTTGGTCACATGACCTATGGTTAGTTGGAGATTCCAATTCTGCAGTTGGCTCACTCACAAATATATCCCCTTTGCAAGTAACAGACCAAATTGCCTGTGCACTTGGGGAGCCCTGTATTTTTCTACTCTCGCAGCAGGACATACTTAAAAGGACAAGCTGCAAACAGAAAATGTAGAAAGATTTAATTAGGTGCTACAGTCATTAGTACATATGCCAAATCTAATGGTGTTGATACCGAACACATTTAATACATCTATTTTGATACTTGGACCAAGTTATCAGTTAGTACAGTGGCTCTTAAGCTTTTTTGACAGGGACCATATTTATTTAGATTAGTTGGAAGACTAATTCTTAAATTTTGAACAAGTTAAGTGGCCCGGTCATCAACTGTCATACAAATTAATTCTAAAAAATCCTTCATTACTCTCTTCCCAGTGAGACTCCAGTGCACTGTGGAAAGTGGTACTGTTACAGTAAATTATTTATTTTGAACAGTTGTCTAGGCAGACAATACTGATGTGTTTGTTACAATCTTAAGGTACCCAATTTTGTGTCCCAATCCAGGGGTTATGAACCACATTGAGTTAGTACAATAGTTAATACAAGTTATCTTTACATCATCAATATTCATATCTATGTTCTTTCTGTTACCTCTAACGGGTCATCTAGAGCGTGTTTTAAAAGTACATATCCAGAGCTGTGGGCAGCAACCATCTTATTTATTTACTTACCCAGTCATTCATTTCTTCTTCGGTGGAAGCTGCCAGTCTAACAGGCCATCTTTGCTTTATCCTCTCGGGGGTATAGATGCCAAAGGAGTGTTTATTGTCACTTAGTACAGGCACCAAAATCATAACTTCATTAAGAAATACGTGAATGTACTGGAATAGAATGAGATTAGTAAATAAACAATTGACAGTAGTAGTTACAGTGTGGACATAAACAGCGATATGCAAAACCAGTATATAAAAAGTGTGCTTGTGTAATGTATCTCAGAAACATTAACATGCTAACACACAATACACTTAAAGGGAAACTCCAGACCCCTAAAAGACTTTGAGTTCCAGAACGGTTTAACCCCTTAAGGTAATATTTCTCTTAGCACCATAAGAACTTTATTTAAATTAAGCGGTTTTGGTGTATGGAGTGCCCCTTTAAAGTCATATGACTGCAACATAGGCTGTAACTACTGTCTTATTCCTCTAGCAAGTGCAAAATGAAGTACAGGATTTAAATGACAGATGTCAAACTATTCTGATCCAAATGTGCTGGGATGTGTCACGAATTATTTGAAATAACCAAATAAGCCACAGAAACACAACTTATCTCCTATAAAGATCTTAAGTAGCTATACAATGGCATCCCATTCAGACATTCAGATTGATAAATTATAATTTAAAATGTTTGCTAAAATTGCATCTCTGTTCACAACAAATATGATTTCATTTTTGTGCTAGGAATAAAAATGCAAGAATCCGTAACTGGCTATAGGAATGTAGTATATTCATTGGTTCCACAAATCCATCTTAATCAACAAAGCACTCTATTTAACCATGACACATTGTCTTCCATTGTGATTGCAATACATTCCCTCCCCTCCTCTTACTATGCTATGTTGCCTGGTTTACTTTCAGAATTTTACAGACTTACCCCGGTTACAAAAGTGAAGAGATGCATACATCCCCTGTTAGCATGCATTTATAATACTCCTTATCATATTGTACCTTCTTCTCTTCGTAGTGTGTGTAGTAAATAAAGAGTATGCTGTCCGTGGAACCATCAGTCCCGGTACACTGTTCAAGCGCCACACGGACATCAATCCACTTGTGTGGCTTCCAGTCCCTCCACCATTGCAAGGTTCCTGTTTTAACCCATACAGACTGCAAAGGTAAAGTAGAAGAAGACACAGGTTAACATCAATTAAGGAGATACCAAATTGTTCTAGAAACAACTGCACCAGCATACATAAGTCATGATTTCCTTTTACGGTTATTCTTTTTTATTTTTCAATATGTGGATTGCCAGCCTATAGTAAACTTACAGGAGCAATCCAAGCACCATAACATCTGCATAAAATATATATTAAGGTGCTTAAGTCAATAACAGAAATGTGATATTAACAGCAGCTACCACACTGTTGTGGAAATCTCTCCTAATCCAACCATATAGATCAGAAAGAAATATAGTTATATTGGGGGCCAAGTCCACCACCAATTTCTTAAGCGGAGGGGAAAAATATTGGAATCATAATAGAGATGGTGACAAATCAAGAAGAAAAAGTGAATTGCCCACGAGTAATAGGTTTGAAACCTTAAACAGATCCCCTAAGGATGAGGATTCTTGGGAGACACAAACCAGGGGAAAATAAAAAGACAGGACATATGTACAAATCCCCAGGGAAGAGATGGAGGAGCATAGAAGTAGGGGAAGTAGAGGAGGAAATAATATACAGAAAAGAAAGGAGGGACGACAGGCAACAAAACAGAGTGACAATTTCAACTCAACAAATAGAATTTTGACAAAACCACAAACACTGTTAAAAAAGAGTCCTAAAATGTGCCCCAACAAAGTCACATGACAAATTAAATTTCTATGTGGACTTAAATAAAGGTAAACAACATATGTGTCTAAAGAAATACTTCAGCAAACATGATACCAATGAGTTAAATCCCCATAGAGAATGCACTGAATTTAAACACACAGATCTGAAAGACCCCTCTAATTTTTTTCCAATAGGAGAAGTTTCAGAGGAAATTACATTTGAGAAAATGGTTATGCTTGATTTGCAAAAAATAAAAAACAGGAATATAATTTAAACCACGAGAAAAGAATAGCTCTAAAAGATTTTTTTTTTAAAAATTACACTTTAGTCATTAAGACCGCAGATAAGGGGGGATTGTAGTATTAAAGAAGAAGGACTATATAGAAGAGTATTTGAGACTATTAGGGGATAGGAATACATATAAGATATTACCAAAAGACCCTATTACAGAAATGAAGAAAAGCTACACAGAATTAATCTAGACAGGAATCATAGGGAATTTTAAATTAAAAAAAATTACATTTTTTAAATCTTAGAATTCCGGTGTTTTACTATCTTCCAAAGTTCCAAAAAAATAAAGAAAGACCCACGGGCCGCCCAATAGTCTCAGGGATAGGGTCTATTTCCAGCACACTTTCCCAGTATATGATCGATGCTTGCAGTCCACTGTACAAAGATGCCCAAGTCATTCAAGGGACTCTGAGTCTTTGACTTTATTGAAAGATCAACCATAGGAAGAAGATCTATATCTTGTGACAGCGGATGTAAGCTCGCCATATACCATCATCACCCCACTCCCTCTAGCATGTAAGCTCATTGAGCAGGGCCATCAACCCCTCTGTTCCTGTGTGTCCAGCTTGTCTGGTTACAACTACATATCCGTTCAACCACCCATTGTAAAGCGCTGTAGAATTTGATGGCGCTATATAAATAATAACATAATATAATATTAATATCACAACCTCAAATCAATTTTATTCTAGAGGGGATCAATTGGATTCTTACCAACAACTATTTCTGGTTTGAGAATGACTTATCTCCAGACGTGTGGTACAGCGATGGGCACCAGGTTCGCTTCTAGTTATGCAGATTTATTCATGTCTTTATGGGAACAGAATTTTATCCATGATAGGCGTGAATGGGATGCAAACCTGGTGCTCTATCGCCGTTACATGGATGATGTATTTTTTTATCTGGAGAGGAAATGAATCTTCCCTTGTGCAATTTTTAAACAATAATGACTGGGGAATAATTTTAACTAGTGAATTCAGCAGGACCAACATTAATTTTCTGGACCTTAATATTATATGGAAGAAAGATTGAAAAAAACTAGCTAGTTGATGTCAATAGCTATGTGGAAGAGGGGAGTTGACACTTTTCCCCATGGCTATTGAAAGTACCCAAATCCCAATTACTGAGAATAAAACGTAATTGTACAGAGGACAAAATGGTTCAGCAACAGTCACAAATTTTTTTTAAAGGATTTTAGAGAGAAAGGTTAGAAAGAAAGACTATTACAGAAAGCATATAATGAAGCCACTCTAAAAGACAGAGATCAATTATTTGTCCCTAAACAACGACATTATCAAATAAAGGATAATCAACTTTATTTTAGCATTGCGATTTTAACTGTAGAGGTCATGACATAAGGAAGATTTTTAACAGATATTGGCCCATTTTAAAGAGGGACCAAATTTTAAATTCCATACTCCCAGACAAACCTAACATCATCTATGGAGAGTTTATTTGGGGGAAAAGCGGGATTCTATGGATGTGGCACATGCAGTGCATGTACGAATACCAAAAATAAAAAGAGATATATTAAGGAATTTAAACACCCACGAGATGATAAAGAGACCTTTCCCATCAAACAATTAATCACGTGTTAAACAAAAAAGGTGATTTACATGATCACGTCTTGAAACGGGTTCGAGAAAAATAGTCTGTCACAACACTTTAATGTAAAACATAATAAAATCCAAGTCAACTCACATTCCAAGGTATACAAAAAAATAGAAATTAATTGGAGAGGAGAGGATCTAATTAAAGGACCACTATAGTGCCAGGAAAACATACTCGTTTTCCTGGCACTATAGTGCCCTGAGGGTGCCCCCACCCTCAGGGTCCCCCTCCCGCCCGGCTCTGGAAGGGGGAAAGGGGTAAAACTTACCTTTTTCCAGCGCTGGGCGGGAAGCTCTCCTCCTCCTCCTCCCCTCCTGGGCTGAATGCGCATTGCAGCGTGCATTCAGCGTCACATAGGAAAGCATTTACAATGCTTTCCTATGGACTGGCGTGCTCTCACTGTGAAAATCACAGTGAGAAGCAAAGCGCCTCTAACGGCTGTCAATGAGACAGCCGCTAGAGGCTTTGGGGGAAGGCTTAACCCATTGATAAACATAGCAGTTTCTCTGAAACTGCTATGTTTATAAAAAAAAAAAAATGGGTTAACACTAGAAGGACCTGGCACCCAGACCACTTCATTAAGCTGAAGTGGTCTGGGTGCCTAGAGTGGTCCTTTAATGCAATGGTCAAAGCGGAAATAAGGTGGATTTTTTTAATTTAAACTCTCTTTTAACTTATGGTCTTAGTGATTTTGAGGTTTTTCACTTTTTATGAATTTTATAAATATTTTTAATTCCTTTGTTAATGAAGTATATTTCTTCATTTTATTCTGTATGGACATTTCTTGATCCCCCTTCTTTTAATTTTTGTATATTGATGTTGCAAGGAGATGGTGAAGAATCAGAGCTCTTTAAGATCTATAGTGTAATTTTTTTAAATCTTATTTAAGATGATGTAATTTATCAATTTTATATATGTTCAGTTGTATATAGAGCTCAGATGATCACTCTTTTCCTCTATTTATGATAATCCAAAATTCAAAATACTGATTTTTGTCTATTTAATTGTGTCTTTCAACATATACACAGAGAATGCATACTGCTTGTCAGCGCAAATTCTCAGTTTTCTCCCTCACATAACATGGCGGCAAAAGAACTTTCGGTATCCTATGGAGGCGACAATTGAACTTAACCCATGTAAGGGTAAGATGGGTGGATTCCCTTATGGAAAATGGCCACCTGATGAAAGGAAACGACTGAACTACTCTGCACTGACTTGGTGAGCTTCAGAAGGAACACTGGCGTGACTGGCTGTAGCATGGACGGTGGAAACAATTATAAGAGCGAACTGGATTTAAAAGAGGAAATGGAACGAGGAACAATAACTCCGATTGAAAAAGCCCATGGACAGGGCAAAACGCGTCTTGGAGCAGATTGTCATGCGACTAAGGACATTTTTTAAGTATTTACTTTTTGTTTTGTTTTATTTGGCATTAAAGGGACACTATAGTCACCTGAACAACTTTAGCTTAATGAAGCAGTTTTGGTGTATAGAACATGCCCCTGCAGCCTCACTGCTCAGTCCTCTGCCATTTAGGAGTTAAATCCCTTTGTTTATGAACCCTAGTCACACCTCCCTGCATGTGACTTGCACAGCCTTCCATAAACACTTCCTGTAAAGAGAGCCCTATTTAGGCTTTCTTTATTGCAAGTTCTGTTTAATTAAGATTTTCTTATCCCCTGCTATGTTAATAGCTTGCTAGACCCTGCAAGAGCCTCCTGTATGTGATTAAAGTTCAATTTAGAGATTGAGATACAATTATTTAAGGTAAATTACATATGTTTGAAAGTGAAACCAGTTTTTTTTTTTCATGCAGGCTCTGTCAATCATAGCCAGGGGAGGTGTGGCTAGGGCTGCACAAACAGAAACAAAGTGATTAACTCCTAAATGACAGTGAATTGAGCAGAGAAATTGCAGGAGAATGATCTATACACTAAAACTGCTTTATTTAGCTAAAGTAATTTGGGTGACTATAGTGTTCCTTTAATAAATTCATCTTACTGGATTTTTCAAGTCGTACGGGCGAGTGGTGCTTCCATTTACCTCATAAAGAAGGATTACCTCCCCTTTAGTTGGTTAACAGCCTTTTATCCAAGAGCCAGGTCCAATTGGCTCTTTCTATGCTGAGCAGGTTTCATCTCACTTATTCTACAATATTTTATGTACATATTACACTAGGGAATTCTATATGTGTTTTAGTTTTTAGTTTTCCAAGAGGAATATATAAAAAGAAGACGTAATGTGTGACCATAATACACCAAGATGCATGTGATCTGTGCCAGTTTCATTGTGGCTCTATTTTTGTGAGTGTGTCTATTTTTATATATACAACTTAATTGTGGTTTTATACTACACAATTAGTTTTTTTTCCCCCCTCTTTTTCCCCCCTATGTTGATGATGCTACCAATTAATACTCAAACTAGAATACATTTTTAGCACTCCACTTAGTAAATTGGTGTTGGACTTCACCCCCAATATACCATAACAACTGTAGTCCACTGTAGTGGTTATGGTGGCAGAAGTGCCCTCGTACCATCCCATGGAAAGCAGTCAAACAGTTTTAGAATGGTCCTGCTCTCCCTCTCCGCATCCGGTCACTGCATAGTTAAGTCTGGCCGATCCGCTCATTGGCTGAGAGAGCTTAGCTGGCACTCCGAACCAATGAACTCAGTCCTGCATGGATGATTGATGGATAGATTCTCCTAAAAGAGAAGAGTGAAAGCTATGGCTGTGGACCAGAAAGTAAAACAGTTTGACTACTTACCGAGTAATGGTGCCAGGGCACTCTTGGTACCATAAACACTATTGCAGGCTGTTCCTTTAAGGAATAAAATAAACTAAGAAAGATTTGTTGTGACCAACAAGTAACAGATTTTGTGTTGTTTAAATGAATGTCACAATTTTGCAACTGAATTACTGTGTCCCAATCATGTTATATCAATCTTTTGTTAAAGCAGAACTGACACACACTGTCAACTTCAAAACGTACTCCTAAAAAAGCAGGCTTTATTAAATTGAAGCATTAAAAGTTTTAGCAGCTTCTAATTACTAGTTGTTAGACATTATGTTTTTTCTTTTAGACTGTAAACAACCAGAAACAATGGCGATAATGCAGATTTAACTCAAATACCTTGCATGAAATTCCAAATGTTTAATGTGCACTTACAACTTTGGTAACATTTTTAAGAAAAAATCTGGACATAATTTTTCCTCGTACCTGCTCTACAGCTTGTTCATAGTGCCGGAAGCTTTCAAGCTCACGTCTGGAGCGTTCGCTGAGTTGTTCATATATCTGTTTCCGCCAGACTGCTGTGTGAGCCGGAGTAATGGATAAAGACATTGATTGCATTGATGCTAGCAAACCTACAGGAAGAGCAGAAAAGTGAGAAAAAAAAGACTTATCATGAACACACGTCTATAGAGAGTTTGTAACAAAAATGGGCACTTCGGCAAGAACCACTGGTAGGGTCTTTCGATATAGTCAGGAGGTTAATTTAAGGCTACCAAATTACTTTGGTAGAATATATGCTGTTTAGATGTGTTCTGCTGAAACTAACTTACAATATTTACAATGCAATATATACTGAGTAGCCACAACATTAAAACCACCTGCCTAATATCATGCAAGTCCCCCTAATAGTGCCAAAAATGCTCTGATGTGTTGAGGCATGGACTAGACAAGCAGGGGGAGGTGGGGGCAGCAGCTCTATAAACTATAGTTAGGTGTGAAATGTATTCTGTGTGTTAATCAAGTTAAATACTGCACTGGTGTGTGACCACCTGCTGTGGGAGCCAACAAGTCTATCTACTACAGCAAAGGGCTGTGTTGATATAACCAGAGATTGCTCTGAAGGGACAGGGGGTCCAACCGAGATAACCTTTTATTGTCAGGGTGTGTTGGCACAGAGGGAGGTGGTAACTAGTGTAAGGAATCACTTTGTTGCATTGTAGTTCTTTCTCTGTGACCTGTTCTGTATTCCCATTGGTGAAAGTTTTGAGTAATTGTATGGCAACTACCACTTTTGCCCCACATTAAAGATGGCCCTGTCCACAAGACCTTTAAATTTGTCCTTTGGTATCTGGCACCAAGATATAAGCAGCAGTTCCTGCAAGTTGTGAGGTGGAGCCTCAGATTTGCCGTACTAGCACATCCCACAGATGCTCAATTGGATTAAGATCTGGACAATTCAGAGGCCAAGGCAACACCTTAAACTCTTTGTCATGTTTCTCAAACCATTCCTGAACACTTTTTGCAGTGTGCATTATCCTGCTGAAAGAGGCCCCTGCCAGGGAACACCATTGCCATAGGGTGGTGTACGTAACCTTCAGCAATCTCTAGGTAGGTGGTATGTAACCACCACATTAATGCCAGGACCCAAGGTTTCCCAGCAAAACATTGCCAGAGCATAACACTGCCTCCGCCAGCCTGCCTTCTTAAAATAGTGCATCCTTCTGCCATCACTTCCCGAGGTAAACAACGCACATGCACCTGGCCATCCACCTGATCTAAAAGAAAACGTAATTCATCAGACCAGGCCACCTTCTTCCATTACTCCATGGTCCTGTTCTAATGTTCATGTCCAAATTGAAAGCTTTTTTATTGGTGGACAGGGGTCATAATGGGTACTCTGGCAAGTCTGCAGGTACACTTGCTGCCCAATATATTCAACCCATTGACAAGTGCCACTGTAATGATATAATCAATCTTATTCACTTCAGCAGGTGATGGTTTTAATGTTATGGATGATCAGTGTAATTCCCTTTTAAATTTTACATCTAAAAGCATATACTGTTCAGAAAACACATATGAGCCCACTTAAAGTAATCCTCCAAGCTGGAGCTGACCAAGATTTTTAATGCATTATATGTCTATCAAATAAATACTTGACTTCAAAGTGTCTGTGCCTGCTGCAAATCCACAGGAGCTGTGCCCAAAGTAGGAAAAGGGTGTAATCTCTCAGACAATCTTGGTTTTCTAATTATCATGCCCAGGAGTGGATCACAAGGTAACTCAGCTCTGGGAGCAGTCCCATTTAGCAGATAAATATTAATAAAAACGCTGCTTAAACAGATACAGAGCTAGTCCAAGGCAGTTCGAGTTGACTGTGTACATACACGCACTGCATTTTTTGGAGAGTCCCTTTAAACTCAAAAATATGATTCTCGCTATGTTAATTGCGTTCAATAAAGGCTTCACATTTTTTTTGTTAAAATATACCTGTCTGTCGAGTGAACCATTTCAGGGGGCTAAATGAGTCAACAAGACAGCCATTGCCAGACACCCAGGACCACAAAGCATATGCATCGCTCCCAAATATTTCTTCTGCTCCTTCAGTGAAACGGCCAAGTAGCGGGAGGTGTGGCATTTCATCAGATGCTTGAAATGGATTAACAGCCTCTACCAAGTCGATACTACTCCAATGTGGTCCTTTTTTCTGTGTGTTTATGGAGGATGTTTTTGGATCATAAGAAGCCTGCCCAGGGTCGGGGATGGCTTGTTCTGGGAGGTCCAGTGTTACATTTGGTTTGTCAGTCTCAGTCTCTGAGTTCTCGCCCACTAGAACGTTTACTGACGAAGACGCACTGGAGACATCTCTCATGAATGGATGTTCAGACTCTGATGAACTGTCTATGTCAGAATGGAATGGTGAATCGGATTGTTCCTTCACTTCATCACCAAAAAAACAACCTGCACTAAAATACAAAGAAATAAAAAAGTCAATATTATATTTAGATTTCAACTGAGCTCTGCAACGCACTTCTACACTTCACCAACAAGTTACTGTGACTGTTACTAGTTTCAGGACTTTGAAGCTCTGGGATAAACTCACAGATGTTCTATCTAGGAGCTGGCTTTGACGTTTTGCCAGCTCTTAGAGTGGCAAAGCATTATGGTAATTTGCAGCTCTAAAAATCTGGGGATCTGTCTTTTGTCCACCTCTGCTCTAAACATTATTTTATAGAATTTTTTTTATTTTATTTTATAAAAAGTGTCTCAAAGGGAATATTGTAACATTGTGCACATATATAAAGAGCTTTCTGGCCTTGCACCCTATATGCAAGCTGTGAGGACAGCATGGGGGATGAACTCCCCATCTTAGTATTTCTGTCAATTACTAGGAGACATGACCTGCATTGATACAGCAATTCATTGTTCTGAAGCATAAGCTATAAGGATATATTGTCATCTTAGTATACTACCAGGAGGTGAAACATTATATTGTTCAATACAAGTAGCTACCCTAGCCTGACTTGTAAATACACTTTTACATGTTTCTAGGCCCGGGATTAATGTCTAATGAATGTATAGTTGAATAACGTTATTTTAGAAGATCTACTGTATATTGGGTGTACAACTATCATTCAATTTTTGTTCTTTTCAGCCCGCGTAACCTTTTCGTTAACTGTACTTCTCAAAGGACAAGAGACCGTTCAATTATACTCAAAGAAATTCAGTCTTCAGCAAAGAAAAGTATATATTTACTGTAATGGAGCACCTGTGGTCAGACTGAATACCCCCTCTAGGATATGCTTACTCACTGCTATCAGGAGACCCTGAAGTCCTGAAGTCCAACTGGGATCTCTGGGGACCTTTACATGGAATCATTTCTTTTTTTTGCCTTTATTAAATTAGCAGCAGAAACAGATTTGTAAAAGATCAAATTTGATGCTCAAATACTTTCCCTTCCAGTCATAAATAACTATGTAATAGTAATCCGATTTGTTAAATTACGTTTATAATTCCATGGAGGGGGGCCTAATAATTATCCAGTCTTGGCTCTTCTTTAAAAATTAGCTCATCTTGAAATCTAATACTTAGCTTCACCAATTTATTTCACTTTTAAATTGATGTGATGCACAAAATACTTTATTTCCAAGACAATGACTGAAATGATTATCTGGGGTTGCTGTATCTCTAATGCAGGGGGTACTTAACAGCATTTCACGTCTAAATCGCCCTTGTGGATGGGATCAGTGTGATATTAAAGAGGCTTTACATATGTTAGCAAAAACTTGTTTGAGATCTGCGTGGGGACTAACCGAAGGACAAGTGGTTACGATTTTTGATTTTTGCTTACTTACATACACTTTGCCTTGTGTAGCCCTCTGGTTAATGTGATTGATAACAAAGTTCATAATTACCTGAGAAGACTGGAAGCGCTTCCAGAGTTTGACCTTTCATTTTTTATGGGTACCACAATTGCTTTCCATGTTTTTCCACTAAGTTCATTTGGGGTCACACCCTGACGAAAATAAACTGCTCGGTCCTCATATCCTATACCCCAGACCTGCACAGGCCAAAATACAGAGGATATAAAAAAAATCATGCCCAATGCACTCATGGATACTATTTATGTTTTTTAGCTAAATATAAAGTAATATATAAGGGAAAACAGTTTGCTTCTTCAAAAGGGACTCTATAGGCATCCAGACCACTTCGTTTCAATGAAGTGGTTTTGGTGCCATGTCCCCTCATTTTAACCCTCCAGCTGAAAACATTGCCGTTCTGCAGGAATGGTAATGTTTTCATTTCTGTGTTAACCTGCCTCTAGGTGCTGTCAGTATAAAAGCAACTAGAGGAGTGTCCGCAAAATAGCGGAGTAAAATAACCCTATTTAAATCAGAAGATCTCAGAGAGACCATCTGATTGGCACAGTGTTTTGCCGCGCATGTGCAATAGTCTCCCACAGCTTTCCTATGGGAAAGCACTGAATTGTCTGAGAACATTGATCTCAATAAAGTCAACCAACGAGGAGGAGCAGAACTCCACAGACCGATGATGTGAGGGAGAAACGGTACGTAAAATATTTTTTCTCTGTCTGCAGGCAGAGGCCAATGAACTAAAGGTGACTAATGCACTCTATTTTTGGAAATACACATTTGCACTCCTAATGATATGCTGTTACTAAAAGTACAGTTATATTAGACTCAAAAAATTAAAGTTATGCATTATTTTTTATTTAGTAGTATTACATTTAAAGGGACACTATAGGTACCAAAACAATTTTCATTTCATTTCTATTTACAGAGAAAGAGAGAAACTTCTAAAGCAAGGTAACATCTGATTGTAAATGAAACCATTTCTTTCATGTTGGCTGTGTAAGTCACAGCCTGGGGAGGTGTGACTAGAGCTGCATAAACCAAAACAAAAGTGATTTAACTTCTACAGGGAGTGCAGAATTATTAGGCAAATTAGTATTTTGACCACATCATCCTCTTTATGCATGTTGTCTTACTCCAAGCTGTATAGGCTCGAAAGCCTACTACCAATTAAGCATATTAGGTGATGTGCATCTCTGTAATGAGAAGGGGTGTGGTCTAATGACATCAACACCCTATATCAGGTGTGCATAATTATTAGGCAACTTCCTTTCCTTTGGCAAAATGGGTCAAAAGAAGGACTTGACAGGCTCAGAAAAGTCAAAAATAGTGAGATATCTTGCAGAGGGATGCAGCACTCTTAAAATTGCAAAGCTTCTGAAGCGTGATCATCGAACAATCAAGCGTTTCATTCAAAATAGTCAACAGGGTCGCAAGAAGCGTGTGGAAAAACCAAGGCGCAAAATAACTGCCCATGAACTGAGAAAAGTCAAGCGTGCAGCTGCCACGATGCCACTTGCCACCAGTTTGGCCATATTTCAGAGCTGCAACATCACTGGAGTGCCCAAAAGCACAAGGTGTGCAATACTCAGAGACATGGCCAAGGAAAGCAAGGCTGAAAGACGACTACCACTGAACAAGACACACAAGCTGAAACGTCAAGACTGGGCCAAGAAATATCTCAAGACTGATTTTTCTAAGGTTTTATGGACTGATGAAATGAAAGTGAGTCTTGATGGGCCAGATGGATGGGCCCGTGGCTGGATTGGTAAAGGGCAGAGAGCTCCAGTCCGACTCAGACGCCAGCAAGGTGGAGGTGGAGTACTGGTTTGGGCTGGTATCATCAAAGATGAGCTTGTGGGGCCTTTTCGGGTTGAGGATGGAGTCAAGCTCAACTCCCAGTCCTACTGCCAGTTCCTGGAAGACACCTTCTTCAAGCAGTGGTACAGGAAGAAGTCTGCATCCTTCAAGAAAAACATGATTTTCATGCAGGACAATGCTCCATCACACGCGTCCAAGTACTCCACAGCGTGGCTGGCAAGAAAGGGTATAAAAGAAGAAAATCTAATGACATGGCCTCCTTGTTCACCTGATCTGAACCCCATTGAGAACCTGTGGTCCATCATCAAATGTGAGATTTACAAGGAGGGAAAACAGTACACCTCTCTGAACAGTGTCTGGGAGGCTGTGGTTGCTGCTGCACGCAATGTTGATGGTGAACAGATCAAAACACTGACAGAATTCATGGATGGCAGGCTTTTGAGTGTCCTTGCAAAGAAAGGTGGCTATATTGGTCACTGATTTGTTTTTGTTTTGTTTTTGAATGTCAGAAATGTATATTTGTGAATGCTGAGATGTTATATTGGTTTCACTGGTAATAATAAATAATTGAAATGGGTATATATTTGTTTTTTGTTAAGTTGCCTAATAATTATGCACAGTAATAGTCACCTGCACACACAGATATCCCCCTAACATAGCTAAAACTAAAAACAAACTAAAAACTACTTCCAAAAATATTCAGCTTTGATATTAATGAGTTTTTTGGGTTCATTGAGAACATGGTTGTTGTTCAATAATAAAATTAATCCTCAAAAATACAACTTGCCTAATAATTCTGCACTCCCTGTAAATGGTAGAGAATTGAGCAGTGAGACTGCAGTGGTGTGATCTATACACCAAAACTGCTAAATTAAGCTAAAGTTGTTTTTATGCATATAGTATCCCTTTTAGTATGGAGTATAACATTCAACCAACTGTTGTAAACAACAGCAACCATTTTTGTTTTATCTTTATAACATTTTGTCAATACAAACATTACAAAACCGGTAAAGTAATAGAATATAGAAATACATTATGCAAGCCATCCAACTCCCCAGAACTTCTTCACATAATAACTGTATTAAAGTGAAACTTTCATCCACAAATCGCAGAGCTTTGGAAAGAAATCTAAAATTAATATCACAGGGAATTCTATATAGACCGATTTCCCCAATTCTACCTCCCATAGAGCCTTGAATAAGAACATCATCTTTTTTGGCTGCAGCAAAACATATTTTTGTTCATTTTCTCCCATTATAATTGAAGAGTTGTCAAGTCTAGTAAAATATTATGTTTAGGGCTTACAAAAGAACAACCATCTCTCTAAAGATGACCGTTGCACATTCCACATCTATTGAAGTGTTTACTAGATTGAGAAGTACAGAGGAGGCAAGTATAAAACATCCTTATCTCCGTAGCACTTCTCCTGTAGCCAAGGCAACACCATCCCTCAATGACGTCTAGACATCTTCTGAGAAATGCTGTGCTCTGGCACTTCCTCCAAAGTCCTGTACATGTGTACACATCCTCATGAGGCCCGGACATATGGTATCACCGGGATTTGATTCTTTTACATGATATGCTCTGGCTGTGCCAGAACAGTTAGGCGTTCAATAATAAAAAATAAAAAAATAGAATAATTCAGAAATCATAACTAACTTTTAATAAGCTACCTGATTTCCAAAACTCAACAAACAACAATTCTCTTTTAAAGAATTACAAAAAAATTGTGAATTTGGGCGTATCTATATAAGTCAGATCTGTGTCAGGACATTAGTAAATCTTGAAATCCCTTAATCCTATCTGTTTGCAGATCTGTTGCAAATATTGACTACTGCGTTACAAACTCTTAGGATGTTTGGATGGATAGCATTGTTAAAGTCCAAGTTATGTGTAAATGGTGTGAGGGCATTTGGCACTGACTTCGGTGTGCAAGCTTAAGCTATGATAGAAACGTAAACAAGCACATGAAGTGTCAAACCCCAGGGTCATCGCTTTGTGCTTTCCCATTCTCATGAAATGAGCAAACGTGTTGCCCTGTTATATTTAAAGAATTAAGTTAATGTCACACTCCCTGCTCTGAAGAGAAAGGAGTCCTGAGTCTCAGGCATTTTAATTTCACACAGTGTCCTTATTAAAGGAAGTGGAAAAAGCAAGAATAAAGCAATTACTTTAGATCATTGAAAATAATTAGAAAGAGGGGGGTGGAATTACAATCATGTAGCCATGCTGAATACACTTTTGGCCTCTCGTTCATTCTTTATTTTCTCCTCGTACAGAGTTCTTGTTTTGCTAAAAAATTAAAAATAATGTTTTGCCGAGTTCTAGAACATAATTCTGCCCCTAAGATATGCCCCCTTAGCCACAGAACTTACTTTTCACAAAACCTCTGATTGGAAAATAGCAGCAACTTGAGAGATCACCAGGAGCCGAACTGTTAACAGTTAATATTACATCCTTGTACTAAGGCACATAAGGCGATAGGGATTGGCTGTGGGTCCGAGTCATGACAGCAACTCAGCTCACACTGGTCCCTCAATGGCTGAGCTAATGCATTTATAGTGAAATGTTTTGTCATCCAATAAAAGTATCCAGTGATACCGATCTGTCTGTTGCTTCATAAATAACAAAACAAAACAAAAAAAATTTTTTTACCTGGTCATTTAATCCCACAGATAGCATGGCCATTTCTCCCACCATCTCAATCCAGCTTGTGCCACATGGGTTGTGAGAGTTCACCCCTCTTCTAAACCATATCTGGTAAGAAACCGTAAAATGAGTCAGGATTGTGTTATTTTAACATTGAAACATTATTGACACAAGGCTCCTACCTTTGCTTAATGAGCTCCCAGAAAAAGATAAAATTGTTGCTTTATTTTACCATGCACAGGGCAACTCAATGTTTATCAACGTTCTCACAGCCAATTTCTTTTCTATATTTTCCTACTTTCTATCAATATCATAACTAGTTGTAAGACCAGTAATCGGCACTCTGTTAATAAGAATTAGCTTGAAAAGATCACAAATGGTAGGAGACATTGAACATAAAAAATTTAAAACATAAAGTCTATAAAGAACTCACAGCACAATATGTCAATCTACAATGATTTATGAAACAAGTATTTTTTTATGGAACGTATTCCAGATGAATACAGTTAGCTTTCAATCAAATGTGGTGAAAAAACAAAATAATGTACATAATCTACATGCGTCTATGAGGGTGTGGGTTTCAACAATTATTAATACATACATATCACTTTTCTACTGACTATGTGTTCCTTTAAAAAGCACAAAAAAGCTCCACATCGTAATGATAAAACACACCTGACATATTTCCCAAGCCTAACTGAGAGTGTATTAAGGAAACTAATTCTCTACAGTAATCATTAATTCTACACTGCTAACCCGTACCTAAAAATATCACGTAAGATTAAAGATATTTAGTGGACGCGTATTCTGTGTCATGGCTTCAGAACCCCTTGATGACATTATTTTCCCAGAATTCTCTAATGACTATATATGTAGAAATAGTAGTCAAATTTAGTCCAGTTACACAGACATTTATACTAAATTAACAGAATTTTGGAGATTCATCCTTTATCAAGTCTAGACATTTTTTCCAAAGCTAATTATTAAAGTCTGAATTCTTACTTTTCGCTCCTTGGTTACTGCCCACACAACATTTACACCGACGGAAACGTGCATAATGCCATCCTCGGGAGTTGGTGCCTCCACAGTATTCCAGGAAACTCCTGCCAGATGAAACCGTTAAAACACACATAACTTGCCGTAATCACTTGATACCATAGTCATCCACACAATACCCATGTTAAATATATATTAAAAAATAAAATCAGTAAGGTGATTACCTACAAAATGGGGACAGAAAAGAACACTTCAGATTACTTTGATCGCATCATACGAAATGTGAAGGAAACCTGTTCTGCAAATATGACATGAGGGCACTTCCAAGAGCTATAAATCTTTAAAAAGGGACAGACACGTCTCTAAAAGTGTTCCCAAATTATGTACACAGTCCACAGATCCCTTGAATGTTCTTGATATCTTCCCCACTTATCGGGCAGGTGCCTACTGGCTGTTAATAGTCCAATAAGAGTAAGTATAGACTAGGTTCATCTGTGTTAAGTTCAGTGGAACTTTATTACAGCATTTAAAGAAAGAAATACAATGCTGACAGGTAATGATGCTGATAGATCGCCTTCAAAACTTCTCTAGGGCTGCACCGTTCCTGTGGAACTCCCTTCCCTTCTCTGTTAGACTTTCACCCAGTCTCCACTCCTTCAAAAAACCATTGAAAATTCCCTTCTTCAGGAAAGCGTATCAATAGCGTATCAATTAAATGGTTAATACCTCTCCCCCCAGACCCAGATTCCTTTCTGCAACGGCCAACACAAAAAAACAAAACACTAAGCCCTAAGTGAATACTTTTCTACCAACCTACTTTTTTACCCCTTACCTTTTGTGTCACTATACCCCACTTCCTCTGGCATGTAAGCTCATTGAGCAGGGCCCTCAACCCCTCTGTTCCTGTGTGTCCAACTTGTCTGGTTACAATTACGTGTCGGTTAGGCCACCCATTGTACAGTGCTGTGGAATTTGTTGGCGCTTTATCAATAATAATAATAATAATAGAGGTTAGTTTTACACCTCCGGCAGCAAAACAACATTTCTCTGCATGTACAGTTTTGTTTCCGAAATGTTTCAGATACAGACTCAAAGCACTTTGATCACTTGAAAATACTAAAGTGGTGTTTGTATTAACCCTTTAGCGTTCTCCAACACAGCTATTTGTCAAGTTCTGATATATATTAACCTACAATTATGTAATTTTCTTGTTAATTCACGGTTTAGCAAATAACTCTGGAATCTAAAAAAGTAAGCATATTGCGATATGTGGGTAAGAACTTAATTGCATTACTACAGTAGATGTAGGGTGGGTCATGGGTTTACCTTTTGGGTTATTTCTGCAGATGCCTCCCCTTACTATGGCTTGACCTTCCCAGAGTGATGCCCAAAGGAGATCATTGGGGCCACAGCAAATCTGTATAACCTCACTTGGGGTATCAATTTCAGTCCAGGAAGATCCCTCTGGGTTGTCATGGCAAATATCTTCTCTATACCAAACCTGAAAGACAAAATATAAAGCAGAAATGGTTTACAAAGCATAATGTCTATTTATACCAAAACATAATTAAATCAAACCAATTCATATAGAACATATTGCTTATTTCTATGAAGTTCCTCAGCACTGTAAAATAGAATAGCTCTTTGTCATATATTACAAGTAAGTGGATACATGGGAAACAATTTAAGAAATAGAACACAGCATGAACTGAACTATAGAGAGAGGTGCTGCAGGACTGATGTTGCTGCATGCTTACAGTGTAAAGAGAGGCTGGTGTGATAGATACTAAAAACTATTAACTGAAGCTCGCCATGTTCAGTTAAAAAAAATCATTACTGGAGCAAAGGTGGTGTTTAACAGTATGCATTTCTCATCCACTTCACCAGTGAAAGAACCCCTCTGAATGAGTAGCAAAAACTGCTATAGAAATGAATTGAACTTATAAAGCCAGTTTATGTAAGGAATAATTGACTCCAGGCCGTTGAATTATTAGAAAAATAATGGACGCCCGAGGTGGTAATGCGGTCATGACGCAAAGCGGATTGGCCGTTACACCTCGGGTGTGCATTATTTTTTTCTAATAATTCAACGGCCTGGAGTCAATTATTCCACTTAAACTACAGTTACCACACCTCGAAACATTGTTCAGATGATGTATTTCAACACGTTTGGCAAGTTTTTGTCATTAAAACATTCTTGTATGTAGGACTGCCTCCTTGTCAGGCTCAGTTAATCCAATGGTAAAGCATTGTTATTGGCTCACAGAATCACTTCTGATGATGTCAGGAATGCAGGCAGGTCAGGGGCAGCAGATGCAGACTTGAAGACAAGACATATTTTACTATATTTAGGGAGACAAGGGGAGCCAGATAGTGGTTTTAGCATTGTAGGGTCATGTTTCTGTTCCTGACCCTATAGTGTTATTTTAAATAAATCATATGCTTCATGATTAAAATGAAAGAAATGAGTGCTGCAGTTAGTTATGGTGTTAAAAATCACACATAATCAAGTGTGATGGGAGTAAAGGGACACTTCAGACCTTAAAACACTTTAGCTTGCTGTAAAAGGTTTTTTCTTTTTGCACAAAGTTCTGATTTCAATAGAAATTTGCACTTCAGTGAACTAAACTGGTTACACCCTCCTGGCTGTCAACCAGACTACAGGCTGTGTATCTTCCTGGTTTTGTTAGCTCAGTGGAGCTAAACGCAAGAGACAGGCTCTTGCCCAGAGCACCTGCTGTGCAAAGACTTCTCATGGATCTGCATTGGGAAGTCTGTGATTAAACAGCCAAAGAAAGTTGGGCAGGGTTAGAAGAGGAAGGTTTGCAAAGGCTGTAGAAAAGAGAAATGCACGATTTGCAAGCTGTTTTAGATATAATCCCAATGAAAAAATACATAATTAAATTAATGCATGTCTTAAATTGGGTATATCTACTAAACAGTGATTTTTACATTTATTTTGTATTTAAGCAGAGGAGTGTCCCTTAACTCATTGAAGTTTGTAAATTAAAGTCTTAAGAAATAGAAATTATTAAAGAAAATTATAATTTAAAGTCACAAGTGTTTTGGATTTAACTGCAAAATATGAATTAAGATTTGGATAAAGCTCTTAACCTTCTCCAATTCACCCATTGTTAAAGCTTGGAGATTTTGACAAAACACAATGCAATTACCTTTTCAGTTCTCCACAATAATAATATTTTACTGAAATGATACTGGACTCTAAAAATTTCTCTGTAAGCACACATTTTACCACAAGGTGGCAACAGTACTGTCTACTCTACAGGTAAATGCAAGAATCCCAAAATTATACACTTTGGACGGTTTTGCGGATCATATCTATAATTTTTACAGGAAGAACTATGCCTATTAATACACTGCTTATACACAACATGCATGCTATTATACATAAGTAATAATATGTGAGTGGATGATTTAGATAAAACAGAAAGAAACAATTGCATTTTTGGATTGAATTTTATAACCCATTGTACAGTGCTACGGAAAAGGATGGCGCTATATAAATAATAAAATAATAATAATAAACGCTGCCATCCTACCTTAGTACCAAACACTTGGCAAGCATCTATGTAACATTACTTACAAACGTGCCGAATTATTGAAATAATGGCATGATATGTACTGAGCAGATAATCTGTTAGATTGCAAGGTTGTATGTAGACTTGGCCCTTTCAAAATCTACTGTACCAATTTAGGTCTTCGATTTAATATTTTTAGATAATATTTTCAAATGTTTTAATATTTTTGCATACATTTTAAAAAATATTTTAATATACAATATGATATATTAATATATATTTATTATTTATTTTTGGATATTATAATATTTTGAGTAGAATAATCGAGGCATTAATCGAGTCTAATTAAATCATAAAATGCCATCTCCTTAATGTATCTAATACTGTGTAATTTATTGGGGCTTTGTAAATAAATGTAAAAAGAAATTATAATAATAATGTACATGCATTATGAAACTCCATGCAAGAGGAGAGAGGGACAATAGTAGCAACAAAACACTATAGGGCCAGGAACACAAAATGTATTCCTAGGGGGGCGGGGCCTAACCAGCATGGCCGACAGACGTGTGTGAGATGAGCTCCTCACACAAAATGAGGCACCCATGGTTTAAATAGAGGTATAACCCCTAAAGTCAAAACCAAAGAGACTACGCACTATAAACTACCGACCGGGAACCCTCTCAAGCGAAACTGGAGACTCACCCCGCACTCTAAAGCCAGAACCAGACTCTGCGGCCTACTTACCTGGCAGATCCCACGAGGGAAGAAAGCGGCCGATCCTCCAACTTGGGGCTACCAGACTACCGCAGCAGACCTGCTTACCCCCCCCTTTTGGACCGGTGGGGGTCATCCCGGTACCAATTAGAAGACAGACAGCTAAGTACACCTTAACAGTAAATAACGTCTCCCCATACCGGAGCCGCAACCAAAATGGCCACCACGACGGAGAAATGCACTGCAACAGACTGGGAGACCAGCTTCAATGCCAAATTCGACAGGGTGTGCGCAGCGTTCTGGCACCGGATTGAAGCCCGTACTCAGCAGGCGCAGCCACCCACAACCCAGACTTTAAAGCTCCAGCCGGCAACATTACCAAAAAACAGCTTTAGCGAGCCGACAAACCCAGCCACACACATGGCCCACGCCGCGGCCTCAACCGCACTGACCTCTTCTGGGCCGGGTACTCACCTGGAGGTACCCCTCCTCCGCCAGCCACACACCCAGGGTAGAAACCGAACACCGGAACACCCCTGGGACCAGGACCCCCAAGTCGGGACCTGCGGCAAGAAGGCGCGAGTCCCCGTCAAGGCCTCAGGCCGAGGACATGCGGCACACAGACTGTGCAAGCCAGTGCTAAGCTGGACACAACAACCGACAAGAACACCCAAACGACCACCTAAACCGGAGAGACAATCTGGAGAAACACAGGAGACTCCCACTTACAAAAGGGGCAGAAAAAGGCGCACCTCACGACCCGAGCCACAAACCCCCTGCATACGCAGCAGCCGAGAGGCTCAACCCAAGCAGCCGAGGACGGCACGATGCCCTCCAGTAAAGGGGGCCCAAACTCCTCCACAGACATATCAATGGGCACCCCCCAGAGTGACGCTGGGCCACACACCACTCACCGAACCTCGCGGTCATGGAACTGTGGGCCCAATACCGGGAACCTCGGACTGTAGGATCTCTTACACAAAGCCAGCAACCTACACGCAACCCCAAAGGTCCCACAGAACAGGTGTAGGCTGACTACGGACAGAGACCTGGGAGCTCCACCCGAGTACGGGGGAAAGTTTCCAGTGCTGCAACAAGACCTCTCGGTCTATGTCTTCAAGAAACACTTTCACGATGCTGAAATGTTGTACAAGGAATTAAAAGGCACAGTAGACAACGTACTTTCAGGGAGTGGATACTCTGAAGTGAACCTCAGCAAGCTGTTTCAGACACTCTCCACAATAAGCTAGAGCTACAGATTCACAGGTTTTATTGTAAATCTGGATGACTGTTGTTTTTTTTTTTTGGTTTTTTTTGAACTGGTACCAAAGCAAAATATAACTGTTCTATATACACTCTAGAACTTGAGTTTGATTTCTTTATAATACAAGTATGTAAAGAGATTTTAGGGACTAGCATTTACAAGTGCTAACATGCTTTGAAACTTAAACAAGTGCAATAGATGTTGGTCACTTGTCTCTCTTTTTGTGATTTCACTTGAAAAGGCCTTTTTTTTGGGGGGGGGGGTCTTGGATAGTGAACATGATCCCTTTGTTTAACCTGATGCATTTGACACCATGTTGAGATTTTTTACTTGTACACAGTTGTCCATGGAGACCCAGGAGATAAAAGGATTGCTACTTTAATAATTCCCAGTGAGAGCGGCTGAAATGTAAGCGATCCTAGACCTTTTTTTTATAGGTTATTTAGTGGAGATGCTTTCAGGAAGCAGGGTTAGACACGGTCACAGCAGGAGCACTAATGTTTTTGCCTTTTTACAGTTTATCTGCTTCCTAACACAAACATATTAATTAATAAAATGACTGAATCTGAGTGTTCTCTACAGCTTTCATGTCTGAAACTTGTGAGTGTGGCAAACTCCAGTAGGAAATGTTATTTCTCCATATTTCCTTTCGTACAATATAATGAAGATTAATCGTTCTCCTGTTATGTTGCATAGTTTTCTCAAAACGATTTTGTATTTTTAAATGTTCTCTTTCTATTTTCCTAAGACTGGTTCCTTCTTGAAAACTGTTAATGCTGAAAGATGTTGCAATGTAGAAATGGAATCAGATGCTCGCTATTGCATTGTAAAATTGCTCTCTTCATATAAATATTGAAGATACCTTTTATACCGAATGAACAATAACTGACATGTACACTATTATTGTCACCTTCTGTATTGATGCATATAACTTTGTATTGCCAATCGATATAACGTCAATAAAAGCAAACTGAATCAAAAAAAAAAAAAAAAAATGTATTCATGACCCTATGGTTTTAAAACCACCATCTAGCCCCCCTAAATATAGCAAAATCTTGCCTTTATTGCAGTCTGCTGCTGCTGGCTCTGTCCCTGATCTGACTTCTTGCCTGACATCATCAGAAGTTGTGTTCTGAGCCAATAACATTGCTTTCCCATAGGAAAGTATTGGATGGGCTGATATTGTCAAGGAGGCAGATCAGGGGAAGAGCCAGTAGAAGTCAAACACCGCCCTGGCCAATCAGCATCTTCTCATAGAGATACACTGAATCAATGCATCTCTATGGGGAAAGTTCAGTGCATTTTCTCCATTCAGAGGGTGAAAGCACTGAATGGCAGTGCTGCACCTTCCATGAAGCACCTCTTATAACCATGTGAGGAATGGCCAGTGGAGGTATCCCTAAGCTATTATGTAAACAGTGCATTTTCTGTGAAGGGAATGATTCTACTCACCAGAACAAATTCAATAAGCTGTAGTTGTTCTGGTAACTATAGTGTCCCTTTAATGGAGTGGTTTTGGCAGGGCTGGTGCAAGGATTTCTGCCACCCTAGGCAAAGATCCATTTTGCCACCCCCTCATGTCACTAACTCACTGACGGACACACACTGGCAGATACACACACACACTCACTGACAGACACACACACACACACACACACTCACTAACAGAAATACACTCACTCACTGACAGACAGGCACGCACACAGACACTCACTGACAGACGTACACTCACTCATTGACATACACACACAAACACACACACACTCACTGACATAAATACACTCACTGACTGACAGACACACAAACAAACACACAGACACTCACTGACAGATATACACTCACATACTGACAGATATACACACACACACACACACAGACACTCACTGACATACATACTTACTCACTGACTAACATACACACAGTCAAACACTCACCTATTGGGGTCCAGTGTAGGGCAGCTCCTCACTCCTCCAGCGCGCGGTTTAGCATGCCGGGGCCGGAATTACGTCTTATTCCGGCTCCTGGTATTACAGAGGGCGCGCGAGGAAGGCGTGAGATGCTGCAAGAACAGCCTCCCTTGCCGCCTTCCTGCTCCGTCCACCTCTCCTCTGGGCACCGGCATTTGATGGCAGAGCAGGCACCTGCCATCAAGGAAAGAAGGTGCCTGCTCTGCCATACTGTGACAGGGATCCTCTAGGCGCCCCCACCTTCGCTGAGAATTGGCCCAGCGGTGGGTGTGGCTCAAGAGCCACTCTTCCAGCGCTGCGGCCCGAGACAGAGGGAGCCCACCAGGAAACATCCCAGTGGGTGCCCCCAGCAAGCCGGCGACTTAGGCGAATGCCTAGTTCAACTAACGGTGGCGCTGGCCCTGGGTTTTGGTGTATAGATTATTTCCCAGAATGTCCTTGTTTAGGTACTTAGAGTATCCCTTTAAATACTTCTTGCGTGAGGGGTCTCTGATATATATGTGGGAAGAGGTGCCGGGGAGGTCATTCTCTGATGATTGGTGGACTAAGGTACTCTCAGTGAACCACCACAGTTCAATCAGCTTAAAGTACCAGGAGTCAAATTATAAACAGGTTTCCATGTGGTACCGGATACCTGGAGGTGCAGCGCAGGTATTGGCACTCTTAAACAAATATGGTAGGACTGCCCCATCATCCCTGTTTTTTAACAACAAATTATCTAACTGAGTATTAGGGTAGCCTTCACATTTTAAACATAATATATACTTCTACAATGTCCCCTACACCAATCTTTCAATATAAAATAAAAATCTATCCTCCGCACCTCCTGACCACTACCAGTACTCTTGTACCTACCCTCGAGAAATGTTCCACTGCTCCCATAGTACAACGGCGAGTTAAACTTGAGGAATTAAAGAAATACTCTGTTAATAATTTTTAATTATTTTAACGGTTTAGTAGATATATCACCAGAGAAAACATGCGTGCCTTTTTTGTCTCTATATTTTCTTTGGGGTTACATGAGAAACAGTTTGCAAAACCTGGAGACCTACTGTCTGCAGACTTGGAAGTTCACGCTCCTTTCCCTTTCAGTGATTAGTAACTCAAAACCTTGATGTTCCTATCTTTTACTACTAACATAAGGGACAAGGGTTAGATCACCTTTTCTATGTTACTTACCTCTCTTACTCATTCTGACTTGCCAACTGATCACAACCATATTAGTATGCGCACTTTTGCGCTTTCTTGACGACGTTGGGTCTACACATACTTACTTACTTTAATATATATTTTTCAAAGGACCTACTAATTATTCTAGGATCCTCTTTTTTTGTTTTTTTTGTTCTAGTTCACCGTTTAGATATATTATTTCTTTTGTTTTTCAAATCCATAAATAAAAATTGACAAACAAAAATTAAATAAAATTCACATCTTTGCACTTGGGTTACCACAGTATACCATGGCTGGAAGCAAATCATTTTCGAGAAAAGCATATTTTGCTCATACCTTCCCCTGCAAAGAAACCGTCCAGACTGACAATCGGCCAAAAGGCTCATCTGTGACTTCCCATCCTCCAACTGAAATATCATTAAATGGGTCAGGTAACTGCTTTTTATCTTCGTGTGACTGGATCTAATAGAGGGATACATTTTAAGAACACTCAGTATATTAATATTCTACAGGTAGAAGAGGCAGAAGACACACTTCAAAACAAAATAACTAGAAACCACCATAGACCAAAACATATTCTATACATTTCTATTTTAAGTCAAATAAAAGGCACAACATTTATTAAACTGGGTGTTGTAAATTTATTTAAATGTAAGTATAATGTTTTGTAGACTAAAGTGTAATAAGAGAAAACTCCAGCATGTACTTTCAATGCATTATGAAGTGGTAAAAAAATAAATACGGTGCCTTTGCAATTCTCTTAAACTAACAATAGGGCAGCAATCAGTCAGTGATGGTCTTCTCCTAGCTTTAATGGAAGAGCTATACATTTCCTGTAAAACAGGACAGCTTTTGCATGAGACATAAAAAAATAAATAAATAAATAAAAATAAAAAAAAAAATTACACAGACACTACTGAATGATTCAAGTTTAAAATAAAAGCCTGAAGTTTATATTTCTAGTAATTCAAGCTACTATCTGGCTCCATTAAAGGGATTGCTGCACATGTCCAATAGGTCTCCGGTGTGTCTCTATGAGATTGGACTGTACTAGAGATCACATGGACTGACAATCTCATCAAAGCAACAGCAACTGCCCAACCAACATTTTGGATAAAAGGCTAGTTTACTGGCATTTTTTATATGGGTGAGGGAGATACACCAAGAAAAGCACCCCCCAACATTAAAAATAAATATTTATGGGGTGGAGTTTGCCTGGCCACATGTAAGAGGAGCGCCAGCCACACTCTCCCTTCATTTAGCTACTAGCACTTGATTTTCCCACTTTCTCCCATACTACCTTCTCCCCTCACTGTCCTCTGCAGTCTGAAGTTAGATGTCACCCAGGAAATGCCAAAATATGGAAGCTCCAGTTGCCCCTATCTACCGTGCCCTCTCACTTCAGAAGCCAGGTGGAAGGACGTCAACCATTGCTTCCACAATCTGTCTTTCTGTCTTCCGCAATTTTGTCTACTGTGAAACGGTGCCTGAAAGGAGAAATTGACAGCAAACATGCTCTTGGGCACATGATGTCCGATCCGGTGTACAAGGTAGAGGGGGTCATGCCCCGCCTCAATGTCAGTTTAGTGAATGTTCTGTCCGGACCTGAGACCCAAAAACCCTAGCTGCCAGCCAATGAAATGCCACATAGTGACCTTACGTCACCTCTTTCTGTGAGTCCTTGCATGCAGAGCTCAGTTGAAGGCAAGGAGATACAATTCAGATGTCCATCATTCCTAATTATACGAGAATATATTAATTAGTATTTCACTGTGTGTTTTGGGTGTTATTTAAGTATTTCAGATTATTTTTAAATGTGTATCTATTGTAGCTTGTTTTGAGTGGGTGTAGCTCCACATACCTCCTATTAGTGCCAGAGCACACTTCGTATTCACCATTGGTGTACATTTATTGTGCAATCCAACCACTACGCTTGGAGATATAATTTCTCTCTTCTTGAATTTCGCATTGGTAGGAATTATAGCTCAGTTTCATTTCTCAGTTTTCTGGGGGGTTCCCGTGCCTGGGAGTTACAGCTCTCCACCGGTTGTTCACCCCTTGCCTCCTCCAGTTACACGCTCTTTGAACGCTATGGTTTTGCATTTTAGGACATAACATTGAAAAATCGTTTCCTTAGCAGGTCTTACAAAGTAGGTAAATACAACCTCAGATGAACAATAACAAATGGCATATTACGCCGTGTCATTCTCCAAAACGGAGAATGCAATGTGTTTTTAACGTTAGAGTTTTCCTTTAACAACTGGTTTGCATGCATTTTTTTTCCCCAATGATAGAAATCTTGTGAATCCTACACACTGCTATACATTTCCTTTAAGAACCCAAAGAACAAATTAGATGGTGAAAGGACAGCAGTGGTTTTGTGAATGATAAGGCTGCATGTTTTATTGTAGATGTTTAACCACTTCCTTTAGGATGTGGAAGAAAACAAGGGAGGGTCCTTTGGTGCAAAAGGTGTTTTACATTTTGGGACAGCATGTATTTAAGTTTAAGAATACCTAAAAATAGATTTAAAAAAAACAAACAAAAAAACCCACAAAAATGTATCTTTCCCAAACTTGATGGCAATAGAAGGGGATTGTATGCTAAACATTGCTCTACAAACCGGTCCAAGGTTCACCAAACCTAATATCAGATAAATTAAATCATGAGGTTGACCAGGAGCTGATAATTAGTGTAAAAATAAGTAACTAATGACTAAAAAGAGAATAAAGAGAAAATAGAAATGAGGAAATAAAAAAAATAAAAAATAAAAAAAAAAAAAAAAAAAATTATATATATATATATATATATATAAAAAAATATACAAAAAAAGAATGAATATAAAAATTGGGAAATTAATAGTAGGCACGATAATATAATATAGTTAGTGCCTTGCATAGCTAAAATGTAGATAGATATAAATAAACAGATAAAATGGCCATAAAAAGAAAGGTTCAAGGGCGGAGCCTGAACGCCGAAGAGAACGGTCGCAAGAGAGACTAGCTCCGTGCCCTAAACGAAGTCAAAACTACATAAAATAACCCCCCCTTACACCAGGACCAACGGAATCCACCCTGAGTACGTATGGGCCGAAGGGGGAAAAAAATGGGCCCACACAAGCCCACATCGGGACTTACGATAGGGGAAATGTGGAGTCAGGCCCGGGGCACCTGCGAGTCAAACATGGCGGCGCTGCATGGCGGATGCTCGGATTTCTCCGAGGAACTATCCGACGACATGGAGGAAGACTACACACCGACTCCCAACCCCAAGCAAAAGGTACAACAACAGGGAGCCGGGACAGACTCACAGCCAGTTACCACAGCAGTCCTCAAAACACTGCTAGCGGACCTGCAGAAACACATCCACGAGGATGTCACAGCGCTCCGCACGGACATACAAGGCCTGACAGGCCGCATCTCCACTCTGGAGGGAGCCTCACAGGCCCAGGCCCAGGACGTAACCGCACTGCAGCACTCCATACAGGAGCTGCAACAGCAGAACCAGCAACTTGAACGTCGCATGGCAGCGCAGGAAGACTCCAGGCGGCAAAATAATATCAAGATCAGGGGAGTCCCTGAAGAAATATCGGAGGCTGATCTGCCAAAAGTCATGGGACGCTTACTGCCAGTGATTCTGACAAACAGTCAAACCACAATACCTGCCCCAGAGGAGGTCTTTAGAGTCCCTAAACCTGCGAATGCTCCGGCCGCAGCCTCAAGAGATGTGATAATCACTCTCCGCAAACGTAAAGAAAAAGCAACAATTCTTGCAGCCCTACGGGGAAGAACCCCCCTCCGCTTTGAGGCCATGAACCTGACGTTCTACCCGGACCTATCTGGAGGCACCCTGGCCTGGCGTAGGTCACTCAAGCCGATCACCTCCGTGCTCCAGTCCCACAACATCGAGTATCGCTGGCGATCCCCAAGGGCACTAACGGTGAAACAAGGGATGACTACGCATAGCATCCAGGACATGCACGAAGCACGGGCCTTACTGCAGACCCTGGGCCTGCCACTTGAATCCCTCACCCAGGCGGAGCTAACCAACAATACTCCTTCAACCCATACCAGGACACTGGGCAAAGCCACATCATTCACTCCCCGAGACTCCACGCCGATTACCTACGCAGCGGTCACCTCCTAGGAGTGACACCACACATGCTCTGGGGGAACCTGACACAACACCAGACACTGGGAAGGTAATACAAACGAAGTGGACGGAAGCATCCACAGTACCCCACAGCTACCCGACCAACAACCCGACTAACCTTAACAGTCACATAGACGGCTAACGCTGACTCCAAGATACCGATGGCTACAGCTTTGCCCTACTCTCGACCACTACGGACTCGATAGGGCCCACCACAGAAAAATAACATGGGGACTATGTATTACTCTGGGACATCTTTACCCATATTCTCGAGAGCACTGTACGCTCTATGTTTTCTGCCAGCCACTCACAAGAGTCCCACTCCCAGAGACATCACCACTCAATTCTTTCTACACTGGTCTCATTAACCCTGATGCAGCGGTTTAAAATTAACATACTTGTGATATATAGTAAATATGATTTCAAACTTGTATTTCTTACGATGACATGCTACCTAGCCCCTCCAGCTGACACAGGTGTCTAGACATCCACTAACCAGTGATAACCTAAGGCAGTCTGCAACCATTCATGTTTAACCTGTCTATAGTTAATCTGTTTATGCGCAACACGCAAGTCATACACCTTTTAAAAGGCGCAAAGATAAAAATGACCGCCCGAAGTTTAGACTTATACTATCCTTCTGAACGTATGTTTTCTTAACGCCCCCATTGTTACTAGATCCAAAATTAATCAGACTTAAGCCTTATATACGGGACCCCCCAGAGGCGATATGGCTATGCCGAGCCGAGGCATTGGCTGTCAGTGCCATGTGCCCTCGAGCAAGGTACCCATGCCCCCCTCAGGAATTACAGTCATACCCAGTTCGCCGGCACCGAACCAGGCAATATTAATACACATATGTCAAAGTTAATTTTATGCCTGATCGTATCTCAGCAGATTGCACTCACTCATCTATCTAGATCCCCTCAGTTACTTCACCGAAGCTAACTTACTGATTAATCGTTATTGTGTTTTAACTAGTTCACATTTATATGAGAACCTCGTACAAATCACTCATGGCACGCCTACCTCGATATGGATACCTACAGTATAAGTGTCGTTAATAGACTAAAAAAGTCTTACCTAAAACTTGCTAACCTGTTTCATAGTGACAACCTAACCTCAATATTATAATGTTATTGTTCTAGCTCTAAAAAAAACAAAAAAAAAAAAACAACCGCTAACCCACTCTACATATTTTTTAACCCTGTGGGTACCTAGGAATGTTATATCTAGGCCTAGAAAGGAACAAAACTTGTAGTTGAACTCAAAACTATATTGATAATAGCTTGTTTACTCTACCACTACTTATTTTATTTTATTTAAAAAATGTATGCAAACTTAACATACCACACAATTGTTATAAATGTGATTATTGAGCCTGCTAACGCTGTTGTGGCGATACAGGTAATGTTGTACCTACCTGCATACCAAAAATAAAGAATAAAAAAAAAAAAAAAAAAAAAAAAAAAAAAAAAAAAAAAAAAAAGAAAGGTTCAAATACCAAATTTTCTAATTGTCCTGGATATCAAGGAAAATACAATGTATGTCTGCAAATGTAGCAATTTTGTCTGAATGCTACTGTATAATATACTACAGCAAAAAAAAAGAAAAGAAAAAAACAGTCTTAAAGGAAAACTAATAATAATAATAATAATAATAATAATGTTAAAATCACTATTTGGGAGGGTGAGGAGGGGGGCCTAACTGTCATGGTGGAAGAACGTGCACTGCATGAGCTCCTCTCCTACACTACATTAAACTGTGGTTTATAGCCTCATATAGCCGGATTCAAATAAATTTAACTGCCTACCCAGCCTTTGTCCTGGCTCAGGTGCACGGCACAGGCCGGAGAGGTGCGAAAAGCTCGTCTACCACACTGTTTGAAACATGTGGCCTGGTGCGCCCAGAGCGCGAGAGGATGGAGTTGCGCGCTGCTTCCCCTCTGGACCGGTGTGGGTGACCCGGTCCACCCCTAAGAGGCTACACCGACCCTAAGACTCCCCGGGGTGAAGCTACAGAGACTGACAGCAATTCTACCGGCAAATCCAACATGGTGGATTTATACAGTGTATACATTTTTAGGGAGGGGGCAAGTGTATTAAATTGGGGAGGGGAGGCAGTGTATTAATTTGAGGGAGAGGGCAGTTTATCAATTTGGTTGAGGGGTAGGGGGGCAGTGTATTAGAATGGTGGGAGGGGAAGGCATTGTATTAGAGTGGAGATAGGGGCAGTGTGTTAAATTGGGGAGGGCAGTGTATTAAATTGGGGGAAATGTATTGAATTGTTGGGCAGTGTATTAGAATGGGTGGAGGGGGCAGTGTATTAGAATGGGTGGAGGAGGCAGTGTATTAGAATGGGTGGAGGAGGCAGTGTATTAGAATGGGGGAGGGGGCGGTGTATTAGAATGGGGGGAGGGGGCGGTGTATTAGAATGGGGGGAGGAGGCAGTGTATTAGATTGGGTCTGCATGGAGGTGCTGAATGCTCCCAATGGAGATGCTGATTGGCCGCACAGCTTTTTGCAACACATGCACAATAGCCTCCCAGTGCTTTCTTATGGGATACCATTGACTAAGATCATCAAAGTGCAGAACACACTCATAGGACTTCAAAATCAACAAGATAACTTAATTTGTTTATTTACAGCTGGGCAATAGCATACTTTCACCATTTCAGTCCCATTACTAAACATTTCTTAATATTTCAAGGTAGTTGGACTGAAACATTGGTTATATGCAAATGCACGTCTCCTTAAAATAAATTTGCTCTTTTGTTTACTTTGAAGCCCTACGAGCGTGAGGACATCCAGTGTCAGTTAAGCAACTTTTTTTTATACTATACTTTTCCTAAGTTTCTAAGTTTTGGGGTTTTTTGCAGGCCCACATAAAGGTAAACCTTGTTTATTTGGCCCATGTTAGCCTTTTAGTTTGACATACTTGGTCTAGACACTTTGGGGGTAATTCATTGATCAGTAGATGGTATATTACTTATCTAGTAAGTATCTAGATAATAAACAATGTAATAAAAGTACTGCTGACATATGAATATATACTGATGAATAAAAAGTTGTTTTTTTAAATCACCTTTGCCCAGATGTTCCTTGAAGTATACCTTCTATACCGTATCCATCTTCTACGGCGTACACAAGAATTCCACTTTTTATCCTTGGTGTATGTTGCTGGAAAATCTAAAGCGTATGTCCAGCCCTGAAAATACAAATGTGAGAGAACTTTTTAGAAATCTATTAGAAGTGACCACAGATAATGCCTTATGATTTGTGCATGAAAAACATGAGAATGTCAAGCAAGAAAAAGCTCACAGAAATAATGAAAGCAAGAAAAATGTAAGCATTGTAGTATCACCGTGGTATCATTTTAAACTGACATTAAATGTAAAAATTTTTATCTAATGGTCTGTTTTCAAGAATTAAATGTCAGGTTCTTGAACTCAGTAGGCAGTACAAGCCAAAGCAGATGTTTGGATTTGATTTTATTTTTTGTCCCCTATTTTGCATGTGTGTCTGGTTCTGCCTCACCAGAAACTGATATTCATAAATCTGCACAAAAATCAGCATGTTCTCATAGAAGTGGACGGATTTATCAATTACTCTAATGGGCTTTTTAATATCTATGAGGAATCTGTGAGTATGTGTTAGTACAACATCATATAATTAGTATGATCAACAGTACTAGAATTTGTAAAGGAAGACTAGTACAGTTATTCAGTCAAGTCACAGTATTGAACAATGTCTGGATTTCCCAATTCAAGCATCGAATTGGCTTGAATTTGGTCTGGATTTCAGTTGGACTGCATGCCGAAACAGATTTATATAAGGGATGTACACAACAGAACAAATGTTAATTTGCGCCACAATTACAAAATTATATAAATTGTGTATGTTTACATGGTGAATGTTTACATGGTGTGTTCAATAAAAACATGGCAACATTTCATTCTTTGTGTTATTAGTTTAAGCAGACTGTGATTGTCTATTGTTGTGACTTAGATGATGATCAGATCACATTTTATGACCAATTTGTGCAGAAATCCATATCATTCCAAAGGGTTCACATACTTTTTCTTGCAACTATATATCGAACACCGATATTCTGTGTTTGTTTGTTCGTCTGAAATTATATATATATATATATAAATTTCAGACGAACAAACAAACACAGAATATCGGTGTTCGATTGTTTGTTCATTCAGTTTATTACAAGGAGGGAGCTACCAGCGCAGCTCCGCTCCTTGTAATATGTAAAAATAGAAGCGGCAGTGAGCTGTGCTCCCCGCCACTTCCTAAGCCCCCCATGTCCTTACTCACTCTATGGGGATCAAAATCTCCAGAATGCACCTACTCGCTATGCCATGAGTAGGGGCATGTTTACTAAACAGTGGGCAGCCTGTGTAAAAAATATTTTACAAAAAGCTCCAGGGGGCCAGGGGGGATGACAATAGGTTTCCTCCCATTGTCATTTAGGGTCCCCACCCATCGCCCATGGGTGGGGCGTACACTAGGTTCCCCCATTGTCATTTAGGGCCCTCACTCGCCACTCAAGGGTGGGGGTTGGGGGGAGGACAATAGGTCCCCCCATTTACATTTAGAGGACCATATGTCCCCAGTTTAGTCCTAACTGGCTGGGCACGGGTGGGGGCTTGAGGGGGACACTATGTCCCCCCAGCTAGTAAATAGATGCCACACCATGGGGCCATTTATTAGAGGGGGGTGCTTTATTTATTTTTTTACAGCAGTGAGCAGCCACAGGCTGCGCACTGTTTACTAGACATGCCCCTACTTGCGGCATAACAGTAGGGGCAGATTAATTACAAATACTAAGTAATTTTTACTTAGTATTAGTAAAGTTGTCTGAAAGACCAATCTTGGTCTTTCAGCCTTTTAGTATATAGCTCCCTGATACCGTGGGAATTAGGGAGCGATCTACTGAGCGGCTGCAAGATGCTGCCACAGATCGGATCAGAATTTCATTCATTCAAATGAAATTTCGACCGACCTAAAAAGTACCAAATGTCGTCCTAAAATTACATAAGACAAAGTAGTCCTTACTTTGTCTTATGTTTTAAAGAAAACTAGATCAGATAGGAAGAAAAGAAGAACAGATCCTGAGAGAGAGAGAAGAGGAAGCGAATAGGGAAAGGTAAGTTTGGCATGACAGTGCCGCTTTAAATCCAAAATGGCAGAGAATTAAGCAGTGAGACTGCTGAGGGAATACAATAAAAGTTGTTTTTGTGATTATAGTGTATCTTTAAAAACCCTTGGCAGCGTGAGGGCTAACTATGTGGCAACTTGCCAGCACTTATTAGCTAACCACCACATTAAAAATAAATACATTTTAAAAGCCTATGGGGATCAATAATTATTTATATAGCACCACCATATTCTGTAGCGCTATGCAATAGATAAACAAGAGAAATATTTAATTCTAAAAATACACACATGGCACTGAGCACAGTAGGTGAAGAGGGCCCTGTAGTACGAAAGTTTTGAACTACCCTATGACTCCATCTTCTATATGGCACGTGGGCCATATCTACGAAATGTTTGAAACTAGCGTTTAGGCAAACTCCACCTGTGGGTCTTTAGTAAATATTGTGATCTAAATTTGGTAATTTGTGTTTAGCGAATAACCCTGTAGATATTTTCAGAGACATCAAAGTCTAGAGGTTTGCTATATGAGGAAATGCTAAGCAAAGTAAATTTTCTATTAATGCACACAAAATTTTATTAGAAAAAAATATATATTATATTCACCACTGAGTGGCACTTTAAAGGACCACTATAGTGCCAGGAAAACTATAGAGACAGCCACTAGACGCTGGATTAACCCAAATGTAAACATAGCAGTTTCTTTGAAACTGCTATGTTTACAGCAGAAAGGGTTAAACCTAGCTGGACCTGGCACCCAGACCTCATTAAGCTGAAGTGGTCTGGGTGCCTATAGTGGTCCTTTAAGGATGGTTAATTAATTTGTCAACACAAAAATAGATTTTGCAGTTAATGCAGAATTTGTCTAAGCTGGAATTTTGTGAGACTAGTAAACATTAAGAAAGAACAAAAATTAGTTTGAATAAAAAAGTAGTTCAAGAAACCCAATTATGACGCCATAACCACTTTCACATATTGAAGCCTTATTTTACCAGAGATTTTTACAAAAAAAAGCAAAACAGCATGAGAAACTGAACTGCACAATCCTTGTGACATCCCAAGCGACAATAAACTAAACTAAATTACTACTTTTGTCTAGATTCCACAAGGTCCAGTGATTTCTATTTCGCATGGTCCCTATCCCAACAGGTTCCTCGCTAAATAGTAACTGTAGTGGTTATGGTGCCAGGAGTGCCCCTCCATTGTAAGTAGTCAAACCATTTTATAATGGATCAGCTGATCATGCTAAGCCAATAAGCTAAGCCCTGCACCACCAGGCCATGCCAACCATGTTAGAAAACGGTTTGACTACTTACAGTGGGGGGGAGGACACTGTAGTGATTACGGTGCTTGGAGTGTTCCTTTACACTGGCAATTTTAAAAATGTTTCTCTTATCACATGCATTGAAATATACCTAAAAAAAAATTCTGTAATTTTGCTCAGTCCTGGATCCTTCTACATTTTGTCCTTCCCCTCGTACCAATCCCCTATAACGACACACAAACACTCTCTCTCTGTATATGTATAATATATATATATATGTTCTGTATCAATTCTATTGTCACACTTATTAAGTCAAGGAAGCCTTTCAGTCAGAGCCAGTTATGAACCAATCAGCTGCTTAGGATATGAGGTAACATATGGCACCTTTTTGAACCGGGCCACACCCATCAGGAGAGACTGTTGTTTCAAGGCCAGTCAGTGATTATGTTACTCTTACGGCTACAATCACAGATGCTAGCTTGCCAATTAAAACATTCTTAGTATTATAACCACTATTTCCTATTGTAGTTGTTAAGGCATAAGGAGTCTTTGAGTGCTGAGCCATGCTTTTGATTGGGCTGAAAAACCAAACCAAAACAAAAAAAACAGAACCTGAAATTCTACATGTGCAGTCTTCGGACATCGCTTGGATGATGGACAGTTACTCTAATCCATCCTTTGTCAGCAATGGTACGCTGTGAGCACAGTGCTAACCCTCTCCTAGTGTCCTATTACTGTCATTCTCATTTTTCTTGAATTGCTAATGTTTGACAGAAAATAGCAGCCACACATTTCACCTTAACCATTATAATAAGCTCTAGTGGTTCTGTTTTTTTAGAATGTCTCTTTAAATATAGCAAGGCAAGAAAATTAGAATCCCCTATCATGGTTCCAATATGATTCTTTCAGTGCAGGAACAATAAGCAATGTCAATCCACTCAAATGGTACAAACTGGAGAACACAAGTCCCAAGCAGGGGTGAAAACTAATCTTAAAAATTATATGATATTTATCGTAAAAGTAGCATTCTAATTTTCCTATCCCAGGTGTATTGTAATTTCACCAATTAAGGAACAGTTTTTTTTGCACACGAAAAATCACTGAATACACACAAACTGCTAATTGACAGTGGATACAATCTCCAAAGCATTTACTAGATGTGAGACTTACCCCTTTCTCTGTGGGTTCTCCTCCTATATTTTCATCCACATACCAATCAGATTCCCAATCCCAGTGCTGTGAGGGAAGTTCGAAACGGTTTAGCTGTTGGTGCTTCAAGCCAGTGACATCACTCCACTGCCAACGATCACTGGGAAGCAGCTTATCACAAAAACCATCCACAGGATTCCAACGCTAAAAACACAGAGAGAATCACTATACAGTGCAAGAAATAATGCAATTACATTCACTGAACCAACAGACTCTGGAAATGTTAAACATTTACTCCCTGTCGTCCACAAGACCATAGATGGTCAGTCATTCGCTATGCATGAGCACATCCAGCGTCACCCGAAACCCCATAGGAAAGCACTGTAAAATAATGTAAAAAAATCTTTCCTATGGGGGAAGAACAAATGCGAGTGCGGCCATTTCCGCGCAAGCGCATTTGTTTTCCCGCGCCGGCTGACGGGAGAGGAGCAGAGCTGGGGCCCGAGCTAGTGCCGAGGGACAAGTCACAGAACAGGTTTTTAAACCCTTCTGCATCAAGGGAAGGGGTGGGACCTTGACCTATAGGTGGCACTATAGAGAGCTATAGTGCCAGGGAAACAACTTTGTTTTCCTGGCACTATAGCTTCTCTTTAATTACAATGCGTATAAATTGGTGGTTTACACAGAGCTTTACATAAGGAATAAAAATCATCACATTGTCAATTTAAACAAAACAACAAAAAAACAACTTGTTGACAGGTACAGTTTCTTCCAGTAAAAACACATGCAGACGAGACACTTTAAAGTAAAGACTTCCAGTAAATATGCCTACCTGATACTCATAGGTTTCTTCTTGATATCGTATGGGAAGATCGCTGGAATGAACATAGACATACAGCTGATGATTACCAGCGATTCCCCAACAGCACTGCCGTACAGCAGACACCCTTTTGAATTGCAGTTGGCTATCTTTGCACACATCCCAGTGCTGTCCATCGGTAGACAAAGTGTACACTTTTCCCCAAACATCCACTGTCCACAGCACAGTACTCGGCATTCTGGTGTATTAAAACCAAATATCAATCCGTTAGAAGACCATAATATTAGTACTTTTCTGGAACATTGATGCAGTTCTCAATAACAATATACACTGAGCACTTGGCTGTCCTTCCTTCAAAACCCAGGTTCTTTTAAGTAAAACTTTATTTATTTTTTTACTACAATGTAGCCTCCTACTTGAATGCACTACATTAGGTGATACTGATGGGAAAATGAAAGAATGAAATGAGGAAAAAAAAAAAAAAAAAAAAAAAAAAAAGAATTCAAAACAACACAGGAAAAAAAAAAGAACAAGTGGTAACTCTTGAGCGACCTGACCTTTACTTAAAACATTCTGGCCTCCCTTGTGGGAATAGCATACTGGGCTGGTATTTATGTATGGGTGGGGAAGAGAACAATGGGAGATGGTGGGGGGAGGAGAAAGATGGAGAAAACAAAGGTCGGCAGTCTGATTTGGAAGAAAAAAACTGCATAAGAGCTGTAATGATATATCTTGGTAGGGGACACATCCCTTTTAAGAGTTGTCAAATTACTCCTACTTTAGGAATTTCACCAAGCACTAAGGGGTTAGAAAATCTTTTTTTAAAGGATTATATCAGTAATACATTAAAAATCAAAGTTGCTCTTCTAGAATTTGTAGGTAATACCCACAAATTCTAGCTTTGTTGCAAAGTCTCCCATTCCTGTATTGTGGAGGAAGTCAGCAGTTCCTCTTTGCTTAACCCCGTAAGGGTTAAGCAAACCAAAACAAAACCTAGAATCTGTGCCACCATAATTTCAGAGTTTCTCTGAAGCTGCCCAAATACAAAAAACTTTCTTTTAATATCCTATATATAAATCCCAACACAAGTGTGAATAAAATGATAAAAATTATATTAATATATTTTACTTATATTAATATTTTTACACAAAATATAGCTCATAAGAGCTCAAAATAGATTCACATATCAGTTCTGATTGTTGAATTACTCATATGTCTAGGATGTCAAATATTTTTTGTTAGTTAACTTTAACACTATAACAACCCCCAAAACATTATATGAAACCGCCATGCTTACTCCAATGCTAACTGTATACCTACCGTAACCTTACCCCCACTATGCCAACCCTAACACAGCATTAATTCTTACTTTGACCTAACACTAACCCTAAAGAAATATCAGCAGATGGGTTTCCTAACTAAAATAGTAGAAAGTGGCCTGTGACCGCCACCTACTGACTATTTTCATTATTGCATTGAGATTAACCTGTAATACTGAAATCAAGCATGCTCTTCAAGCCGATTACAAAGTGATCGCTGCTGGGCAGCTGGCAAAGCACGGAACGTTCCAACATTGGAAATTGGTAAAGATAATTTTTCATGGACCCTTTTACTACTAGTATTGCTGCGAAGGTCAGAAAAATTATCAGTGTAAAACTGAGCCTAACTCACAATTTAGTCATTAGTCATGCAATATGCTTGATAGTCCAATATAATAACTTGGTAACAAATTTAAAAAAAAGTCTACACTTTTGTTGGCTTTTCGGTTACTTGAACATCAGCTGACTAGGTTGACAAGTGTGCAATTAAACTATAATTGTCTGTATGGATATTAAAGTTAGTGGTTTTTCTAACAGTTACAATTTTAATTTGTTATATTGTATATTTTGCATTATATTATCCTTACAGTTATTGTTGTGGTAATTATCAAAAATGAAACATATCTTATTTAAAATACATGGAAAGTATAGATAATTTGATTTGGACTTTCAACTAGTGATAACAAATTACTTTGGATCATTAATAACAACTTGGTTATTCATTCTTTAGCTTAAGTTGAAGACCTTTATATGCCTTTTTATACTAATATTTTAAACCAAATTTATTATTTATTTGAGGGCTAAAACCCCTAAATTCACACAGTGTTTCATTAGTGACAGATTTTGAGATGTATTATTTATTTCCCCCTTAAAAATAAAAATTTGTGCTGCTTTCATTAATAAAATAACAATTTTGTTTAGATATTACCAATTAAATAAGGGTCACCAAGGCCCCTACAACAGCCAAAATATATGAAACCAGGCTAGTTAGTTAGTGCTGCATTGGTTCCTTTAAATTTTGCAGCACAAACGCAGAAGAAATTAATGATATATTTTTACTTACATTTTAAAAATATGGGGTGCCAACTTTACACTACCTAGTTGTCCCTGACAAAAAATAAATAAAAATAAAACCATTATAATAATAAAAAAAAAAAAAAAGCAGGGCCTGACTATCAGGCGGAGAGACGTGTCTGACACGAGCTCCAAAAATTTTTCTGGTGTCTATATTCTGTCCCTGCAGGCCTTTTGCTGTAAACACTGTCTTTACATTACTGCATAGGGACACCACCAGAGGCCACTTCTCAGATGGCTATTAGAGGTGCTTCCTGGGGCAGTGCCGCACAATGTGACTGACATTCAGTGTTTTCACACTATGCATGAACACACTGAAACTTCCCTATAGAGATGCATCTCTACTAGGAGATGCTGATTGGCCAAGCCTGCATTTGGTACTGCCCTCAGCCTGCCTCCTTGACAATCTCAGCCTATCCAATGCTTTTGCTATGGGGTTACTTCCACACAGTTCCAAACCTACGACTGGCTGAGATCATCACTTCTGATGATGTAAGCCAAGAAGGCCGATCAGGGGCAGAGCCAGAACCAGCAGATTGGACCATAGGTAAGATTTTACTATATTTAGAGGGGTAAGGGTTGCCAGGGGCCAAGATAGTGTTTTTTTACACTACAGGGTCAAAAATACATGTCTGTGTTCCTGACCCTATAGTGTTCCTTCAACTTAGTTAGTTTGAACCGAGTGCTCTAAGCCAATCAGTACAGCATTGCAGTAGGCCGTGCTTAGCTCAGGCGAGACATGTGGTACAGGCACTTGGTAAGAATCAGGTAAGTTGCCAAACCATTCTTAAACTTTCCAACTACTTACTATGGGAGGTCGCTGGGGCACTACTGGAACCATAGTCACTACATCAGTCTGCAGTGATTATGCTGCTTAGAATGTTCCTTAAAAGGAATATGATAGCATCAATGAAATGTTCTTTAGGAGAGTCATTGGGGCTATAACTGAGTCTTGCGGACAGCCGATAAAAGGTGTACAAAACAGAAATGTTTTCAGTTGCACGGTTAAAATGACAACGACATGAAACCACTTCTTTGAGGTGAAGTGGGCTGAGTACCTATAGAGTTCCTTTACCTATTGAAAGTGTGCTGTTGCTGTTAGCTACATAAATATATAACAAGAGTAGTTTATTTTACAGTTTATGGTGTAAACTGTATAAACGCAAAGTCAGCTCATTGCTATTTAAAGCACGTTCTAAAATAATATGATACTATGCAACAAATTGAACACTAGCATAACAGAAGCTCATTCACTAAACAGTGAGTGGTAGTTAACTGAAAAAGAATCTGGTTAAAAAAGCCAAGAAGTAATTATAGCGGAGTTGGAGAATTATTTGCAGATCAGCAATTTCCATCTAAATCTTGCAATTCATATTTCAATACATTACAATTCTCTTTTCAAATGGAATGTAACCCAGATAACAAAAGTCATATAGAACAATTAGTTGCTCTGGATAGAAATAAATTATTTAAATTTGCAATTGAACATTTGAAATACAAATGGAAATAGGTCTCAATTGCCAATTATATCAAATAGAAATCTTCCATAAAACCAAAATGTTTTGACAATACAGAGACCAGCAGCTTCATTATTGGTATTGATGGTGAGGGAGTGATTGGGTCCCATCTAGTTAATAAAAGGTCTGGGTTATTTGTATTATTTTATCTTATTTATTTACCAAATTGCCTACTGGCTATTTTAGAAAAAGCAAATAATGCAGATTTATGTGGGTATGTCTAAAAAAAAAATTGTAAATATCCTACCTACTAGAACAGATATGATTTAAATCAGGTAGAAATACTGTGTTTTTAGAAATATTTGATTCTTATAGACTGTAAGAGGCTGACACCTGTGCAGATATTAAATATTGGATTTAATGTGTATATCACCAAATACCCCCTCCCCATTTGGCTTTAGGAAATATCTGAACTGAAAATCTGGTGTTTTTTTCTTCTTCAATAATTGAAGACAAACTATAGTGCCAGGAAAACTTGTTTCTCTCTGTCAAGCATCAATGAGCTGAAGTGGTCAGAGTGCATACAGTGTCTCTTTAAATGGATACTATAGTGTCCAAAACAAAAACAACTTTAGCTTAATAAAGACATTTTGGTGCATAGCTTATGCCCCTGCAGTTTTACTTCTCAATTCTCTGAATTCTCTGTCATTTAGGAGTTGAATTCCTTTGTTTATGCAGCCCTAGGCACACCTCCATGCATGTGACTTGCACAGTCTTCCTAAACACTTCCTGTAGAGAGTCATCTAATGTTTACACTTCCTTTATTGTAAATTCTGTTTGATTTAGAATTTCTTATCTCCTGCTCTGTTAATAGCTTGCTAGATCCTACAGGAGTTTTCTTTATGTAATTTAAGTTCAATTTACAGAGCAGGAGATAACTTTTAAATTAAATAACATCTGATTGAGAGTGAAACCATTTTGTTTTCATGCAGGCTGTGTGAGTAACAGCCATGGGTTGTGTGACTAGGGTGGCATAAAAAGAACTAAAAGTGATTTAACTCCTAAATGGCAAAAAATTGAGCAGTAATACTGCAGGTGCATGATCGATACACTACAACTGCTTCATTAAGCTAAAGTAGTTTTGGTGACTATAGTGTCCATTTAATACTGCTTTTACATGAATGCAGTATGCAGTCTGTATTACTATGTCATAAGGTTTTTCAATAAAGAGCCAAGTGATAGAATTTTCTGCTCATCTTGTAAATCATATTACTAGATTACCTGACTGTGCCCCCCTCCCGCCCCCACCCAAAAAAAATAACCTTCCACACACAAAGTTGTTTTTTTTAGGAAAACTTTTCTAGGCAAATCTTATATTAATTTTCAAAAAATAAAAAATAAATACTGTGTAATAGATCTTTATCCGTAAACATGACACATGGCTCTATTTTGACAGCTCATTCCAGAATTACCTGAAAAGGGGGAACTAAATATATGGAAATCTGTGACTGCTTCTGCAATGTAAAAACTCTAAAAAATAAATAAGTTATTACTATAGAATCATTGAGTAAAATATATATATATATATATATATATATATATATAAAGTCAGTGTCCAATCAGGAAGGTTGTAAATAATGATGTCACCTTAGCCATCTGGTCTTCTTATGATCATTAATTCTGATAGCCACCAGTCTCTGTAAGGCAGTGTAAAGCAGCAGCAGCTATGTCTCCAAGCACTGATGAGGTTAAGACATTTCATCTTGCCCCAAGATGCATGGACTGGCTAATGTGACCCTGACTAGCCCCCCAGGCAGACAGAGCTTACCTTCAGCAAGTGGCTGGGCTAGCAGGCCGGAAGTACAGACCTCCTGCTCACAGGGACACACAGTTACAATGTTGTCAGAATGAAGCCACTGCGATGACACCTCTCTCCCAGGCTGCCGTGGGAGGGACCTCCGGCCAGCTCTGCGCTCCTCCTATTGGACGCGCTGCCCGGAGAAGGGATAAAACGAGCTCTGTGAGTGGGCCGGAAACGTTCCACGTCAGACTGTGTGATACAGCAGCAAAGTGTGGGTGATAAGCAATAATACTGTGTACGTACAGCTGGTAGGGTTCGATGGAATGGAGAGGAAATTTATAGAGTGCAGGGGGGGCAATTTAAAGGATTTCGTGGGATTTAAGTGGTAGTGTATATGATTCAGTGGTCTGGAGAGACAGTGTATAGGGTTCAGTGGTGTGCACAGGCAGTGTATAGGGTTCAGTGGTGTGCACAAGCAGTGTATAGGGATCAGTGGTGTGTACAGGCAGTGTTTAGGGATCAGTGGTGTGTACAGGCAGTGTATAGGGATCAGTGGTGTGTACAGGCAGTGTATAGGGTTCAGTGGTGTGTACAGGCAGTGTATAGGGATCAGTGGTGTGTACAGGCAGTGTATAGGGTGTGTAGAGGCAGTGTTTAGGAATCAGTGGTGTGTACAGGCAGTGTATAGGGATCAGTGGTGTGCACAGGCAGTGTTTAGGGATCAGTGATGTGCACAGGTAGTGTATAGGGTTCAGTGGTGTGCACAGGCAGTGTATAGGGATCAGTGGTGTGCACAGGCAGTGTATAGGGGTCAGTGGTGTGCACAGGCAGTGTATAGGGGTCAGTGGTGTGCAGAGGCAGTGTATAGGGATCAGTGGTGTGTAGAGGCAGTATATAGGGATCAGTGGTGTGTAGAGGCAGTATATAGGGATCAGTGGTGTGTAGAGGCAGTATATAGGGATCAGTGGTGTGTAGAGGCAGTGTTTAGGGATCAGTTGTGTGTAGAGGCAGTGTTTAGGGATCAGTGGTGTGTACAGGCAGTGTATAGGGTTTATTGGTGTGTACAGACTTTGCATACGGTTCACTGGTGTGAAGAGGCAGTGTATAGGGATCAGTGGTGTGTACAGGCAGTGTTTAGGGATCAGTGGTGTGTATAGGGTGTGTAGAGGCAGTGTTTAGGAATCAGTGGTGTGTACAGGCAGTGTATAGGGATCAGTGGTGTGCACAGGCAGTGTATAGGGATCAGTGGTGTGTACAGGCAGTGTATAGGGTTCAGTGGTGTGTACAGGCAGTGTATAGGGTTCAGTGGTGTGTACAGGCAGTGTATAGGGTTCAGTGGTGTGTACAGGCAGTGTATAGGGTTCAGTGGTGTGTACAGGCAGTGTATAGGGTTCAGTGGTGTGCACAGGCAGTGTATAGGGATCAGTGGTGTGCAGAGGCAGTGTTTAGGGATCAGTGGTGTGTAGAGGCAGTGTTTAGGGATCAGTGGTGTGTAGAGGCAGTGTTTAGGGATCAATGGTGTGTACAGGCAGTGTATAGGGTTCAGTGGAATAAAGTGGCAGTATATAGGGATCAGTGGTGTGGACAGGGAGTGTTTAATGGTGTGGAGAGGTAGTGTATAGGTTACAGTGGAATGATGAGGCAGTGTATAGGGTTCAGTGGTGTGTACAGGCAGTGTATAATAGGGTTTAGTGGTGTGTACAGGCAGTGTATAGGGTTTAACGGTGTGGAGAGGTAGTGTATAGGGTTCAGTGGAATGAACTGGAAGTGTATGTGATGTGTACAGGCAGTGTATAGGGTTGAGTGGAATGAAGAGGCAGTGTATAAAGTTCAGTGGTTATATATAAGGTTCATTGAGGTGGAGAGACAATTTGTTGTTGAATAAAACCATATATTAATGAGTGTGTTTTCATTTATACCATTTTGAATGTATTCGTGAATGTATGTATGCTATACAGATCTACACATACAAGTATATTGAGATACATAGTTTGTATACTGTGAATCCTGCCTCTACTGTAAATAAGACACTCTAAAGCCTACTATAAACCTGCTATTGGCTTCTAGTCTATCCCGTATGCAAAAGCAGGTGCTTATAGGGACACTACAGTCACCATAACAACTACAGCTTAATGTAGTGGTTCTGGTATCTAAAGCCTGTCACTGCAGGATCTTGAATGTAAACTTACAGTGTTTACATTACTGCCTAGGGACACCTCCAGTGTCAGTAACTCAGATGGCCACTAGAGGCGCTTCCTGGGTCAGTGCTAAGCAATGTGCAGCACTGACTTTCAGCGTCTCCACGCTCTGCATGGAGGTGCTGAACTTTTCCCATAGAAATGCATTAAGGAATACATATTTTGTATTTCTATAGTGTTCCTTCAAAGGGACATTCTAAGCACCAAAACCACTACATCTTAATGTAGTAGTTTGGGTGCATAGATGTTGTCCCTTTTTTTTTTTTTGACAATGGCAATGTTTATATTTGTTTGAGAACACTCTTCTAATGGTTGTCAGACTGACTGCCAGTAACAGTTCTTTCAATTTTTAAGACTTTGAAAATAGAAGCTCTTCGCCTTTGTTGTGAACAAGGAACACTAAAGTGCGTTAGATCTCTGGAAGAATCTCAAATGTTTTTGTCCATTAATGAAAGTGCCAATTTCAAAGTAAGCATTATTAGAAGCTTTGGAAAGCTGCATGTGCCAAACGAGAAGCCTCTTAAAGTCTGTGCCTCAACGAAAACTCGGAAAAAAGATACATGATTGCTTTCTCTGGGGGCAGACCTACTAAACAGATTTACACTTTAATAGAGTGTCTATAAAACTGTTTATGCTCCTCACTGCCCCCTCACATAGGGGTCCCACCTGGATCCCCAGTACACCCCACCCCACCTGCCCCCTCCCACTTTGACCCCAAGAGGGGTACACATCACAAACGCATTAAACAACCAAATATAGACTCATACCTATCGGGACAAATAAACCATAGGCGGTCCCATCCAAGGCATGCATGACCAAACCACCATGGGAACAATTATAACAGGTACCGAACAACTGTATAACATGTATAATATGTACAAAATAACTGAGCTGTACTTCAAGCCAAATACTTATGTGGAACCTCTTGTCATGACAACCCCTTCCTTCCTTTTTCATTCTGTATCCCAAAAGTTCTTGAGTGAAAATTACAAAAATTGAAAATAAAGAATTTACAAAAAAAAAACTGATTATGCTGAATGTAACTAAAACTTCTCATAGAGAAGCATTTCGTTCGGTGTCTATGATTACTTTTCCAAGTGTGTCTAGGAATTGAATGACATCTGTCACTCCATTCTGATGGTGATGTGATTGTGTCATTGGAGGGGGGGATTATCCTGCTTGGGGATTTGTTTCCAATCAGGGCCCATCAGGTCAGAGAGACTGGGTGTCCTCTGTCATGGCAGCACTGGCACACTAGAGAAGAGGTAAGTATAAACTTAAAAGCTCCTAAAGGAAATAAATATATTTCTTATCATTAATCCCTTCATTTTTTTGACAATCTTTATTTATGAAAAATTTTCATAAAGAGATGATGTAGAAACACCGGAAAAGAAACGTCCAAAATACAAAAAAGATGGGAAAAAGAAGAGAAAGAGGGGAAAAAGGAAGAGAAGATGAGCTCAGGAGGAGGCTGGCTGTGCCCCTCTCACCCAGTGTGTACACAAATAAACTAAACAGACTATAGAAATAGGAAGTAAAATTAAAAAAAAAGAAGCTTAATGACATGACACCGCTCACAAAATACACCGGGATTGAAGCCTCCATCTATTGGGGAAGGTAAGAAAATATGTGGGGGAATCATAAAACATTAATATATATACACACACAGGTGTGGAAGTTTAAAGAAAAAAATTACTTGTCCAAGGGACTAATGTGGCAGCCCAATCTACTTGTCCATCATGACATTATACTTGTCTTGACACAAAATTTTAAATTAGACAGATTGGGGACCCTGCTTAGACCTGGACATTGGCAGGTTAATTTAATAAACGCTCCAAACCCATTCAGATTTTAATGGCAAAAATCTGGAGTTTAGTGACTGGCCTTCTATTCTCCCCCAAAGTGTGAGTGATGTGTTTCAGTTGGGGGTAATGTTTGTGGTGCTTGCTGTACTTACTCTGTGTACTGGCTTTATGTAAAGTGTGTGCTGGCTGTAAAGTAATGTTTGCTGGCTGTGTGTGATGTGTGACTGGTGTCTGTTGGCTGTATGTTGTATGTGTATGCTTGCTGTATGTTGTGCTTGTGAATGTGTGTGTCTGCTGGCTGTATTTTGTGGGTGTGTGTTTGTTGACTGTATGTTCTGTGTGTGCATGTGCCTGGTGTGTGCTGGCTGTATGTTTTGTGTGTGTGCTAGCTGTATACTGTGTGTGATGGCTGTATGTTGTGTATTTTATGTTTTGACAAAGTTCATATATTTATTTTATTAACAAAAATGTCTGATAATAGAAGGAATGTGAATGGTTAAGAAAGGGGACATTTGTGGAAGAAATAGGACAGGACACTGATTTGAAAGAAGGAACAATGACAAGGAAAAAGAGTATAAGAATGAAAGGAAGGGAGCAGTGAAAAGTAAAGGAAGGGCGCATTGACAATTAGAACTTTGAAACTAGAAACATAGTTGACTTGGAGAGTTTGTCCAATTTGTTGATTTTGGCATGTAATCTGAAATGATAAGGGCACCTCAGGTACCCACACCACTTCTTCTCAATTAAGTGGCCTGGATGCAGTGCTCCTGGTGTTTTAGTCCTGCAATCTAAAGCATTGCCGTTCAGTAGCTTCTGCAATGTTTAAATTACAGGGCTATACACACCTCTATTGGATAAAGAGAATGGGAGAAATTGCAAGCCAAATAAGTTATAGGGTACTCTTTAAATAGGGGGAGGAATGGGAGAAATGTGACTGAAATGTGACTGAACTAGAGTAGAACCATAAAGTGTAACCCTGTGGGGAGCTAATCGTAATATATAGGTCAGTTCAGATATCTATTCACATGAAGAACAGTAGGATATTGGTCTACCAAATAAACATTTTATCTTACAATATATGTAAAAATAAAAGAATCTTTATTGAATATTTCTAAGAAAGGAGAACAAAATATATAATAATAAAAAACA